GTCTCTAGCTATAAAGTATAGTAATCCCTTTATATAATTTATATATAATCTTTATAGCTATTAATACTATAATTCTTCTCCCTACTTCTATTACCTAATTAATCTATTTTTCCTACTTATAACTTATATTTAATAGACCTTCTACTCCTTCTATATAAGTATCTTATAGACCTTAATATTAATTAATAAGTTTTATTTAGCTATATTAAAAATAGTTAACTATATATACTATTTTACTTTAATACTTAAGGTAGTTAAGTTTTAAGGTAAGTACTTAGTTATTTACTACTTAAGAAAATAAGGCTATTTTCTAAGATAGTATAAATAGTATTTTTAATTTAAATATATAACTTTTATAATATAATACTTTAATAATATAAAACTATATAAATTAGTATAATATAGGCTAGGATGTAGATAAAAACCTGGTATATAGTATTAAAAGGGGTCTTACCGGACCCCTATATACTCCGGAATAAAACCGCGAAGAATCCCGTAAAATATAGATAAGGTTTTCCCCTAGGTACTCTAGTTTTTCCTTACCTTATAATTAGTAAAGGTACTAGATAGGTTATTTAGCCTAATTAGTATATAAGAATTATTATTTTATTATTTTATTACTTAGATATATATATAAATAGTAAATTATTTAATATATTTAAATAGTTAATAAATAATAAAAGATATAAAAGAATATAAATTAAAGTAATAACTTAAGAACCTACTAACTAAGAATACTTAATATTATTAAATATTATTAGGAATTATTTATAATAGGCTAGCCCTAGAGGGGCTTTAGGGGTAACTAGCCCTATAGCTATTAGTAGCCTTATAGCTATAACCCTCTTAACTATAAGGCTAAAAGGATTTATAATAATAATACAGCCATGGTTTTCTGGTGTCCTGGTGTCCGGGAGCAGGGGTGTCACGGTGAGGCGTACGAGCCGTGTGTGTGTGGGGTCCCCTGCTGTATGGCGGGACGGCCCGAGTGTGGTGGTGGGGCCCCTGTGGGTAACGGGCGTCATCATAGACATGGCGGAGGCAGTGTTTTTATTTTAACAGGGTGTAAGACCCTATCTACAATATTAAAAAAGCTTGCCATGGTGTCCGCTACCTGGCAGCCTGATTTCTCTTTTAAAAGGGGGTAGTAGTGCCCCTTTTCTTATATGGTTATTAGGACACACTTTCCACATAATATATTACCATTAACGTGCTCCCTACTACCGCCCTTACTCCTACTACCGTTATTCTTAATACCCTCGATTAGGATACGCCTTACGTACACCTACCATCTACTTTACTAGTGGCTATTACTACCGTTATTACTAGCCGTCTATCTATCTATTATGCCTTATAGATACTATAGTAGATCCTACTGCCTATTTTACTATACTAGTGCTTTTAGACGTTTTACTTACTCTATTATATAGGTATAGTAAGTAAAGAAATATACGGTTTATTAGGTTAGGCCCTCCTTTAATATTTATACTAGCTACTAAGATATAGGCATAATTATACCTACTATAAAGGTCTATTAGGTAGATACTTATAGGGAGGATAGTAATTATATTATATTTCTATAAGTAGTAAAATTAGAATTTAATATCTATATATCTTAAAGCTATATAGTATATATTCTTTATCTTAAGGTAAAGGCACTTCTTTAGTATACCTTTACTATTTCTAGTAGCTTATATACTACTACCTTTATATTCTTTAGGCTAGTTAATAACTTATTTATTATAGCTAGTGCTTTTATAAAGGATTAGTATATATTTAATCTAAAGGATATATATTCCCTTTTTTACTAGTTAACTATAAAGGGCTAGGTTCTACTTAACTAGACCTATACCTTCTATATAGCTATATAGCTTTATTTTAAGAAGATCTCTACTTTTATATTTCTTATAAAGAAGGTTACCTATATAACGCTAAATAAAAGTACTCCCTAGAATAGTCTTTATTATTATAGTAATAAGCCTAAATAGTATTTTAACTATATCTTTCTTATAGTTTTCTATATACCTTTATTTTCTCTTAAATAGTAGCTTTATCCTTTTTAATTAGGTATAGATACCTTAAAAAATACTATATAGGAGGTAGAGATAGCTATTAAGATAAAGTTATTATTTAAGAGGAAAACCTCTTATTTTTAATATTATATAACTAGGCCTAGTATTAAGATTAAGTACCTAGGTACTACTACCTCTAAGGCGTCTATAAATATTCTACTAGAGAATATTCTAAAGGAGGATAAGGAGATAGTCCTAGCTAAGCACTATATATTACCTATACTTAAAGTTTAGAATATTATAGTATCTCTATTTTAGTAAGTAGACTCCTAGTTAGAAACTAATATTATTATCTATCTTATCTAGCTTTAACTAATCTAGCTCTAGCTAATCTATATTATCCTTCTATACCCCTTCTATATATAGTAAGACCTATAAGTCTATAAATATATAGTTACTCTCTATCTACTTATAGTTAATACCTATATAGCTATAAAGGTCCTTATTAGATAGATAAATATAAGGCTTACCCTAAGTAGTAAAGTTAGTCTTTTTTATATACTTATTTATTATAAAGAAGTTATTTTAGTACCTAAGTATTTACTTATAGTACTTTTATATATCCTTCTTTAAAAGAGGAATATTATTAATAATAATATAGTCTTTATTACTATTAAATAGTAATATATTCTAATAGCTACTTATATAGTAATAAGTACTAAGTTAATAGGCTTATATAGTCTTATAGAGCTATATCTTACTATAAATATAAAGAGACTTAGGATATACTAGGTATAGGGATATATAAAGGTTTTCTAATAGCTAGCTTTTAATCTCCTAGGGTAGGACCTAGGCTCTACCTATTAGAATAGGTAGTATATAGACTAGTATAGGTAGCTAGAATATATTATCTATATAGGCCTAGATATTCCTATAGTAGAGAATTAGATTATATAGTGCCTTACTACTAAGATATAAGAAGAAGCTAGACCTATCCTTAAAAGCTACTATATCCTTCTATATTATAGTTTTAGCCTCCTATTAGAGGGCCTTAAGCTCTTATATATTACTACTAATATACTTTATACTATACTTATTAAAGTACTACTATATAATAAGATAACTCTTTATTTTTTAAATATTAAGGTAATATTAACTAATATTAAAGAACTTAGTATTCTTAATATTATACTTCTATAGCTACTTACTAATTATATAGAAGTATAGCATCCTATCCTTATACTCCTTCTATACTATATAAAAGTACTTAAAGTTAAAAAATTTAACGCTATTAAGGAAGTCCTATATAGATAGGAAATACTTAGGGTATATAAGGAAAACCGACTTTACTATTAGCTAAAACTAATATCTTATAGACTCTATAGGTATTAATAGTATATTATTATTATTATTAAAGGTACCTAAGATTACTAGGCTTAGTACTTCTTTAAAGATATCCTTAAGCTTAAGTTACCTAGCTAGTAGTAACTAATAGTCTTATAACTAGTTATATAATAGTATTATATAAAGAGTTATTAATAGCTAGTCTAGCTATACAGATAAGATGTTATTAAACATTTATATAGGATCTATAGTAGTTATTATAAAAGAAGGTAAAGGGATATAATAGGATACTCTAATATTAGTATCTTAGCCGTCTTATATACATTAACCGTTGCTGCCGGTATAACTTAGGTGATCCCGCGAGAAATCAGGCTGCTAGGCAGCGGACACCATGGCAAGCTTTTTTAATATTACTAACTTATTATTATCTAGTTATACCTATAAGGGGCCCCCTAGGGGCTCTACACTAGCCACTCTAGAAGGACTAGGGTAGGCTCTATAGCCTAGCCCTTAATATACCCTCTCTCTCCCTAGCGCGCCTATAGATAGGCTATAAACCCCCTAGATAAGCTGCTGCCTATAAGCCTAGGCTAAAATATGCCTATATATAGCACTAATCTACCTTCTATTATAGTAGCTACCTACTATATAGTTTAAACCTATAACCCTAGGTTAGTATTATTATATATAATAGGCTAGTCCTAGAGGGGCTTTAGGGGTAACTAGCCCTATAGCTATTAGTAGCCTTATAGCCATAACCCTCTTAACTATAAGGCTAAAAGGATTTATAATAATAATACTAACTTATTATTATCTAGTTGCACCTATAAGGGGCCCCCTAGGGGCTCCACGCTGGCCACTCTAGAAGGACCAGGGCGGGCTCTGTAGCCTAGCCCTTAATATTATTATATAATAGTAAATAAGTATATAGAAAAGGCCAGTTTTTACCTAGGTAGCCTTAGGTCTATACCTAGTATAGTAAAGTACTAGTATAAGGGATCTACTACTATAGTTATTCTAATACTTATAAGTTTATTAAGGTACTAAAAAAACTATAAGGTTTAATTAAGGTAATTTAATAACTAAATATATTAGAAAAACTATAGAGTTAAATTAGTATAATTTAATAAATAAATCTAAATATATATTTTAGTATATTAGCGCTATTTTATAATTTTAAATATAATATAGAGGGCTAAAAATATATAGATAAACGCAGGCTGGTTATTATAGGCATCGCAGAAAACACCCCCCGCTCGCGTGGTAAGGTGCCTCTTATTCATGCAACAAGAGGCTCGCGGGATCAGTCGACTCTATAACTTGTCAACGCTGGTGTGCATGTGCGCGCCTCCAAAGATGACGGCACAACATAGCAGCAAGCGCGCCAATTGTTATTTAAACTTTTCGATGTGGTCAGCAAACATGGCACTTGCGGGACTGCGCAATTTTCAGGAATTTCTTGTTTTGGTACACATAAAATATGACACGTCCTTCCAGACACAGAAAAAAAAAACAAAGCGATAGAGCAACTTTCCAGGAAAGCGCCTCTCACAGTTCCTTCAACTCCTTCTCTTTGTTCACGGTGTAAAACAATTCATGCAAAATCAAGCGCCTAGGTATAGTCCCCTCCAGATGAAATTTTGATTACTTGCGAGCGGCCTTAGCCATGGTGTTGAGAGCGCTACCATTCTTGAACCACTCAATCTGGGCCTCATTGTAAGTGTGCTGCAGGGAAACCTCGTAAGACTTGCCATCCTTGGGGTGAACCACCATGGTAATGGGCTTGCCAACAGCGAGCTGAGTAGCGAGGATATCGACCTGTATTATACTGTTAGCAAAGTCGCAGGCTAAGGGTAAAAATCTTCTTACCTTGTCATCAGGCTTAATCTTGTCGTAGTCAGCGGGGTCGGCAAACGTAAGAGGAAGCATGCCCTGCTTCTTCAAATTGGTCTCGTGAATACGGGCAAAGCTGCGAGTAACGATGGCAAGACCGCCAAGGTGACGAGGCTCAAGGGCGGCATGCTCGCGAGAGCTGCCCTCGCCGTAGTTCCAATCACCAATGACAACCCACTTGATGCCCTTCTTCTTGTAGTCACGGGCAACAGCAGGCACGGCATCCCAATCACCAGTGGTGAAGTTTCTGACCTTGTTGGCCTCACCGTTGGCCTCGTTGATAGCGCCAATCAACATGTTGTTGGAGATGTTGTCAAGATGGCCACGGTACTTGAGCCAGGGACCAGCCATAGAGATGTGATCGGTGGTAGTCTTGCCATGGGCCTTGATGAGAATGGGAATGTCCTTGACATCCTTGCCGTCCCAAGCTTGGAAAGGCTGAAGCACTTGGAGACGGTCCGAGGTAGGAGCAACCTGAACAGTAACAGTAGATCGATCCTTAGGAGGCGCCTGATAGGTGTTGTTACCAGGGTCATAGCCGGCAGTAGGAAGGCCGTTACCGGTGGGAGGCTTCAACATGAACTCGTTGCCATCCTTGTCCTTGAGCTTGTCGGTCAAGGGGTTGAAGTGCAGGGAGCCGGCGATGGTAAGCGCAACTACCAGATCAGGTGAGGTGACAAAGGAGTGGGTAGCGGGGTTGCCATCGTTGCGGCCAGTGAAGTTACGGTTGTAGGACGAGAGGATTGAGTTGGCCTCACCTTTCTTCACGTCGGTGCGATCCCACTGACCAATGCAAGGACCACAAGCGTTGGCGAGAACAATACCGCCAAACTCTTCGAAAGTCTGAAGCTGGCCATCACGGGCAATGGTAGCACGGATTTGCTCAGACCCAGGAGTGACGGTAAAAGCAGCCTTGGCCTTGATGCCATGGTTGAGGGCATCGCGAGCAATAGAAGCAGCTCGAGACATGTCCTCGTAAGAGGAGTTGGTGCATGAACCGATGAGGCCGACCTTGAGCTCCTCAGGCCAGCCATTCTCCTTGACAGCCTGACTGAATTTGGAGATGGGCGTGCCCAGATCAGGAGTGAAGGGACCGTTGATGTGAGGCTCGAGTTCAGAGAGGTTGAGCTCAATGAGCTGGTCGTACTCTGTACCCTCATCCTCGCGGAGCTCCTTAGCGTAAGTGCGGGCGAAATCACCAATATCTTTGCGCTTGGTGGCGAGAAGGTAGTCGTACATGCGGTCGTTGAAAGGGAACACAGAGGTTGTCGCACCAATTTCAGCACCCCTAGATAATGGTCAGCTGCTGGTTCGGCGTGTTGTTATGAGACGCTACGTGGCAAGGGAGGCAGTAAGACGAAGGGACCCGGGGGAAATGACACGGGTAGCAGGGTAAGAAGAACGAGAAGGATAGGAACAGCAACAACGTCCAAGAAAGGCAAGCGTGGAGAGAAGATGAGCGGATATAGACAGACGTAGAGTGGGTCGGGCGGAAATGTGGGAGAGAGTGGGCAAGTCCGGGGAAAAGCCAACAATGTCGGGCGGAATCAAGGGATTGAACGATTGTGAGGCATTTCCAAAGAAGCTTACATATTTGCGATTGTAGCCATGCCTGTGCAGGAGATGTTGTTGACACCTGGACCATGGTACTCGACGATGGCACCAGTGCCACCCTTGACAGTCAGAATGTCGGCAACTTTGAGAATAATGTCCTTGGGGGAAGTCCAACCAGAGAGCTCGCCTGTCAGTTTAACACCAATGACATTGGGGGCCTTGAGCTCCCAGGGCAAGTTGGCCATGACGTCGACGGCGTCAGCACCGCCGACACCGATGCAAGCCATTCCAAGACCACCACCGTTGGGGGTGTGAGAGTCGGTACCAATGAGAAGACCGCCAGGGAAGGCATAGTTCTCCAGAATGATTTGGTGAATAATACCGGAACCGGGCTTCCAGAAACCAATGTTGTACTTCGCACAAGCACTCGCGAGAAAGTCGTAAACTTCCTTGTTGATGTCGATGGCGCGCGCCAGATCCTTGCTGCCGCCAACCTGAGCCTCAATCAAGTGATCACAGTGGACAGTGCTAGGATTGGCAACGGCGTCCATACCAGCAGACATGAACTGCAAAATAGCCATTTGAGCGGTGGCATCCTGGCAAGCAACGCGATCGGGGCGGAGCTTTAGGTAAGACTTGCCACGCTCAATCTCCTGGCCGTGGGGGTCGTCCAAATGAGAGTAGAGGATCTTCTCGGCATAGGCCAAGGGGCGGTTAAGACGGCTGCGAACAATGGCTAGGTTCTCGGACATCTTCTTGTAGTTGATAAAATTATTCTCCTCCCAGTTGTTCTGGCGGACCTATATGTTCAAGAGGTCGTTAGCATCATGTTGTAAGGACAAGACTGCAATACGTCGTAGCAACGGGTTTTGCAACAAATCTAATGCATGTCACATACCTTTCTATCCAGCGGAGAGTCGGAGACGGTGGCGAGGCGGCGGATGCCGGTGGCGGTGCCAGCAACGGCACGGCTCCGGGTAACATTGCCCAGAACCTGTCTAGAGGCAAGCATGCTGGGCCAATTGGTTGGGGGGGAGAGTGTTTAGATGTGTCACACGAGCGAGGCCTTTCACTCGAGGAGATGGTTCAATTGCAAGCTGGTGGGGGAGGGCAGCTATAAGAGAGAGGAAGGGAGAAGAAGGCGATGCAGAGGAGGTGTTTTACCGAGCTGGCCAGAAGACAACGCTCGACGGATCCACTGTCCGGTTGCACAGCTCCAGGCTCGTGTGTGGGGACTTGATGAGGCTTTTGGTGGAAACCAGCCAGTCACAGCGCATGCGAAAATAATACTCACGTTGCTTTCGTCATGGGCTGTGTGGACTGGCCGGGGTCATGGCTTTCCACAACGCCGAGTTTACGGCAAACTTGGCGGGACGCGAGAATAAGAGTACAACATTGCGTCTTGATATCACTCCTACATAGTTCCGTTTGGAGGCAATACATATATAGCACTCGCTTAGTATGTAACTGCATTGGCTCATGCTGTCGACCAGAGCATGGCTGTTCCTTTCGAAAGTCTGGGCATGCGTGGTCGGTAATCGAATTGCAGCACATGAAAATAGTTAGCCACCCGGATGTAACTAACGAACCAAGCCACATGCACTACGGTAGGTGCCTCAAGCACCGTCAAACACTGCCAGCACGGGAGGCAATAACTAATAAATCATAAACCCCTGCCAACCCACCGTAAAATGAAGAGACTGTGCACCCTGCAAACTTTTTTTCGGGTCTGGAGACCAACCTTGACCTCGGTTGGACCGGGCTTGTGTCGGTCACCGTTAGTAAAGCCTTGGTTCCGTGCCGCTGATCGGAATTGAACTCTCGGTCCCCGACGCACTTGAAGGACTTACGATAGGAGATAAACGCGCAGCGACCCTGCTCTTCAGAACCTACTAGTTACTACCTGGTTATCCAAATAACGTTAATAATCATACATCACTACCTGTACCCATGCCGACCATTTTCGTAAGGGACACTGCCTAGACGCTTGAGGATATTTTTATACACGGCGTAAATAACCCTAGAAACAAGCAGTAACCACCTTTCAAGTCTACTGTCGACGGTGCCTTTGCGTACCTAACTAGGTAGTTTTGACTTGTCAAAGGTGAAGTTTTATCTCCACGTGACTTCAGCCCATTCATCGCGATAAGAACAATACCCACCAGAAATCTGAGGTGGCTGCAGTCGTGGTTCTCGTCAGACAAAAGTTACCAGAGGAAAATTACCATATCTCAAGTTCAAGCAGCTTAATCAGTCGATTCCAAGGGCGTCCAAGAGTACCATGGGTGTTGCGAGCAAAAGGACCGTCACAAAGACGAGAAGAAAAATAAGGCAGGTGCAGAATTGTCAAATAAACTGCACACATGCTAACTTGATCAGGGATATTGATCAAATAAAAGCTGATCTTGCCTCCGCGAAGCATCTTGGTCAATTCAAGGATGCCAAAACAACAGACGAACTCCCCGATCTCGGTCGAAACTATTGTATAGAATGCGCCAAGTGGTTTGATACGAACGCCGCACTGGCAGCCCACATCCGCGGAAAACCTCATAAGCGACGGTTTGTAATACCGATTCTGAACAAAATCGCTTTATACTGACTGTGTCATGCCGAAGTTTGAAGCAAGTACGCGAAGAGATCGAAACTGCAAGACTTCCAGGAGGCAGATATCTTCCTCCCCCGCGCAATGAGATAGAAGTACCACAGACGGAACCAAATGCCGAAGAGGATGTAAAGATGGCAGCATGATGGCATGGCTAAGGGACATTTGCGGCTTCTCGTTTTCTGCATCAAGTTTCAAAAGAAAATTTATCACTTCACACCCCGGCCCCTCGGCCGCGCAAGTCCGCTCAGTTTACCTGACGCACGAGTTGTCGCTCGCCCTCGAGCTGAGCTTCCGCGTGCGGCCGGCAAGCGCGATTGGCGATGTCCTTGATGGACAGGTCGTGTTCCTGGCTTGTTTGATGCGGGAGGGTTGTCAATGAAGGATACCTCGGTCGTCCTGATAAAAGTTAGCGAAGCCAGACCATAAGCTGCAGAACGGATAGACAACAGCGTTGTCTGTCGGTTGATGGTGAATCTGACATAAACGTGACTTCTGGGTCAGTCTCTGCATTGTGCGTCTCGGGCAGCCGAGTGTCTTGCTGTTGGCTGCGTCGGAACGACTCAAGAATAGGTGCCTTGAAAAATACAACGGTCAGCCACAGTAGTAATGTAATGAGATCGCCTGCGGAAGATGCTAATACCTCCGGGAAATCCACACAGAACGCGTTCATGTTGAGCCCGTATAAAAAGCTTGCAAAGGACTCGCTGAAGCGTGCGAGACTCTCATGCATGAGCTGAAAATGCATCATGTTGGCTTCCAGATCTGTCATCGCATCCGAAAGCTCGGCGAGTGCTGGCTCAAACGCGTTGAGCGGAAACGGCGCGTCACCATCCCCTACGGTTCGCGCTGAATCACGAAACGATGAGCGTGATGAGGGACGCAACGGTGTAGTAGGCCGTGGTGTTCGTGTTCGTGAGCCGGAGCGCTTCGTGCTATGAGGTGTTTCCTCGAATGCCATCTCGTCAAACCCGCGCTGTTTCACAGATAGTTACGATAACGCAAATGCGCACAGGATACGTTAATTCGCAAGGCTGATTGGAGGAGTAGAAATATGCAACGCCTTCCCAAAAAGACCGGTCTCCCCAAGGAAATTGGGCTGTGGCTGGTAGGGTGCCGTAGCAACTTGGTTGTGGGGCAAGATGCCGTCCGAGTGGGTTGCTCTGCGAAGACAAAATAACTAAACCCCAGACTACACAACGTGTCGTCCTAAAACTCGATTGACTTGACTCTAATTCGACATATTTTGGCCCGTATCTCTCCGCTTTTACTGCCCTTATCGCCTCTTGTTTATCCTGTCCTCAAAGGCAATCCGAGAGTCGTACTTCGCTAGCTATCTGCTCTAACGGGGAACCGACCACTCGAGTAGCCAACACAGCTTGCTACCTAGATTGCTTCGAGTCCTGTACGTCCTGTACGTCCTGTACTCACCTCCCTGCTCTACCTATGAATAGGAACCTGGTTGGAGTATTGAAAGCACAAAAAAAACGCTCAGCCTTGAGTCCGCTCCATTTCTCCGCGGCGTTTTGTAAAAGTACCGCATTTACTGACCAGCAAACCCCTATCATTCAACTTCTGGCAAAAAACGCGAGCAAGGCACAGTCTCCGAGAAACCCGAGCCATCACAAGTGCCCACACCAACACTACTTGACACCCCTTCAAAGTAGCACCTCGCATTCGGTCATCTTTCTCATCTTCATTGCCTCCGCCGCAGCTATATACTGGAGTCGTTTTCCAGGCGCAGCTGATCCCCCAGAAATAGTTGACGACCTTTCTCCTTCCACTATGGCATCCACCAAGATCCCCGCTGGCCACTTTGGCAATCTGTCCGCTGAGCAAGAGAAAAAACTGCAAGAATTTTGGCAGGCTGTTGCTGGTGTGTCTGGGTGGTCTGAAAGCAACACTGCGGCGCAGAATGCTACGAGCAAAGCCGCCGAGCCGGCATCGGAGCCTGAACAAAGCAGTGGTGGTTGGGGATTTAGCATGTTCCGAAAGAACGAACAGGCGGGTTCCTCCAGTAAAACTGCCGCCGATGAGGATAAGTTTGGCCTGAACAAGCAATACAGTGAGATTTTAGCCAAACAGTCGGCTGAAGCCATCCGAGAATCTATCTGGGAGATGACGAAACATGACCATCCAGATGTTCTTGCACTACGCTTTCTTCGCGCGCGCAAATGGAACGTTCAGCAAGCCCTCGTCATGTTCATCGCAGCTGTCAACTGGAGGAAGAACGAAATGAAGGTGGATGATGACATCATGCAGAATGGCGAGGCTGGTGCATTGCGTGATGAACATAATGGTAGCAGTGATATAAAACAAGTTGGGACAGATTTTCTCGCGCAGCTTCGCATGGGAAAGAGCTTCCTCCACGGTTGTGACAAGGAAGGCCGACCAATTTGCGTTGTTCGCGTGCGCCTGCACCATGGTGGCGAGCAGAGTGCCGAGAGCACTGAGAAATACACCGTCCATATCATCGAAACTGCGCGTCTGCTCCTCAGCCCACCAGTTGAGACAGCTGTACGTGCTTATTGAGTCCAGAATGGAAAATCAGTACTAATCAACCCTTTTAGACAATCATTTTCGACATGACGAGCTTCAACTTATCTAATATGGACTATGCTCCTGTTAAGTTCATGATCAAGTGCTTCGAGGCCAACTACCCCGAGTCTCTCGGTGCCGTGCTTATCCAAAATGCTCCATGGCTATTCCAGGGTGAGTAGGCTGCAGTCGCGTGTATTGTTCGAAACCATGCTAATGCACGAAAATAAGGCATATGGCGGGTAATCAAGCCTTGGTTGGACCCAGTTGTCGCAGCCAAGGTCCATTTCACCAACGGCAGAAGTGGGCTGGAAGAGTTCATCGCACCAAACAAGATCCCCAAAGAACTCGACGGCGATGAGAATTGGGAGTATAAATACGTTGAGCCCGCGGAAAACGAGAATGTCGCTATGCAGGACACCGCCACCAGAGATAAGATTCTGGAAGACAGATCTACGCTTGTGAAAGATTTTGAAGAGGCTACTAGGGCTTGGCTTCGCGAAGGAAATGGTGATAGCGGTGAAGCAGCTCGCGGAAGACGCAACTCCATCGCAACCCAGTTGAGAGACAACTATTGGAAGTTGGATCCCTACATCCGCGCCAGATCACTCTACGACCGCCAAGGTATCATCGGCGCAACTGGTATCATCAATTTTTACCCGGGTACAGCAGCGGCTGAGAAGTGAAGGTTCAGGCTGATAGCGGTCACTGTATTTATACACTACCGTGCGAATCATGGCGATGAGGTAAAGGTTCTGCGGCGAAAACATCTCGTGATTCCTATATAGATTGAATAGCAACTCGTTCGTATCAACTTACTCTACTCCTTGCTCCTTGCTCCTCGTACTCCGCTCCATGTTAAGTAGTAGAAACATGCTCTTATATCAACAATAGCCTCGAATTATCACATCTTGGATTTGATGTCCTCGCAGAGTGACTTGAGCTTGTCCATGTCACCAGCCGTAGCTGGCCAGCTGATACCAAGGCCTTCTGTCTCGTTCGGTTTCGGGATCTGACTCAGATTAGTATACGTTGAACAGTTTTGAGGAGAGGGTTCTAATTTCCCGTACCATGTGAAAATGGACCTGAGTGAAACAGTCAGCAAATACATAAGAACAATGAAGGGCGGATAGGCGGGTTTACGTGATGAACCTGCTGATGAGCGATGGTCCCATTGTTCTGCAAGACATTATAGTCCGTAGCACCAGTTGCGGACACCAGCTTCTTGAGAGTCGGCTATTGCATCTACCATTAACAGTTTTGAACGAGTACAAAAATCACTTGAAGGGTTGCTCACCAGGATTTCAGTCAGGTGGTCGTCGGGAATATCCGCCAGTTTGGCGCCGTGAAACTTGGGAATGACAAGCTTGATTCTTGCGTGTAAGCTACTTTTTGGCGTTTTGAATGGTTGGTTCTTACTGCATGTCCTTTGCTGAGAGGACCGATATCGAGAAATGCCAGTGTTTTATCACTCTCGAAGAGCTTCATGCAGGGAATTTCACCTGCATAGTGCATCAGCAATAGGGATTTGACCAGATCAGCGTTATGTTTATACCCTTGATAATACGGCAGAAAAGGCAGGCTGCCATATCGAATGTATCGTGTTTCCTGCGGTGCTTCGCCAAAGACAAGCTTGTGTTGTTTGAAATGGGGTGAGGAGGCTTATGGAGGTGGCAAGAGCTACCTCCTACCTACCTATTACCTACCCTACTAACCTAGAGGTAGGTGTAGTTGGGTACCTACCACTAGTAGCCGGGAGAGCTGACTGTGGGGTTCAGCCGAACCAATTGCATTTCGCAAAGCATTGGTTAAACCGGCGCGATTTGCTTAGGGTGGCTAATACAAGGTATTAGTATGTAGATACAAGGTACGAGGATAATATGAGCTCGTATTCTTGGTCGATGGCGGCAGATCCCCAAGGGCTGACGCATGGTGGGACATATAGATATTAAAATAAGCGGCGAATCGAATTGGAGTGGGACCTTCCATCGAACTCACCTCTTGCCTTTTACCAGATGTGACCGTGGGATTGGCCCAGTGTACTCCATTCTCCCAATCTTTGGCACTTCTCGCCTGGAGACCCCAGGTTCGATTTTCTTTTTACCGATTTTTATCACCCACGTTTCGGTTAGTAATATAACTCATAGAAAAGACAGGACTTCCATGTTTCGCTGTGTATTTTTTCCTGACGCGATTTTGCTATAGTTGACACTTAATCTGCAGTCAAAATAACCGCGAGTCGTAGGTTAGGCACCGAGGCTCAATTGAGGGCAGCCGCAAGCTGAAGTGCCTCTACACTCTACAACGCCTACAAATCTACCAGCACACATCAAAGAGAACGGCTAGCGGAACAGCTGCAGTGAAATAAGTAGAACTTTTCCTGTTATGGCTGCTTGAGGAATGACGTAGACTTGTCCCCCACCTCACCCCACTTTGAGAGGTGGTGGGTGGTGGTTGGCGGCTGTGCCTCTTTTATGCTATGCATCTTCACTTACGACAGGACTCATCGTGTTCCTTTAGCCACGACTGCGTTAATGATACCTCTGCAGACTGCCCAGTTCTTCGTGTCAAGTGAGATATTTTAGCCCATAACCAGTCCGCCAGCCACCCGTCGTCGCGACATCGAGCCTACAGAACGAGGACTATGCCAAGCTTCCTTAGCACTTCGTTGTACGGCGGTGCTGTGGTGTCTGATCTTCCCGAGAAGTTTGCCGATGTCAGGTAATACTACTGCGCTTGAAGGTGTGATGGCCTATTACTAAAGGACGTTTGTTCAGTAAGCTACGACAGGTCCCAGACAACCAAGAAGTGTGGATCGACGAGGATGGCTTCACCAGTATTATTTTCGACATGACCGAACGTGTAGGAGAGTCGGGTAGTGGCCCTGAGATTGACGGCCGTGCCATCACCACCCACCTCCAGGAAATGGTTGGATCCGACATCGACAGCGTCAAGATCTGGAATACAGCAGAGACCGAGTTCAGTCGCCTGGAGTAAGCATCATGTTACACCGCAGAGTCTCGTTTCCCTCAAAATTCACGATTTAACATTTGATGCAGATCAAAATATCCAGCCTATACCCTTATTGCGACGCAGACACCGAAATCAAGCCAATCCAGAGATAGGTCATCCACGCCCGACTTCACAGCGATCATTATGACTCTTCTACGACTCGAAAAATATAAGACTGATATTCTTATCACTATCAATGTGCCCCATATCAAAGGCGAGTATAACGAAGAAGACGTAGACCTGGAACTAGGGAGACAAGGCAAGCTCATAGGTGACGCTGTCGAATACTCTGCACGCATCTGGAAGTCATTCAAGATTAAGGATTGGGATCTTTTCGTTGTTGAGAAATGATATTAGTACTCAGATGATTGTTTGATGAGATGTATACTGCAGAGCCTTTCGCAGAGCCATCCACAGCAGCCTCGATCGTGAATCAGAATACTAATGGAAGGCAACGGCCTTGGAAATTGTAGCTTAGATACGTCTTCAATAGTATTTACAGTTGAGAAACTCAATCATGTCTGCAAATAACCTTGGTACAGTATATATACAATGAGAGGGCTGAAAATACAGTGTCCCGCGGATACGCACTACTCCCCCAAGCTGAGACCAAGCAGCTGGGCGGCAATATCACGAACGTCCTCTTTCGCTTGTTGCGACTCTGCCGGCTTTGATCTCCTTGCCCACCTTTCCGCTGCCATTTGCATAATGACCTTCTGGGGGCTACTAGGGTCTTCTCGCTTCAAAGCTTTCATCTCGTCTTTGATAAAAAGTTGATACTCGCTCGGTTTCCCACCATTTCTGGGGACCGGCTTGATTTGCACGAGCTTGCCTTGACACCCGCCACACCGATGCTTCTCAGGGTTGATGCTCTTCGAGTGCCGCTTGTAACTGCATGAGCAACCGCCACACTGCCATACGTATTTGAAGTCAATCTGGTAGCTGTGCTTTGTTGTGACCTTGATGCCCCGACTAGCAAAAGTTTGAGAACATTTCTCCGCCCAATGCTTGAATTCCTTGCCGTGGGGATTGTTTGTGATGCCACTGATCATGAAGTTGGCAAGATGGCAGAATTCATGGGCCAGCACGTTGAGGAGTTTACTCTCGTCATCAATGACCTTCTCTGCTAGCTCAATGGACGCATGGTGGCTGTAGGTAATGATAGCGTCAGATCCATCGGATGGTGTCATCCGAACAGTCTCCTTCTTCCAATTTGCGCGACCAGCCGTTGTGTTGAGGGTCTTCAGCCATTCGATCTTGACCCCTCCTGTGGACCTAGATAGCTCGGCAATTCGACCATTTGTGATTTGGCAGTCTAGTTCCTCAAGAAATTGGATAGCGAGTGTAGCCTTCTGGGCTTCGAATAAGATTTTGCTGGGTTTAGAGGGGCCAGATTGCTTGATTGGAGACCGCAGCGCGGTTTTCGTAGCTTTGCGAGGGCTGTGCTCATCATTCCAACAATCAACCAGACTCTGCCTCCAGAAGTCATCCTTTGTAGGTGTGTGGGGGCCTTGAGGGATATTGCGCGCTTTGCGAGGAGAGGTCGGGAACTTTCGAGCGACCGTCGTGGCCGTCGTAGACGTGTCGAGAATGCCACGATCGTTACGGAGTTCATTGCCCCGGCACTGCTCCCTAACCAGCTGCTCAGGCAATATGTCCTCGTCAATGCCTGCACCGCTTGTGGCATCGGTGTTCTCCTTCTCAGCGCTGTCCATGGCACAAGCCGTTTCTTGCGTGAATTTTGGGCGCATGATGTCGTTAGTTTGGCGACGAGTGTTCATATCCCTGGGTGAGAGCGGAAAGATCGTGTAGTCAATGGCCACTTCCTCTGTGCCTTTGCTACCCTCGACTTCTGCGATCTGTGCCTTACTGTCGGGGCCAGGCATCTCTCGGGGGGTCGCGTCTTCCAGGATCGTGAGACAGTTGTCATGCTTTAAGCGAGCCATGCGCTGGGGAAATTCGGTGGGCTGGCTCGTGAGCTGGAGGCTGGCTGGTAGAGTGACATCACCCATATCTATCTCTGAGAACGACGATGAAGATGATTCATTGTCCGAGAATGTAGTACCGAGGAGTGTAGAGTTCAGTAGTGTGGTGTTGGGCCCTTGTCTTGTCTGTTTTCTGTTGACCAGGAGAGCCTCCCCCATTATCAGCTCGGGCCGACTTTTCATCTTCGGCTCAACCTTTCGAGGCGAAATGTTTCTGGAGAAGTCGAGAACCTTTTTCGAACTCTCCGTGGTCCACGGCTGCAAAAGAGGATTGGTGGCAGCAAGCTTTTCGCCATCTAGACGACGAACTCTGCGTGTCGATGGTTGTGTGGTAGATCTCGGCACAAGCTCTCTCCTGCGCATGGGGGTCTTGGGGTCTAGCAATGTCTTCTGGAACTCTTGTACTGGCTCTCCGAGCTTGTCGCTGTGCTCGACATGGTGGGTGAATTGATCTATTAGTCTTGACATGCTGTTGATCCTGGTTCACGAATGCTGTTGTAATCTGCTTTGTGTTAATAATAGAGACGTTAAGGTGTACCGGTTGGTGTACTAGTAGTTAGATGAAAGGGTTGTCACGGTCTCTCGTTTATTTGGGTGCGTTGCCAGGACGACCATGGCCGTCCATCTTGGTCACGTGAACATTCTATGTGGTATCCTGGGGGAATTTAGTGTTTATTTGTCATATGGACCTTGGGGCTAGAAAATCAATGCATGTGTCTTCTGTTGTAATGCTATCAGACTGTTAGCATGTTTTAAAAACCTTGTGTTTTCTAATAAGCCGTGTTAGACACCTGATAGCTTGGCTGAATGTTGCGATTTACGAGGGGTTAGCAGTTACCCAAAGAAGTGTCTCCTGAGGTGTGACGGACATCCCAACAGCGCCGAAAGGTACGCGGGATACAAGTGAACAATCAGCCGTCCCGTCAAACACCCGGGGGAGACGGTTATCACGCGTTCTTGACTACAAATTACTGGTAGGATAAACGTGCATACATACCCGCAAGTTATAGCGGCACTGTGCCTGCAAAACGTGTTCATTTATTGGCGCTGTGAATTTAAATAGGTAGGTCAGAACTAGGTATTAGTTAGGTACCAGGTAGGTAGGTTAGGTAGGTAGAGGTAGTTAGGTACCTAGGTAGTTCTGGTAAAAAAAACAACTGGCCCGGCCCCTCAGGAGAAGGAGAGAGGCCAGCGTCAGGAATGGGATATATCGTGCCTCGTATGATACTGCGCGAGGGCAAGTGAGGGCCAGAGGGATCTTTACTAAATTAGTTAGCAAGATAACAACGGCCAAACGCAAATTTTCTTGGTCTTGTTAAAGAACGGCATAGATAATAATGTAATATTGACAACTTAGTATCAAATCCACTCAGCGCAAACACTTCTTTCGTACCTACCTACTACCTGTCACCTGCCTACATACATACCTACCTACCTACCTAGGTACCTAGGTAGGTTGGTACGTCGGTAGGAGGTACCTTTCTGGTACCAGGCAATACTAATACCATTCGTTAGGTACCTAGGTACCAAGGTATGTACTTAGGTAGGTTGGGAGGCATTTTCTTACCACTAAAAGTCTATCTTTAGCACTGGCGCGACCGGATCGGCATCGTCCAATCGCAGCCCTCAATCAGACTAATCAGACTTGCTGTTGCCACTGCTCCAGCCCCCTGCGCCACTCAAACGTTGTCTGTCCAAGGCAGGGAGACGCTCCAGTGGGTTCTGCCCCTGAAAGAATGAATTCAAAGCCTGATTTGCGATGACACGATAACAGGTACGTACCTACGTTGGTATTAGAGGTATTAGAGAAGCAAGGCTGTGCGTTGTACGGTGCCAACTCATTTAGGTTGGGGCAACAACCGATAACTGGCAAAAGCGAGAGGGATCGGCGTCCAGGCTCCAGGTACTCCGAGCATTACGAAGAGGCAAAGGAACTATCGGCGATCCTCAGCCATCGGTTTTCACTACGGAGTACTTCCTGCCATTCCCATTTGAATCGACGGATAAGCCGGAGTTAGTGGGGCGCGGCAAGCATTTCCCCCTGGAATAATATGTACAGGCACTGAAAAAGGATGGATGACCCCACCGATTCAGCAGCAATGGACCACTAGGTACCTGGTACTTAAGGTACTCTGCCAACTGTAAATTGACGATGTAGGTTAGTAGGTGTCTATGTACCTACCTCCGAGGTACCTGCCTACTACTACTACTACTACATAGGTACCTACCTCCTCTTATATAGGTACGTAGGATGGGGCCAGCGACACGAATCACAGCACCGCCACATTCCCCCTGGCCCCCCTTCCCAAGAGATTTTCTTGACGGGCTGCTCCTCGTTTCTTTAACTCAATCACCGTCGCAGGATAGGAGACAAGACAACGCTACTGCTCTACATGGGCAATACCTTCCCTTCGCTGTCTTACCCGTCTTGCCCATCGCTCTACTACACGCATTGCGTATAGCCAGCGGTTCTCTCGTTTTCTTCCTTGTCCACATTCGTTTTTCCAATCGCCTTCTCGCTGCACTCAACAGGCAGGTCCTGCCGTCGACGACGTTCATTTTGCGGTATTGGTTGTCTTGGCATTTTCAGTGCACGCATTGTGCTCGTGCTCTTCAATCGCATCCAGCCGGCCCAGCCAAACGAAGCGGTGACTACGAGTCTCTAACATTGCTGCCTGTTCAAGCGCTGCTCCCGATATCATCCAAACTTGCGCCAGATGCTATAATAGAACTGCAGGTTTGTCGAATCACACGCACAACATCATTATACGCATTCATCTAACCCATTTTCTCGGCAGCTGACCTCCCAAAACAATATGTCTGGTTACCAAGGTGGTCACCACGACCAGTACGACCAGGGCTACGGCCAGGCCGGACATGGCGATGGATATTACCAAGATGATCAGTACTACGACCAGGGCCACGGCGACCACGCTGCCCAGGGCGATCACGCTGCCCAGGGCGACCACGGCGCCCAGGGTACTCAAGGTGACGGCTACTATGATGAATCGTGAGTGTCCACGCCTGTATTCGTGACCGCCTGACCATCATCTGACCTCAAACCAGCGGCTACTATCACGCCGATGCCAACAACCCATATCACCAGGACGGAGGCTACTACGATGGGCATGACCAATACCAGGACGACTACTACAACAATAACCAGGGTTACTATGATGGCGAGTATAACCAAGGCTACGCTCAAGGTGGTCGCCACCCATCCGAAGAAGAATCCGAGACATTCAGTGATTTCACGATGAGGTCTGACATGGCTCGCGCCGCCGAAATGGATTACTATGGCCGTGGCGATGAGCAATACAACGGATATGGAGAAGGTGGCCGTGGTTATCGCCCACCGTCCTCGCAGCTGTCTTACGGGGGTAATAGGTCGTCCGGTGCCTCGACTCCCAACTACGGCATGGAATACGGCAACGGCCTCGCAAGCCAGCGCTCCAAGGAACCATACCCTGCTTGGACATCTGACGCTCAAATCCCACTTTCAAAGGAAGAGATCGAGGATATTTTCCTTGATCTAACGTCGAAATTCGGATTCCAAAGAGATAGCATGCGCAACATGTACGACCACCTTATGACACTTCTGGACTCGAGAGCTTCTCGCATGACACCTAACCAGGCGCTCCTGTCCCTCCATGCCGACTACATTGGAGGTGACAATGCCAACTATCGCAAATGGTATTTTGCTGCCCACCTCGACCTTGACGATGCTGTTGGCTTCGCCAATGCCTCTACCAAGAACAGAAAGCGCAAGGCCAAGAAGGGCAAAAAGAAGGGTGGCGAGGCTGGAAACGAGGCGGAGACCCTGCAAGAACTCGAAGGTGATGATAGTCTTGAAGCCGCGGAGTATCGCTGGAAGACACGCATGAACCGTATGTCTCAGTACGATCGCGTTCGCCAAATCGCACTTTACCTGCTGTGCTGGGGCGAAGCCAATCAGGTCCGATTCATGCCAGAGTGCCTTTGCTTTATCTTCAAATGCGCAGACGACTATCTCAATTCACCGGCTTGCCAGGCTCTTGTGGAGCCAGTTGAGGAGTTCACGTTCCTCAACAACGTCATCACACCACTGTATCAATACTGTCGTGACCAGGGATATGAGATTCTCAACGGCGTCTACGTTCGCCGAGAACGTGACCACAAGCACATTATCGGCTATGATGATTGCAATCAGCTGTTTTGGTACCCTGAAGGTATCGAACGTATCGTTCTCGAAGACAAGAGTAAACTTGTCGATTTACCCCCTGCTGAACGCTACCTTAAGTTGAAGGAGGTGAACTGGAAGAAGTGTTTCTTCAAAACATACAAGGAATCACGCTCGTGGTTCCACTTGTTACTCAATTTCAACCGTATCTGGGTCATACATCTGACCATGTTCTGGTTCTACACGTCACACAACGCTCCGTCGCTCATCACCTACCAATACGAGCAGCAGAAGGACAACCAACCACCAGCCTCCAAGCAATTTTCGATTGTTGGCTTTGGTGGAGCTATTGCATCACTGATTCAAATTTTTGCGACGCTGGCTGAGTGGGTGTATGTTCCACGCCGTTGGGCCGGAGCGCAGCATCTCACGAAACGGCTACTGTTTTTAATTGTCATCCTCGTTCTCAACGTCGCACCAGGTGTCAAGGTTTTCATGTTTCACGGTAACAAAGATGGGAAAGACGCCGACCAGAAGAACAAAGACACACCTATCGACAAGGCTATCGGCATTGTCCACTTTGTCATCGCAGTCTTTACGTTTTTGTTCTTCTCGGTTATGCCTCTTGGCGGCCTCCTCGGCAGCTATCTGACAAAAAAGTCACGACGTTATGTGGCTAGCCAGACTTTTACAGCCAGTTACCCTCGCCTGACTGGCAATGACATGGCCATGTCATTTGGTTTGTGGCTGACCGTGTTCGGAGCGAAGTTTGGCGAATCTTATGTATACCTCACTCTTTCATTCCGTGATCCAATTCGATATCTGTCCATCATGAAGATTGACTGCTTGGGCGATGCGATGTTCGGAAGCACGGCGGCGACGCAGCAGATACTGTGCAAGCACCAGCCTACAATTGTTCTCATTCTCATGACGTTCACCGATTTGATCTTCTTCTTCCTGGACACCTATCTTTTCTATGTCATCTTGAATACCGTGTTCTCCATTGCACGCTCTTTTTACATCGGCTCATCGATCTGGACGCCATGGCGAAATATCTTTTCGAGACTGCCAAAGCGTATTTACTCCAAGGTGCTCGCGACGACTGATATGGAGATCAAATACAAACCCAAGGTCCTCATCTCCCAAGTCTGGAATGCCATCGTCATTTCAATGTATCGCGAGCATCTTCTCGCAATCGACCATGTGCAGAAGCTGTTGTATCACCAGGTGCCCTCTGAGCAGGAAGGCAAACGGACATTACGCGCTCCGACCTTCTTCGTTTCCCAGGAAGACCACTCGTTCAAAACAGAATTCTTCCCCAGCCACAGTGAAGCTGAGCGGCGCATCTCATTCTTTGCCCAGTCTCTCTCCACACCTATTCCCGAACCCGTCCCTGTCGATAACATGCCTACGTTCACAGTCATGATCCCCCATTACAGTGAAAAGATTCTCCTCTCTCTGCGAGAAATCATTCGTGAAGACGAGCCCTACTCCCGTGTGACACTCCTGGAATACCTGAAGCAGCTTCATCCGCATGAATGGGAATGCTTTGTCAAGGACACAAAGATTTTGGCAGATGAAACAGCTCAGATGAATGGCGAACCAGAGAAGAGCGAAAAAGACACAGCGAAGAGCAAAATCGACGATTTGCCTTTTTACTGCATTGGTTTCAAGTCTTCTGCCCCGGAGTATACTCTTCGCACACGTATTTGGGCCTCTTTGCGTTCGCAAACTTTATATCGCACAGTGTCTGGCTTTATGAACTACAGTCGTGCCATCAAGCTCCTGTATCGTGTCGAGAATCCCGAGGTTGTTCAGATGTTTGGTGGAAACTCGGAAAAGTTGGAGCGAGAACTGGAGAGAATGGCTCGACGCAAGTTCAAGCTCGTTGTGTCTATGCAACGCTATTCCAAATTCAAGAAGGAAGAGATGGAAAATGCCGAATTTTTACTGCGCGCCTATCCGGATCTTCAAATTGCTTACCTGGATGAGGAGCCTCCTCTAGCAGAAGGCGAGGAACCTCGCCTGTACTCCGCACTTATCGACGGTCACTCAGAACTCATGGAGAATGGTATGAGGCGACCAAAGTTCCGTGTCCAGCTCTCTGGTAACCCGGTATTGGGTGATGGTAAATCCGACAACCAGAATCACGCCATCATCTTTTACCGCGGTGAATACATTCAGCTCATCGACGCCAACCAAGACAACTATCTGGAAGAATGCCTGAAGATTCGCAGTGTCCTCGCAGAGTTCGAGGAAATGAAGCCAGACAACCATTCCCCTTACACACCCGGAGTCAAGAACGATGTGCACACTCCAGTTGCTATTCTTGGTGCTCGCGAGTACATTTTCTCGGAGAATATTGGTATTCTCGGTGATGTTGCTGCTGGAAAAGAACAAACATTTGGTACCCTCTTTGCCCGTACTATGGCACAGGTTGGTGGCAAACTTCACTACGGCCATCCTGATTTCCTAAACGGTATCTTCATGACAACACGAGGGGGTGTATCGAAGGCTCAAAAGGGACTGCATCTCAACGAAGATATTTTCGCAGGTATGAATGCACTTGTCCGCGGTGGACGCATTAAGCACTGCGAATACTACCAGTGTGGCAAGGGTCGTGATCTTGGATTTGGTTCTATTCTCAATTTCACGACCAAGATTGGCACCGGCATGGGAGAACAATGGCTCTCTCGGGAATACTACTACCTCGGCACTCAACTTCCTCTTGACAGATTCCTGTCCTTCTACTATGCACACGCGGGCTTCCACGTCAACAACATGTTCATTATGCTGTCTGTCCAGTCATTTATGCTGACGCTGATGTCCATTGGCGCACTGCGACACGAAACAATCCGCTGCGACTACAATCCACAGAAACCAATCACGGATCCTCTGTATCCTACGAAATGCTCCAACACGGACGAGCTGATGGGCTGGGTCTACCGTTGCATTATCTCTATTTTCTTCGTCTTCTTCATCTCTTTCGTGCCGCTCATTGTCCAAGAATTGACCGAACGAGGTGTGTGGCGTGCAGCTTTGCGCTTCATTAAACAGTTTTGCTCTCTATCTCCGTTCTTCGAAGTGTTCGTCTGTCAGATTTATGCCAACTCAGTCCAGTCGGATCTTGCATTTGGTGGCGCTCGTTATATTGGTACTGGTCGTGGTTTCGCAACGGCTCGTATTCCGTTTGGCGTTTTGTATTCGCGATTTGCCGGACAGTCGATTTATTTCGGTGCAAGATTACTGATGATGCTCCTGTTCGCTACTTCTACTGCCTGGCAACCTGCTCTGACCTACTTCTGGATCGTTCTGCTTGGTCTCATCATCTCACCGTTCCTGTACAACCCTCATCAGTTTGCTTGGACCGATTTCTTCATAGATTACCGTGACTTCCTTCGATGGCTGTCTCGAGGCAATTCGCGCGCACATGCTTCTTCCTGGATCATGTTTTGCCGGCTCTCCCGTACTCGCATCACGGGATACAAGCGCAAAGTCATGGGCGATGCTTCTGCCAAGATGTCTGCTGACGTTCCCCGCGCGGCTGTGGCCAACATCTTCTTGACCGAGATCCTCACGCCATTGCTACTTGCTGCCACCACCACGGTTGCTTACCTATTCGTCAATGCACAGACCGGTGTTACAGACAATGACAAGAACTCGAGTTCCTCGCCTGGCTTTAAGATTGGGCCTAGCGGCGCATTGATTCGATTGGCTGTCGTGGCTTTTGCGCCTATCGGCATCAACGCCGGCGTTCTTGCAGCCATGTTTGGAATGGCTTGTTGTATGGGACCAGTTCTGAACATGTGTTGCAAGAAGTTCGGGCCTGTTCTCGCTGGTATCGCCCACGGCGCGGCTGCAGTCTTCATGATTATCTTCTTCGAAGTTATGTATGTTTTGGAAGGATTCAACTTCGCCAGAGCTCTTGCGGGTATCATCGCCGCCATGTGCATCCAGCGTTTCATTTTTAAGCTCATTGTGTCACTGGCGTTGACCAGAGAGTTCAAGACTGATCAGTCCAACATTGCCTTCTGGAACGGAAAATGGTACTCAATGGGCTGGCACTCAGTATCCCAACCGGCGCGAGAGTTTTTATGCAAGATTACGGAACTCAGCATGTTCTCTGCTGATTTCATTCTGGGACATTGGATTTTATTCATGATGGCTCCGTTGATTTTGATCCCGCAGATTGATAAGATCCATTCCATGATGCTCTTCTGGTTGCTGCCTAGGTAAGCTAAGTCATCCGAACCAAGTTGATCGAAAGCTAATGTCCCCATGTAGTCGTCAGATTCGCCCACCCATCTACTCCATGAAGCAGTCAAAGCTTCGGCGTAGACGTGTTATTCGATTTGCCATTCTTTACTTTGTTCTCTTCATCATTTTCCTGGCGCTCGTTGTTGCTCCAGGCGTCATTGGCAAGAAGTTCCTTGGCGATACAATCTTCAAAGCTCTGGATAATGGCAACGGCGGCCCCGCCAATTTGCACCTTCTGCAGCCGTGGGGACTGGACAACAACAACACTGAAGGCAAGACTGAAACTGGCACCAAGGCTGGTGGTGCTGATGCATCTGCCACAGATGCCTCGAAGCTGCGTCTATTCTAAGCTTGAAACGCCACACGCATCGATTGAAAAGCACATGTTCTGGGAAATCACAAACCATTGTACCGATTATTAGATTGTTTCTGTTATTATTTTGATCATTTTGTCTCGGATAGGGTTAATACAGAAGTTTTGGTTGGTACGTTTTTCAAGGAGTGAAAGAAGGAGTATTGTTGAACGAGGGATAGTAAATGCCGTCAGTGTACCTTGTCAATCTGTGCTGTCTATGTAGTTGACTTGGTGCCTAGATTGCCTGTTCTTCTGCATATTCTGATTCACCTCGAGGCCCCGCCTCCAACCAGCTCCTCCTTCTAGTTGTACAAGTCTAATAGCATGACAATTCGATGCTGGGTGACCTTTTAGAGTTAGTACTACATAGCCCCCACAAGGCCCAGTGAAGCGCCACTGCAAAAAAACGCGATGTGGGCCTGTCGTGTACATTGTCAAATCGTGTACCCCTGAGTTGTCCACTTGTCTTGCGCCTACCACAGAATGCACAAAATGCTCGGGTCTGCCGGGAGTTGATCTGCCATCTACAAGCACACGACAACGAACACCAAATCTTTCATCAAGCATGGATTTTGACAGTCTCAACAGGCAGGCACATGACTTAGTGCATGTTGCATCTTCACTTTTCCAAAAAGTGCCTGGCTCTGCTGTTTTGATTCGCTACATACAATCGAGCTACCAGAACGACCCTGTTCGATCTGCCATCGAGCTTATTCTGGTGCTGTTCTTTATCCGATATCTGCTGTCGCCATCATACTCGACGCACAAGCAGAACTTTGTCAAACTCAAAGAAGATGTTCGCCTGCGTTACCTGCTGCTCGTACATGAACTTTGCTGATCAGATCTAGGAGATTGAAGAGCTAGTGGACGACTGGATCCCGGAGCCGCTAGTTGCTGAACAGACCGCATTGGAGGAAACTGAGAACGAGAAGCTCCCTATTATTGTTGGGTATGTTTATGGTGACACCTGCTTGAACTCGCGAGTCTAATCAAGGCTTGTAGTCCAACGGGACCGAAAGTGAAGCTATCCACTGGACGAACGGTTACAAACCTCGCCTCATACAACTTCTATAACTTCAATTCGAATGAACAGATCAAGGAAAAGGCGATCCAGACTCTTCGCACTTATGGTGTTGGACCCTGTGGCCCACCCCAGTTCTACGGCACGCAGGACGTCCATGTCAAAGCAGAAGCGGACATCGCCGAATATCTTGGTACGGAGGGCTGCATCGTATACGCCCAATCGTTTTCTACAATCTCTAGTGTCATTCCGACATTTTGTAAGAGAGGAGATGTCATCATTGCGGACAAGGGTGTCAACTACTCCATCCGCAAAGGACTCCAGGCTTCGCGAAGCAATATTAAATGGTACAACCACGGCGATATGGAGGACTTGGAAAGAGCTATGAAAACTGTTGTCAAGGAACAGAGCAAACTCAAGAAACTGACTCGTCGCTTCGTCGTGACAGAAGGACTATTCGAAACGACTGGCGATGCTACCGATTTACCTAAACTCGTCGAACTAAAGGAAAGATACAAATTCAGAATTATCTTGGATGAAACCTGGTCGTTCGGTGTCCTTGGACGTACAGGGCGCGGTCTGACGGAAGCTCAAAATGTCGATCCTCAACAGGTGGACATGATTGTCGGGTCTCTTTCTGGCCCTCTCTGTGCTGGTGGTGGCTTCTGTGCTGGTGCAAAGGATGTCGTTGAACACCAGAGAATCACCTCCTCTGCTTACACCTATTCAGCAGCCCTGCCAGCCATGCTGGCGATGACAGCTAGCGAGACTGTGCATATTTTGCAGTCGAGCCCTGATATTGTGAACCAGTGCCGCGAGAACATCAGGACTATGAAGCTTCAGTTGGACCCTCGCAGTGAATGGGTCACATGCACGAGCAATCTCGACAATCCCATCATGCTCTTGGTCTTGAAACCTGAGGTGATCCAGTCACGCAATCTCAGCATTGATGACCAAGAACGCCTGCTGATGGACTGTGCTGACGAGGTATGTACCGCCGCCGGCATCCACAATTGCAAAGCTAATATGTTTCAGTCATTGGCTAATGGTGTAATGATTTCTCGCCTCAAAACTCGCATGTATGCCAACATCATGACGGCAAAGACGAATGACTGGTTCGTGCAACCCGCTCTCAAAGTCTGTATAACATCGGGGCTATCGAAAAAAGACATCGAGAAAGCTGGCGTTACCATCCGAAATGCAATCAGCAAAGTCATGACGCGGAAGCCAACCGCCAAAGCTATCTGAACTCAATGGCTAGAAACGGGGGCTTGCAACTTCATTCACGTGTACATAGGTTCAGTACGGTAAAAGGTGGGTGGTAAATATTCTAGAACACATAATATTATTAATTTATAGACTGAAAAACAGTCACCATGCATAGTTGCTGTCTCTATTCTCTTCGTACCGTTGCTGTTACACACCGAGATCTGACTACACTGGCTCATCGATCTCTTTGAAAAATCTGGCAACATTTATTACACTCAAGAGAGGTAGGTAGTGAGGGCGATGTATCCATACCCAGATACAGGTAAACAATGCTCAATTTTCATGGACCACTAACTGCACGGCGCAAGTCGAACCGCCGCAGAGTGCGCTGGTTGAGAAAAAAGTGCACATGGACATGAAGTGTCAAATAATTCCTGCTTACCTAGGTAGTCTGTTGTCTGCTGTTTTCCATATCTTCAGTACTCGAAGCTCTCTTGACCCTGCCCCGGCACCAGTGCGCACCGCCTTCGCCAACAGTGTTTTGGCCCCAGCTAACATTCCACGGCCACCCTCGCTCGCTCTTGCTTTACCTATCTCAATGGCGCTGCGCGGCGCATTTCTAGAACGCTCTATTTTTTGACGGCTTTAGATACCTTCGAAGTGTGTGCAATGTACCAATATACTGAGCTTAGGCCCATAGCAACGCCGGCGTGTTGTTTCGACTTGCTCTTTACTCTGTGCTGCGCTCACCTCTCGCATCCTCTACTACCTGGTGCTGACATCCCTAGAATACACAATTTTATTATCTTCCTGTTTCCTACGCCATTTATTCTTCCATTCTTGACCTTAATTATATATACCTATTGTCAGAACATGACTTTCAGACGAACCCTGGCCGCTGCTCTGGTCGCTGTGCCATTTATCACTTGCCACCCTACGCGTGAGATACATCCCCGTTATCCTGCGTCAGAAACGAAAAAGAGCTGGTGTCTAACATTTACGCCAGCTGCTAATTCCATTGACCGTAGTGGCTATGATGAGCATAGTAATATCGTCGTCTTCAACTACGAAGTCGAATCCGCCGTTCATGTGCCCGAGGTTGTTGTTTGGGACGATAACGATGAGGTTGTAACCTCGAACCCGACAATTCTGCGTCTTCCTCCCAAAATGGCGTCGAATTACGTGACTGGAAATTTGCACCCAACTGCCGAACCAACCATTACTACGACCATGACATCCTTGATCACGCAGACCGTGACCGTGACCGTGCCTGCCCCGACTCATTCGCCATCTGGTATCCCGGTAACACCCCCCAGAGTGAATTCTACAGAACTCTTTGGTGTCTCGTATACCCCCTACCGTGCTGACCACGGATGTAAGAGTCAGGAAGATATCGACGATGACATTGACAAAATTGCTGGACAGTACTCTGTCATCCGTGTCTACGGCACAGACTGCGACCAAGTCGCCATGATGTACAAGACTGCCAAGAAGACGGGAATGAAGCTGTTCCTAGGTATCTGGGATCCTTCCACTGTTGAAGACGAAGCCCACAAGATTATTTCTGGTATCAACGGTGATTGGAATATGGTTCACACTGTCAGTGTTGGTAATGAGCTGGTCAATAATGGCCAGGCATCCCCCAGCCTTATTATCAACGTTATGAGATCTGCCCGATCCATGCTCCGCGCGGCAGGTTACCAGGGTCCGGTTGTGACTGTTGATACCTTCATGGCGGTTCAGGCTCATCCCGAACTATGTGACGCTTCAGATTACTGTGCCATGAATGCTCATCCGTTCTTCGATAGTACCACCACTGCTTCCTACGCAGGACGTTGGTTGGTCAAAACCATCGATCGCGTCAAATCTGTTCTGTCAACCTCAAAGAGAGTTATCATCACCGAGACTGGATGGCCAACCAAGGGGCTTACCAATGGTGTTGCTGTGCCAGGCCTCGCTAACCAGAAGATGGCTTTGGATTCTATACAAGAGGCTTTCGCTGCCAGTCCCGGTGATATCATTCTTTTATCCGCTTTCAATGATCTCTGGAAGACGAAAGCTGCATCGACATTTGATGCTGACCAATTTTGGGGAATCAACGGTGCTGTCGCCAATTGTGATTTATAAATTACTTTGCAAAATCTTTTGATTCGTCCAACGGTGCCCTTTCTAGGTGGGAGAGTGGAATTCGAAGCGAATCTCTCCCTGGATGGCATAGCATGGATGAAGTGCTCCATCGGTTGTCCTGCGGCACATATCTTTTCGCAATCGACTATGGAATTTATACGAGATAGCTTTCTATCAATCGAGGTATCAACTATAATATCCCCACTGGACCATTGTACAAGAAGTGACTAACGTTAGTTCGACGGTTACTTTTCTCGTCTGATGTATGTTTTGTTCATTCGCACTATTTTGTATCTAGCTGCCCTTCAATGAAATTCCAGTTTCACGACACACAAAGAGCAACTAGTGAAGTCCTTCAGATCCTCACCCAATCATCTTCGTAGACATATGGTGATTGCATTCTTGTATATCGACTCGGGAGGATGCCGCTCACAAGCTCAAGACGAGGTGTAGATCGAAAATATTATCTAGTTGTGTTCCTCTGCAAACAATCGCCGGAATGTGAAGGCGGAGGTGGTACGCCTAGTTGGTGATTTTCTGTTTATGATTGAACTTCCAGAAGGTCATAAGCAAAGCTATCTAGCTCAATGACGCGAAACTTTTCGCCCCATGTGGCAGTCCAGTCATTGTCTTTCCATGAAGACGATAGACTACCATGCCAGGCGACGAGCTCCACGTTCCAACCCATGCGTAAGGCTCTTTCGACATAGCGAAAGAATCCATCCGAGTATTGTGCCGGCTTTGCGTCGCCAGTGGCCAAGACAATGGTACCCTGTTTCTGAAAATGTTCCATGACGGCCTCGGCGATGCGTGTCTGGAGTGTTTCGTCGACCAGATCCTCAACATATCTGGAGCCGGGTTTTGTTCCGAGTGCGGACGGTAATTTGCTCTGGGATACATTCAACCCACCATTGTCAACACGTTTGCGCTCCCGCACATCCACTTGGTACCCAAGGTTACGCAAGGCTTGCACGTACCTGGGCTCCTTTCGACCAGGAAAAATAGAGCACCCGACGTGAAGCCCTCTGGAGGAGCGTCCACGAACAAGTAGTTCCGTCAAGAATTGCAAGTTGAGCCGTGGTAAAGGTGAGAACCTTGCAGCGTCTGCCACGCCGTATCTCTTCTTCAGAGCTTTCTGGAAGCTTATTTCAATATTCGACAGATCCAGAAATATGTAAACGCCGTGGGATGAGTTGGAAGGAAATTTAAGTGTCAAGTGACGATCTGCTGTGCAATATGGAATAAGATTTTGAGTGAGGGATCGGTGGGCTGCTTCAACGGTGCGGGCAACGTCGAATATTGGTACCACGACCGCTTTATCGGAGAGCTCATAAGTGAGTATGCGTGTGAGCTGAGAAGTGGACTTCTTCCGCCTGTGCAGACTGACTCGCGAGGTGCGGTGGTCCAAAGTCGACCGAGATCGTTGTAAGGAAACTTGATTCGAGCTAGATATCTGTTCTCTGGCCGCTCGAGTAGGAGCTGTGCGCGCATTGTCTGCACTGGAAAACAAGTCTGCTTCTGAATCCGAAATAGAAGCTATCTGAATAGATTTGCAAGAGGCGTTGTTGAAGGTTACTAAATCTTCATCACGTGGCTTCTTTGGTGCTGATTTCAAAGCTCGTAACTGATTTACAACCTTTGAAAGATCACCAAGCCTCGTGTCACCTTTCGAAGGGAGCTGGCGATTCAAGATGTGATGAGGGGGGTGGAATCCCGCGGTTGCGGACCGCAAACTTGTGAAATCACCAAGCTTTGGACAGGACTGAGGTCGAGAATAACAAAGTGCTGATCCATCTAGGTCCCTGTTACATAGCCCGGAATTTGGCTCACTGTCATCTTGACATGACCGGTTGCCAATCATCATGCGAGATTGGTGCAAACGAACCCTTTGAAAACGCCAAACAAGATGAAACGCCAAGGATGCACGAGGCTGAAGCATGCATGAGTTCGCAGAGATTGTATTCTCCTGGTCGCAGTCTGCTGGGGTAACAGACTGGCGATAGGAACCCGATCCCCGGTCCGGTAGCCTAGATCGAAGCGATGAAGGCCGGGGCGTGTTGGTACAGAGGCAAGATTGGAGCGTACAGTGCGAGGGGCCGTGTTTAGAAAGGGGAGCGAAGCAGAATGAGAGGAGAGAGGCACAAGTGTGAGAAATGCAATGGTATAGCATCAAAGCCTGGTGGAGGAAAGCGTGCAAAGGCAAAGGTTCACAGCCAAATCTTGGCAATGACGAGCAACCCGGTTGAGCCAGCAGTGCGACCCGAGCCAAATGTGGAGATTGCCATCTGTTAGGCGACGCATGTTCTTTGGCTAGGAGCATACGGCTAGAAAAAGCCCAGGGAGGAATTGCTAGTCAGCATCGAGTGCGATTCCATAAGCTTCATTAAATACATTCAGCGGGGATTGATAAATGAAGTGGCCGAAATAGAACGTGTTCGTGTTTTAAAAACAAGGACACCTGCCCTCCGGATAACTACAGCTCTCATCCTCCAGTTTCCGAGGTGCGAACAACGCCTTAAATACGAAAGACAAGAGGATCACAGATATTTGAGCTACACTACCGACGCGCCTCTGTGGTAGCTCTAGTCAGATCTAGACTGGGCCGAACGGAGCTGCTGGAGCTCCTGCGGCGACGCGCGCGATTCTGGGCAGGGTCGCCCGGATTCAGTCCCGTGGTCCTGGCAAAAATATTGAGGACATCAGTCAATGAAATGACCCCGGTTAGCTTCCCAGATAGGCGGGCGCCAGCCAGCGCAGAAGCCGGCACCGCAGCTACCGGCACCGGAGATGGTGGCGTGGGTGTCAAGGAAGCTTGCGCGGAGAGCAGTGGCGTTGCTGGGGTAGAGGGAGAAGGTGACGCAGATTCCACTACCCACATGCGATGTGACCTTGTGGCCACCAGTTTAGCGACAGTATGTGCTAGACTTGAATAAGGGTTAACATAGAAGACCGGGAACGTGTCCTGACCCTGTTCAACGCCACGCTCATTCAGGATGATCGAAATGAAGTGCATGCAGGAAGAGTTGAGAAGAGGGGCGCTCGAAGTGCTGGTAAGATGGCGAACATCCTTGGTTGATATATTCCCAACCACGTTGTGGCCATTATCAATAACAGCAACGCTCGTCAGTCCTTCTTCATTCATCGTTGTGAGTGCTTCCGAGAGAGGTGAGTCAGAACTGAGCCAGAGTTAGCGACTGCTATTCTGTTTTTTGAGAGACTAGGATTTGATATACTTGACTGAAATAGTATTTTGTGTCCCTATACTGAGATCACGTAGCAAAGCGGGATAGAGTCGTTCAATCGTGGGAAAATTCACACCCTCATTCCAAAAGAAATCGGTCACACGAAGCTGGCTCATCACACCAACGACATGATTGGCTAAGTCGGATATAACAATTCTGTGTATCCCGCTGCCAAGAATCTCGACGGCCTGGGTCAAACTGCTACTGGCGTCGAGTTGCACTGTTGCTTCTCTGCAAAACAATGATTGTAATATGCGAAGGGGTACCTTTTGATTTTGCTGGGCCTTGGATATGATTTCGTTGAAGAGAGCGACTTGATCATCCTCGGGTTTTGTTAAACCAACGACAAGAAGAAGGTATGTATTCAAATCGCCGAAATCGAAAGTTAACGTGACGCTATTCGAGCTCTGAGAGTCACGAACCAGGACGACGCTGGTGGGGCTTTTCAGCAACACCTGTACAATGTCAGGATTTAATCCTTGTGTCTGCAGGATGATTAATGTATGCTCACTCTTGTTGCCTCTTCCACGCTATCGTCTAGCTCAACCCAACAGACATCTTCTGGAGAAACGAGTTCGCCCACGGTAATGTCTCTCCAATCCCGGCCGGTGAATTTGGAATTGTTGTGTTTTCTCGTTGGTGGATTATTCATCAACTCTTGAACGGCGGCTTGCGTCAACGAAGGAGGCCGGTGTCGTGGGGAAGATGGCATCGTGCGCATATTCTCAGCGAAGCTGTGACGATGCCCGGAAATATTGACACTGGAATTGGACGGACTGCGTCGGGGAAGTTGCCGAGGTGCCGGCTCCGTAGCTGCAGACGCGGACGCAGGAGATGATCGCTCTGGCAGTGAAGACTCGCTCTGACCTGCGACTGTGCGTGCACTAGCTTCTGGGGAAGATGCCATGGTGATGGTGATGGTGATGTACGATTATTTTCTTCTGCGAGGGAAGTTGTCTCGCCCGTCACAATGATAAACCCTCTGGCTAAGTACCTAGCGGGGGTGGGGACTGTGATCGTCTCCCAAACTCCCGGGCTGCCTGACTTGGGAGCAAAAGAAAAACACCTCTCACTGTATAATCGGAATTAATTGTTCGTTATACCAGTCGGAATATGTGCGTTGCTTCGCTTGTTTAGGAACTGAGAACGGTTGATATATAGTATATATTTGTTTGATACCTAAGTACCTAGCTGAGTGAGCAACTCAAGGTACCTACCTGGTTAGGAGGTAGGTACCTACCTAGGTAGTTATTGCGCACCTAACCAGGAGTTACATTTGCCATGGAATAGCCGAAGTACGAAGTACTTGTTCAATCGTTAGGCAAATTTTGGTTCTTGGGTTACTCGATTCCTGAACATGATCGTCAGTTCATGACTCGTGACAATGGACCTCGTTTAGTTGCGTCAAGGACACGAGCAGAAGCCTGAAAGTTGGCTGCCATTTGCTTGAGCTTTGTTGCTTCTGCTAACTACGTCTTGAACCCCGTTATTAGAGCGATTCTGTACCAACCAGATAGTTAAGACGCCTCAGATGTGTTATTGCTCACTACTCCGATAAGCACCAACAGGTTACAAGGGCGGTGTAGCTTCGCCTCTCAAGACTCGACGACGTCCTGCTGACCAATTTGAACTTCTGGTTGTCACTGCCACCATGCTCTGATTTCAAGTTTGCCTAACCTTTTGCCAAATCTTGCGCAGCTCATAAGGCACTATGTCATGAGTCAATATTGAAAACATATATGTAGACGGCCTTTCTACTGGCCTATCAAAGTGAACCAATCTGAATGTCCGTGTCTGCCCAATAATTAAGTATTAACGTAGTGCTTGAGGTTGCGACTTGGCCTGTTCGCGCCACAACACAAACAAAAAAGCGCCACTAGTTAGTTACCTTGTGCCACGGCCCCGGAGCAGCCACCAACTCGTCAATGCTGAACCTTTTGGGCACTGTAAAGACTGGTGAGAGTCTCTATTCTAGAGAAAGAAAAGAATTAACATTTTTTCATGTGTGACTTTTTTTTACTCATGAATTGCAATTTTCGAGGAAAAGTGTGAGATTTTCGAGCAGGCTCTCTCGCTCTTGGTGGGGAATACTATCATTTTTCTGGCCGCCTGGCGCAGCTAAACAATAAAAAATTGTTGACAATTTTCCTCGCCTCTTCCCCTCCATAACCCCTCGCGGCTACAGCGCGCGTCTGGATACCCAAACACAAGCTGCTTGACTGCTCTCCGGCGCAGAATCCTTCCCAGTCTTTTCTTCCGTCTTTTCTTCCCTCTATATACCTGAGATCCTGCAAGTCTGATCACCGGCCGAGTTCGACAGCATTCCAAGCGATCTGGTGCTGTCACAGCGACGCTTCCCCTCCCCCGCTCAAGTCTCTACTACCTACCTACCTACCTACTGTTGCTCGCCTGCTAGCCAGGTTCTGGCACGAAAAAGTCTTCTAATACTCGTGTGCACTGTACCGCTACGATATTCTCCTACCATAGATTTCTTTTTGAAGCGAGACACTACTACGACCGCCACCATGTCAGTACTGTCTGCCAACATTTACGGTGAGCTGGCGCAGCTGCTCCAAGGCCTCCAATCCGCCGACAACTCCATCCGCACGAGGGCTGAAGAGCACCTTCACGGTAACTGGACTATCCGTCGCCCGGAAATACTTCTCATGGGCCTTGCTGAACAGATCCAAGGCGCCGGAGACGAACAGGTCCGTTTTATTATTCATACCCTTCCAAATACTGGCGACTAACCTTCACAGACACGGTCATTTGCTGCTTTACTTTTCCGAAGAATCTCCTCTAAAACTCGAAAACTCGACAATGGCCAGACTATGGACCTGTTCATTTCAATCGCCCAAGACCAGGCTGCTGTTATCCGTCAAAAGCTGCTGGAAACCTTGGGCAGCGAGACGGACAGAGCCGTACGCAACAAAATTGGCGATGCAGTTGCTGAAATTGCGCGTCAATACAACGAAAGTGGTGAGTCGGAGCATTTCCCCGGCCGATTTCGATGACTGCGGGTTGTGGTACTAAAGCTTTTACAGGGGACCGATGGACAGACGTGCTCCAAGCTCTCTTCCAGCTCACACAGGCACCAGAGGCCGAGAAACGCGAGACGGCCTACCGTGTCTTCACAACGACACCTGATGTAATCGGACAGGACCAAGCCGATGCAGTCCTCCTGGCGTTCCAAAAAGGATTCAAAGATGACGCTGTCAATGTACGTTAATGCCAGATTACTTTAACTTGAGCTTCCTCCTCACACATCGTTCAAGGTCCGCCTTTCTGCAATGGATGCCTTCGCCGCTTTCTTCAGAACGATCGACAAGAAGAGCCGAACCAAGTACTTTGCCTTGATACCAGACGTTCTCAACATCCTCCCGCCGATTAAAGACTCCCAAGACTCGGACCACCTCAGCAAAGCTCTCGTCGCGCTCATCGAACTGGCCGAGATTGCCCCCAAAATGTTCAAGCAGCTTTTTCAAAACCTCGTCCAGTTTTGCGTATCTGTTATCCAAGATAAAGAACTTGAGGATGTTTGCAGACAGAATGCTTTGGAGCTAATGGCCACATTTGCCGAATACGCCCCCTCGATGTGCCGAAAGGACCCTTCATTTACGTCCGACATGATCACTCAGTGTCTGAGCTTGATGACTGAAATCGGCGAAGACGACGATGACGCTGCGGAGTGGCTCGCCTCTGACGATGTAAGGAATGCACAAGTCCCGAGCCGTACGTTTCGAGACTAACATTCACGATCATAGCTGGATCAGGACGAAAGCGATCAAAACCACGTTGCTGGAGAGCAAGCCATGGACCGATTGGCAAATAAACTCGGTGGGCAGGCCATCCTTGCCCCCACTTTCAACTGGCTGCCTCGTATGATGCAGTCTGGTTGGAAAGACCGACATGCTGCTTTGATGGCCATCTCTGCCATTTCAGAGGGCTGCCGTGAGCTGATGGTTGGTGAACTTAACCAGGTTCTGGATCTTGTCATTCCTGCGCTGCAACATCCCCATCCTCGTGTCCGATGGGCTGGTTGCAATGCCCTTGGCCAGATGAGTACGGACTTCGCTCCCACAATGCAAAGCGAATACTATGACCGCGTCTTGAAGGCTATTATACCGGTTTTAGACTCTCCTGAGCACAGAGTCAAGTCGCATGGTGCTGCAGCCCTGGTAAACTTCTGCGAGGAGGCCGAGAAGTCCACCCTGGAGCCATATCTGGACGATCTGTTATCTCATCTCTTTAATCTCCTCCAGAGTGATATGAGATATGTGCAAGAGCAGGCCCTTTCCACTATCGCAACTATTGCCGATGCTGCCGAGGCCGCATTTTCAAAGTACTATGATACTTTGATGCCGCTCTTGGTGAATGTATTGCAGAACCAAAGTGAAAAGGAATATCGTCTTCTCCGCGCCAAGGCTATGGAGTGTGCCACTTTAATCGCGATTGCTGTCGGAAAAGAGCGACTTGGCCAGGACGCCATGACTCTTGTCAATCTACTGGCTAATATTCAAGCCAGCATTACCGATGCAGACGACCCTCAGGCGCAGTACCTAATGCACTGCTGGGGCCGCATGTGCCGTGTACTCGGCTCTGATTTTGTACCTTTCATGGGCAGCGTAATGCCCCCGCTACTCGAGCAGGCGATGTCCAAGGCTGACATTCAACTGCTGAATGACAACGAGGAGGCCGAGGCTTTGCAGAGCGAAGAAGGCTGGGAATTCGTACCCGTCAAGGGCAAAATGATTGGCATTAGAACCAGCACCATGGAAGACAAGCATATGGCGATTGAACTACTTGTTGTATACGCACAGGTGCTCGAGGGGGCTTTTGCCCCGTACGTCGCTAACATCATGGAAGTTATTGCTCTGCCCGGTTTAGCGTTCTTTTTCCACGATCCCGTCAGATACATGTCTGCAAAACTTGTGCCTCAGCTGCTGGGCTGTTACAAGAAGGCGTACGGGAGCCCATCCAATGAGTTGGCCGGCCTGTGGAACGCAAGTGTGGAGAAGCTCGTTGAAGTCCTCGCCGCAGAGCCTGCTATTGATACACTCGCTGAGATGTACCAATGCTTCTACGAGTCTGTGGAGGTGGTGGGCAAGGATTGTCTCAGCGTTGATCACATGACCAAGTTTATGGATGCTGTTCACTCCACGATTGTTGACTACCAGGAGCGTGTTGCCCAACGAGCTGAGGAGAGAGAGGGTGCCACAGCAGATGATGTGGAAGATGAAGCAGAAGAGACCCTGATTGCCATCGAGGATGATCAAACACTCTTGTCCGACATGAACAAGGCGTTCCACTCTGTTTTCAAGAACCACGGGGCTTCTTTTCTCCCTCTATGGGAAAAGCTTCTGCCCACATATGAAGGATTCCTGACATCTGACGACCCTACTCAGCGCCAGTGGGGCCTGTGCATCATGGACGATGTGCTCGAGTACTGCGGCCCCGAAAGCATGAGATATGCGAACTACATTTCACAGCCCCTCATTGATGGATGCCATAACCCCTCCCCTGCTGTCAGACAAGCAGCAGCCTACGGTATTGGTGTCGCTGCTCACCGTGGAGGTGCCGCCTGGTCTCAATTCCTGGGTGGTACGTTGCCAGTTCTGTTCCAGGCTACGCAGATCCCCGACGCCCGAAATGACGACAATGTCTATGCTACAGAAAATGCTTGTGCATCGATTGCCAAGATTCTGCATTACAATGCTAGCAGTGTTGGCGACGTGCAGGCGGTCATTACACAGTGGATTGAGACACTACCAATCACCAACGATGAAGAGGCTGCCCCGTATGCCTATGCTTACCTAGCAGAGCTGATCGACCAGTAAGTGACTCACAACAATGAGGATGGACGGTGTGCTAACTTCGCTCAAAGGGGTAATCCGACTGTCATGGGCCAAGCATCTAAACTGTTCGTTCTCATCGCACAGGCTCTCGAAGCCGAAACGTTGCGAGGCCAAACTGCCAACAGGGTCGCCACAGCGACCAAGACAATGCTCACAACTGCCAATGTCGATCCCATGCCACTGCTGCAACAATTCTCTCCAGATGCCCAACGCACAATCATGGGCTTCTTTAGCTAGGTCCTCATATTTGGGGCCGGTGTCGAGCTGTATAATGCCGACGAGTTAGGAATGGAAATGGAGTCGATGAAAGCGATAGTAAGATAGACAATACTCGTTGGTAGTGGGATGTGCTTGAGCCGATCACAGTCGGGCTTGGTGCATATGAGGGGCTGCCTAGGATCATGAGTTAGTTTGCAATGTTGTCTTAATTATCCGTGAACAATAAATGAATAGTTTTACACGACGTACATAGTAGGCGGAAGATGTAAACGATCAGAGTGACTCGGAAGGCGCCTTAATAGTTACCAGTGACAATAAAAAAGCGGAAGCCTAGCTCAGCCAGGTTGGGCGCTCTAGTACCTACCTACATATGTACCTTGGTACCTAGGTACCTACACAGGTAACAGGTTAGGTACTACCTACTCAGGCACCAGCGGGACAAATTAACCCGCCAGTTAGGAACACTAACCTCTTCCATATTCTTTCTAGGTATTTTCTTACTATTTATTAACTTCTTTCTCTTTCTCTTTCTAATTTTCCTTATTTTGACTATCCCTCTTATCTTGCTTATACTTATTCTAATTCCCCTTATTTCCGTTCACTAATAATAGAGTGTACTTTTTTTTTTTGTCACCCGCATGCTAGGTACCTACCTATGTAGGTGAGGGGATGGCTTCTACATAGGTACCTAGGTAAGCATGAAACATTCTAGTTACAGCTGTACTAACTAGCACGCCTCGGCTCTGCTAAGAGGGGTTTTTGGAGCACCGGCTAAGACTACCGGCAAGCCTCTAGCTAGATGGTAATTATTAGGGTGTGAAGCGGGCTGCTTCTCGGCGGCCGCTGGCACGAAATGAGGTAGGTGTTCTGTCGTAGGACTGCCTACCTACCTACCTACCTAGGTAGGTACCTAGGTTAGTAGCTAGCTTTAGTTAGTAGTACCTGTTTGTATGTGTAGGCGTGACTAGTGGTGCGCGATGCGTAATCTTTATTGGGACCTCTAACTATAACATTACTCTTAGGTCGTAGCGTTTCTGGGTTAATTAACGGCCCTCCATAAACGTGCATACAAAGTTGCCCAGCCCCCCCTACGTAACCCCGGCAGGACATCCGCTCTACCCGCCGAGAAATTATCCCTGAGGGGTGCTGCCATCGCCTCGCTAGCACATCCACCACGGCCAACCGCCGCAGCAAGGTCGAGCCTTGACTCCCTTACCTCCGCCTTTGTCAGATACTCGGTTTCGATCATAAGTACTTCAATACCAATCTGCCGCAGCTCAATTCTGCGAGCGCCGACGCCGGCCCTAATCACCTCCACGGGCGCTGCCAGCTTCAGCCCCAACCTTGACGTCGCTACGATTTGCTACATCTCCCCGCCCGATTTTGTCCGCGCTTCAGACGACAATAATACTGTCTAGATGCCGCCGCGATGGAAGGCTACTATCCTCCCAACCAGCTACCTCCTCAGGAGCAGCAGCGGCAGCAACAAAACAAACTGAACCACCAGCATCAGCAGCAGCAGCAGCAGCAGCAGCAGCAGCAGCAACCCTCCCCCAGCATGGGCATGTCACGCTCCAACGCATTCGACGGCCAAATGATGGGCAACCCGACCCTACTTCAGCGCCGTGCTAGCGCGTCTCTTGGTTTCGGACCTCGGCAGCTGTCGGACGAGGTAGACGCCAGACGCATGTCATTGGCGGCAGATCAAGGATCCATGAACCCGCCCGCCGCAACAGGGCCTGGCAGTTTCATGGGGTTTCAGCCTTCAGAGCAGCAGCTTAACAACTTTTCCATGCTAGATACTTCCAGCTTGAGCAGCATGATACCTGATGGCAATCATTTCCCAAATCTGTCTCCCGATGCCATGCGCAACCTGGTATCTGCGCAATTTGCCGACATTAGCATGGGAGCAATGTTTCCCAATGCTGACCCAGGCTCGAGTACCGTACTCGGGGGGCAGACTTCACCAAACGCCATGCAGCTTTCTATGTCCCCCAACGACGCTATGCAATTCAATAATGCTGCGCAATATAACGCCTTCACGGATCCTCAAGACAGTGCAGTTTCTGCCACGCTCCAAATGAATCAGCTGGAAACAGGCCTGAACACAACTCATGATTCAAGGCCCGGCGCGACTGCTCCTGCTGCTGATCCAGTGATACCACTCATCCCCCGCCATCAATCATCAACCGGTCCCGTCGTTTCTCCCGTCCAAGAAAAGCCTTCTTTGCCAGGGATGACTCAACCATCATCTGTGGCCACGACTCCAAATGCTTCAGCGAGTTCCAAGGAGCTTCGGGAGAGGTCAATCTACTCCAAAAGTGGTTTCGATATGCTCAAGGCCCTGTGGCTCGTTGCGTCCAGGAAGAACCCCAAAATTCACCTAGGAGCAGTTGACATGTCGTGTGCATTCGTTGTGTGCGACGTCTCTATGAACGACTGCCCGATTATATATGTCTCCGATAATTTTCAAAACTTGACTGGGTACAGTAGCCATGACATTGTTGGTCAAAACTGCCGATTCCTTCAAGCGCCTGATGGGAAAGTGGAGGCTGGGACTAAGCGCGAATTTGTCGACAACGGCGCTGTCTTCAACCTGAAGAAGATGATACAGGAGAGGCGAGAAGTCCAACAAAGTCTCATCAATTACCGCAAAGGCGGCAAGCCTTTTCTCAATCTTCTGACGATGATTCCAATACCTTGGGATACGGATGAAGTCCGCTACTTTATTGGCTTCCAGATTGACTTAGTCGAGTGTCCTGATGCCATTGCTGGTTCTGAATTCGGTGGTGTTGCCGTCAACTACAAGCATACCGATATTGGTCAGTACATATGGACACCGCCTTCTTCCGCGTTCTGGGAAGCCGATAACAGTCAGACCTTGGGCGTTGATGACGTATCAACCATCTTGCAACAGTTCAACGCGAAAGGTATCGCGTCAGACTGGCATCGTCAGTCATGGGACAAGATGCTTCTCGAGAACTGCGACGATGTGATACACGTGCTTTCTCTCAAGGGCCTCTTCCTCTACCTCTCCCCAGCCTGCAAACGCGTCTTGGAATATGATGCCACGGAATTAGTTGGTAATTCGCTGTCATCTATATGCCATCCATCCGACATCGTTCCAGTTACTCGAGAGTTGAAAGATGCGACCACAGGTGATCAAGTCAATATTGTTTTCAGGATTCGAAGAAAGCAGACCGGGTACACGTGGTTCGAGAGTCATGGGTCTCTGTACGTTGAGCAAGGTAAGGGCCGCAAATGCATCATTCTTGTCGGCAGAAAAAGGCCTGTATTTTCTATCAGTCGCCGAAATATTGAATCCAATGGCGGTATTGGGGATAGCGAAATGTGGACGAAACTGTCAACTTCCGGCACTTTCCTCTACGTATCGTCGAACGTGCGATCCCTTCTTGACTTGCAGCCAGAATCGCTTGTCGCCACAAGCATTCAAGAGCTAATGCGCAAAGATTCGAGACCCGAATTTGGCCGCACATTGGAGAAGGCGCGACGCGGAAAGATCGTGACCTGCAAACACGAAGTCCTCAACAGACGAGGCCAAGGCCTGCAAGCTCAAACTACACTCTATCCTGGCGACGCTACTGAGGGACAAAAGCCGTCTTTCTTACTCGCCCAGACAAAGCTGTTGAAAGCATCGTCAAGAGCCTTAGCGCCCGCCACTTCAGCAGGTTCTACTACCAGTAAATCGGTGCATGGCCAAATCTCCCAACCCGGAGGTGGTGGCTTAGCTCTGGGAAACCAGGACGAAGCCCTTGCATCTGATGATAACATATTTGATGAACTGAGGACAACAAAATGCTCCAGCTGGCAGTTTGAGCTGCGTCAAATGGAGAAAGTAAACCGAATCTTAGCTGAAGAACTCGGCGGCTTACTGTCTAGCAAGAAAAAGAGAAAGAGGCGCAAGGGGGTTGGCAACGTAATTCGCGATTGTGCCAACTGCCATACGCGCAATACACCAGAGTGGCGTCGAGGACCGAGTGGCCAGAGAGATCTTTGCAACAGCTGTGGCCTGCGTTGGGCTAAACAAGTAAGTCACCAACGAGCTCAGATAAAGCTGATGAGACTAACGAACAATTTTTGTTTTAGATGGGTCGGGTTTCCCCACGCAACTCAGTTCGTAACGGCGATTCTCAAGGCAGACAGTCTGTCTCGCCGATACACTCGTCGCCAATACACAAGGACGTGCCTGCAAGTGCAACCACATCTGACAATCAAGCCAAGAGATCAGTGACAACGGACGCCGCCGCCACTGCAGACGCTACGTCTCCCTCCGCAGCCAACCAGCCAGCAAGTCGCGCAACCAGCGCTGGTACTGCGATGGCTTCGATTCAGGAAGAGCGAGAGACTAGCTCGACTTGAGTCTGACCAGTGCGTAGCTCCGCACTGACTTCACGATCATTTGCGTCTCATGAACTCTTCTTTCGCTCCTTTTTTTTTTTGGATGAATTTATTGCCAGCATACGATATCATATGCACGACGCGCCTGTTTCTCTTCTTTTGATCATTTACTCTTCTTCTACTTTATTGCCGCAGTTTTGCGCTGATGTGATGTCGAATTCATGATTCTTTTGGAACTACTTCTTACGCTCACCCTCGAGTTCAGGGCCTATTGACTAGTACCTCGACCAAGTCGGTAGTCGTATTCTGGAATTGATGAATATACCCTGTCTGGCAGTTCACTTTGTTTTACGGCTCTACAAGCATGGTCGCGCATCCTCTAGTATAAGAAGTCTTTTCTTTAGGACCTCTTCTCAGCACACACGACGCAGAGAGCTTTAGCAGGTAGAAATACCCGGATATGGGCAGAAAGTATCCGAAGATTTGTTCTGACTTGAATGGCTTCAAGGACCGTACGCTTGCTTCTTGATCATCCCCGGATTTGGGTGGTTTCCGATCCGCAGTAGCTGAGCCATGGCACGAGACCAATGCTTTCTCCGCGAGCCGCCGTCGGTAGTTGAACCGCAATACTCCTTCTGCGTACCATGACATTACTTTCTTCTTCAAATCTCGTATGAGTATTCAGACCTCACAGATTACGACGGACGCGATGCATCTTACAACATTACACGAGACAGCTAAAAGTGCCAAATATATCCTCCTTGAAGTCCTATGTAAATTTTGGTAAATGCAAGCATTCAAAACGCAGTCAAATCAATGCTAGCCCCCCCTCCCCCCAAAACAAAAAGATCGCTCCACGTCCACCATATATCTGCCTTCACAGCTCATCCTTGGTGTGGACGGGTTCCTCAAAGTTCCGGCTCTTGCTGTTTCTTTCCGGGTTTGCTTTCTTCCCGTTTCCATCGCGGCTGTCCGTGGTCTTGACGCGCTTCGCCAATGCTGCAATCTCGTCATCGTACTCGGTCCATTCGGGAACTTGACGGCGAGCACGATCGAGCTTGGGCTCCTTGGTCTCGGGATTATTGCAGAGGTCAATGGTTCGCGCTTCGCTCTGGCTCTCGTCACTACACCACGTCTCACACCACAACCATTCCTGGGGCAAGCTATGGATGGGGAGCTGGAATTGCATGTGGTTGGGCAAATCTTGATCTAGGTTCGCTAGGCTGTTGGGGTCGGCGGAAAGAGCTTGGTACTGCTGTCGAAGGCGATCACCAGCGGCAATCTCGCGGAAGCGGCGCAGGTCAACCACGTAGAGGGCGGAAATGTGGTAGGGACGTCCACGAAGGTAGTTTGCCCAGTATCCCTGTTTCCAGAAGCGGAATCCTTCCATTTCAGTACGAGAGTCGCACATGGGAGTAAATCCATACGGAGCCCCTTCGAGATCGAGTTTGACCAAGTCCATCATATCTGTCCGCACAATTTGATCCGCGTCCACAAAGATAACTTTGTCAACAGAGAGGGGGAAAAGAACATCCAAAAACAGTATCTTGTAGCCCCAAATTTCCCTCTGTTTCTCTTTTTGCTTTCGAAGCCAATGCGGCCATTTGTACGTCACCATTTCATACTTGAAGCCATACTCCTCAGCGAGATGAGGAATAAATTCCTTAAACGATGGGGACAAAAACTGTTCAATGAACCAGAATTTGACTGTGTGTTTTGTGTGCCGCATAACTGAGACCATCATGATGTTGAGCATTCGCTCATACAAGTGTCCACTGGCAACGGAAAAGATGTTGATTTCAGCGTGTTCCAAATCAGAGGATGACTTTCTGCCCAAAGCGTTGCCCAATAAGCCCTCTGCCAGCTTAAAGCCTTTGGAGACAATGCCCTCCGCTCTTCCATCGCCTTCCTCCAGGACGTCGATCTCTTCCATGCCTGGCTTGCGGGAGAGTCGAGGATAGAGTGTCGTCCCTTGGAAGTCAAGTAAAGCTAAAGATGTACCCTCATCGCCCGGTACCGCCGTCCAGCCCTGTGCGCCTACGCTCTCAATCTTGAAGATGTCTGCACTTCGTCCTTCTTTCAGATGAATAGAATAGATGCCGGGGTTGGCTTTGAATTGAAAAAATCCCAGGTTGGCCATGACAATTGTATCAGTCAAGTGCGGCTCCTTCGCAGTTCCCAAGACAAGCTGGGCGCCGCGAGGGGGGCTGGACTTTCCTTCCCTGGAGTGACCCTGTATGAGGATATGTTCTAGTTCATACGTTGCGTCGACGTCGGAATTTGTCGAAGAGAGCTTGATATTGTCCAAGTCATGAATGGAATCTTTAGCTGCTACTAGCCAAGCAGGTGGTACATCCATCGCGAGTGTGAGAAGGGCTTCTGAGGGTAGTCCATTGAAGGTAGCCTGGCCGCCTCTGATGGCGCCAGATTCGTCAAAAGAGGGCTTCGATTCGAGGACGTAACGGAAGAACCGCTTGATAGGAAGCTCTTCGAGTTTCTCCTTAGGGTTTAGAAACAACTTCAGATACACACCGTCAAGTTCCGACAAGACTCTCAGAAGCGGTACCCATCGCTGAGCTTGCTCACTCAATGGATTGAGCAAGGCAACGAGATGAATACTGGCACTTTCTGCATCGCCGACTTCAATTGTGGTGTGGTTTGCATCCCATTTTTCATAGACTGTTGATCGAATTGACGACGAGGATTCGAAAATGCCTTCTGGTAGGTTGGGTATGGTCGATAAGGCGGTGATGGACGTCAATTTGGCGGCGGAAATGGGATCATAAACTTTGTCGCCCAAGCCGAGATCGTCGAGAGCTTCGAGGACAGGGAGGATTCGGGATTTTCGCTCAAGTCCCAGAAGTTGTGTGAAGTCATCCTCCAAAAAGCTATCTTCTGGTGCGATTGGACCGATCAGACGTCCATTCAGAAGCACACTGCTGCTGCCTGGCTGAAGCTCTGCATACGAGAGGAACCGCTTCAGCGAAATAGCATAGTCACCGTTTGAGGAGCCCGTCTTCGCCTCGCGTACGAGTTTCTCAATCTCGCCACTCGTGCCAAAGCTAGAACTGCTTGTGGCAACCTTCAAGGCTTCGTTGACATCAGAAGCCCCTTCTGTAGACACAGGATTGTGGATGAAATCGATTTGGACGCCCGGGTTGCTTTGCTTGAACTCCAGGGCAGACAGTATAAGCTCCACGCCGCGCAAGGAAGTCGCATCAGTGATGACTGTTACAGCGGCCCACTCCTCCTTTGCTGCTTGCGGGTCACATTTCTGCACCGGAATAGTGCTGAATAGGTATTGGTGATCTTCGTATAGCTTGCTGACGTCTAGAATTCGAAGAGGATGAGCATCGTCGATAGATAGATATTCATTGCGGCGTTTCAAGGCCCTTTCCAGGAAGATTCCAGGAACCCACGCATCGTCGCCAATGACGCCATGGTAGACACCTTTCTGGACCGTTTGGAGATCTTCCGAAATCTGCATGCTCATGCTTTGTAGCCAGTTCGCAGTACGAGGCATCAAAGCTCCGTTGACGAAGAAAACAGGCGCAGTTTTGTCTGCTGCCTTGAGTCTAGTAATCCATTCCCTAGCCATTTTGAAATGTGTATCGAACTCCTCGGTTTCCAGGACTTTCGCGTATTCATGAGCCTGGGTATCCGCGGCCGCTATTTGACTATCAACAACTTGAGAGAAGCTTGATTCAGTCAATTGAGGATCGGGATCCTCGCCAAGACCGTCAATGTATGTTTGAAGTCCGTTGAAGCCATATCTATCGATCAAATGACGAATAACCTTCGCCTGCTTCAATGCTTCTGTATTGGACGTAAGGGGCACGACACCAAAGTGGATCGGGATTCCGCGAGTAATGAGCACCGCCAGCTGGCTCAACACAGTCAAATCATCGGCATCTGACAAGTCAAGGGCAGAAACGACATTAAAAACATTCCTGGCAATTGCTGGTATTTGTCCTGGAAACGTGCGTTGGAGCAGCTGCAAATGATTAGCTAGGGTAGAGTACAAGTGCTCGAATTAAAGCTTACAGAACTCAGTTCGTCCGGATACTGGGCATATCGGGTATCCTTTTCTAGATCATTCAGCCAGACGATAGCACGACCGTCCTCTAATTTGTCAGTCCATTCATATCGTATCGCTTCACCTGTATCCGACTTGGATGCCGCGACCTTTTCGTGTCCAAGCAGTGATATGGCATCAACTCCATCTAACCCCAGATTGCGGACGATATCAAGGAGCTTTCGCTCACGCCGAAGCATTTCAACCAGGGAGAACGGTTCAATTTGACGCTCTATCAATTGCAAACCATTCATCCACAATGCGTTAACCCCTCTCGGCACGCGCTGTAGGTATCCTCGTTGATATTCTTCAGAAAAGCTCGTCGACACATTGTGCGCAGAGATCGATGCGGAAAATTTTGGAAAGTCTTGCATGAGTTTGACAAGAGTCTCGAAAGGAGACTTGCTGCTCTGAATGAATGACGAAGACTTCATGCCAAGAGTCTCTAGCTCTGAAGTCGAAAGCGGGCGAATGTCGGTCGACTCTTGCTCCTCAAATATGGCTTCAGTATTTAAGGGCTTTTGCGCTCCCCCTTCATGTTGCGACGCTCTATCATCAATGACGATATAATCGGTTCGTTTAAGAGCCAGTTCGACTCCAAAGCCGCTGACCAGCAGCGGCTTGTTCCTGACATTTAGAGGGCGACGGTATCGCACCCGATAATTGAGTTCGCCAGCTTTGGCAGCTCTCTGAAGCAGCTCGTGAAATTTTCCAAAGTTGGGGGATGTCGGATCCGCATAGAGCACTGCACCTTTGCCAACACCTATAGAGCGGTCAAATGGCAGAGCTGATAGTTTCCTAATCAGAGTTGTTCAGCAATCGAGAAAACGCAACCGGAAACTGGCAGAGATTCGGGGGCCATACGAGTCGAACACCCCAATTTTCGCAGCAGTATCCAATTCCGGGGTACAATATTGATTTCCGCCCAAGAGAACCCATGCTTCACACGATGTATCTATATCAGATAACGCGACAACGGTATCATAGTATTGGTAGTTTGCTTCAACTCTTGGAATGGAGGACCGCAAAGAGAGGTCTAGGTTAAAAGTAGACTGGGCCTCTGGGCTGGTAATATGACCATCAGCTCGTACGACGCTGGTGAATTCTTCATAGAGCTCAGCCTCAGTTGACAATTTGGCGAATCGCCCGCTGGCAATTCGATCGAGTAGAGGAAAGTAAGCTGAAGAGTTCTCGGCCGTCGCAGTTTCACTGGCCCAGTGTTAGCCAATAGCTACTGAAAGAAGAGAAGTATAGTTGACAGACAGTAGTTCAAGTAAGTAGGGGCCGCTAGTAAATGCCGCCTGCATTCGAACGTTGACAGACGGTGACGCAGCCACTTGTGAAGCAGCCAATACTGCCACGATCAGCCGGCTGCTGAGGTGGCGGGACATCTTGTGATAAGGCGTATATAATCGGCAATTCAAGAGGTCGGAAGGTCAGATGACCCAGATCGCTTGAATCACGGCGGCGTACTAGTTGCAAATAGAGCCGCCAAATGTTACCACTCAGTCAATATTGCCAGTTGTTGTAGACTCCTCGTAGCGCTGAGCTCTGCCACTTGACACCGTCGCAGGATAGCTCTCCAAAAATGGTTTAGCGCCCTGATACCCCTGTGGCAGAACTTCTTGGTGGGGGATGGGCTTGGGCGGTGTGGGCTGCTGGCCGGCGGAACATTGTTGCGGGGCAATTCGGCCACCAGCCCACAATTGGAGATGGACACGAAGCTCAATCTTCGTCCAAGGAGGCGCAACTGTATGCCACTCCACCACGACTACAACAATTCTCGACGCCGAGTGGTTGGTTAGCTTGCAATTGCATTCATTACCAGGCGAGCTGGTCAAAGATCTTCTATACCCGAGTATTAGTCCGCGGTCTTCGGTCTTGACACCTGCACGAAGCTACGGCTGGCTTCAACTCCCCCGCTTGCAATGTCGTCCTCCCCTAACATGCTAACCAAGGTGCGCGAACGTCCAATTGCAGCAGCCCTGCCGCCGTATACTGACAAAACATCAGTTTGAGTCTAAGTCCTCTCGGGCGAAAGGTCTTGCCTTCCATCCCAAGAGGTGCGTTCTGTGCGCCGCGGCCGATATGTATAAAGCTAATAACGGCAACTCAGACCATGGATCCTGGTCACCCTTCATTCCTCGACCATCCAACTTTGGGATTATCGCATGGGCACTCTAATTGATAGATTCGAAGAGCATGATGGTCCAGTCCGCGGCGTGGACTTCCACAAGACTCAACCTCTCTTTGTATCCGGCGGTGACGATTACAAGATTAAGGTGTGGTCGTACCAAACAAGAAGATGTCTGTTCACTCTTAACGGCCATCTGGATTACGTCCGTACTGTTTTCTTCCATCACGAGCTCCCCTGGATTATCTCTTCCTCGGACGATCAGACAATTCGTATCTGGAACTGGCAGAACCGCTCTCTGAGTATGAAACGCTCAATTGGATGAAACTGCAAATCACTGACTGTATAATAGTTTGCACCATGACGGGACATAACCACTACACCATGTGCGCCCAATTTCATCCGAAGGAAGATCTCGTCGTATCTGCCTCACTCGATCAGACTGTCCGCGTTTGGGACATATCTGGACTTCGAAAGAAACACTCCGCCCCCACATCCATGAGCTTCGAGAACCAGGTCGCTCGCTCAAACCAAAACCAAACTGACATGTTCGGAAACACTGATGCAGTCGTCAAATTCGTTTTGGAAGGTCATGACCGTGGTGTCAACTGGGTTGCTTTTCATCCTCACATGCCTCTCATTGTTTCCGCTGGTGACGATCGCCTGGTGAAGCTTTGGCGCATGAGTGAAACTAAGGCCTGGGAGGTAGACACTTGTCGAGGGCATTTTCAGAATGCTGAAGGGTGTCTTTTCCATCCACATCAAGACTTGATCCTATCGACTGGCGGTGACAAGACTATTCGAGTTTGGGATCTCAACAAGCGAACGGCAGTTCAGACGTTTAAACGCGAAAACGACAGGTTCTGGGTCATTGCTGCACACCCTGAAATCAATCTGTTTGCCGCCGGTCATGACAATGGTGTTATGGTGTTTAAATTGGAGCGTGAGCGACCTGCCTCAGCTGTTAATCAGAACACGCTCTTTTTCCTTAGCAAGGAGAAACTCGTCAAATCCTACGATTTCCAGAAGAATATCGAGAGCCCGACTCTGTTGTCGCTAAAAAAACTGGGCAGCGCGTGGGTTGCCCCCCGAACATTGTCCTACAACCCGGCTGAGAGATCTGTTCTTGTGACAACCCCCGCTGACGAAGGCTCATATGAGCTCGTTAATCTCCCGGAGGAGGGCAGTGGCAATGTTGAGCCCACTGAATCCAAACGTGGTCCCGGAAACTCGGCTATCTTTGTGGCCCGAAACCGATTTGCTGTTTTCAATCTCTCTACTCAGGCTATCGATATCAAGGACCTGTCAAACAACACCACGCACTCGTTCAAAGCGCCAGCTGGCACCACTGATATATATTTTGGGGGTACAGGCAATTTGCTCATCATCACTGCTACTGCTGTCCATCTCTATGACATTCAACAAAATACGAGTACAGCCGAGCTCGCAGTCAACGGCGTGAAGTACGTGGTTTGGTCCAATGATGGCCTCTACGCTGCTCTCCTTAGCAAGCACAACGTCACCATTGTCACCAAGACGCTTGAGCAAGTGAGCACGCTCCATGAGACAATTAGAATCAAGAGCGCAACTTGGGATGACGCTGGTGTCCTTCTGTACTCCACCCTCAACCACGTGAAGTACACCCTGCTCAACGGCGATAACGGCATTGTCAGGACACTGGACCAGACTGTATACCTTGTCCGGGTTAAGGGACGCAATGTTTACTGCCTGGATAGGTCCGCAAAACCGCGCATCCTCCAAATTGACCCCACGGAGTACCGATTTAAGCTCGCGGTCGTCAAGCGCAACTATGAGGAGATGCTCCACATCATCCGCAATTCTAGTCTTGTCGGCCAATCCATCATATCATATCTACAAAAGAAGGGCTACCCTGATATTGCTCTCCAGTTTGTTCAGGATCCTACAACCAGATTTGATCTCGCCATTGAATGCGGCAACTTGGACGTTGCGGTAGAGATGGCCAAGGAACTCGACAAGCCAAAATTTTGGAACAGACTCAGCGCTGAAGCTTTGTCTCATGGCAATCACCAAATTGTTGAGATGTGTTACCAGAAATTGAAGCAGTTTGACAAGCTGTCCTTCCTCTACTTGGCAACTGGTGACCACTCCAAGCTTGCCCGTATGGCTAAGATTGCTGAGCACCGCGGCGACTTTACTGCTCGGTTCCACAATGCTCTGTTTCTAGGTGATGTGGAGGATCGCATCCAGATGTTCAAGGAAATTAACCTTTGTATGTGCCCTATTTCAGACCCAAGGTCCTTCCTGCGATGATTAACTAATGCACAATAGACCCCCTGGCATATATGACCGCCAAATCCCACGGGTTGGATGATGAATGTCAGGCCATTTTGGACGCGACTGGAATTACGGAAGAACAGCTCACCATGCCTGCTCTTGGCAAACCCTTTGTCCCCCCAAAGCCCATTGTGCCGACCTTCCAGCAAAACTGGCCTACAAAGGCCACATCTCAGTCATTCTTCGAAAAGGCCCTTCTCGGACAAGTGGAAGATCTTTCACTCGAAGATAATACTGATGCTGCGGTAGGATTCGATGCATAGTAGTACATTGATATTGTTTAATGCGACCGTCTTGTACCCTACTCTAAACTATAGTCTCCAGCTCCCTAGCATATCCCAGTGTGTTTTCAATGACCATTTGGCTCATTTCCTTGCTCTGTACAGCATCCTCACCAGCATCGGCAGCCTCGTCGGGGAAGTAGATATGGCCATCACGGACATGCCAGCCGCGGTGTTCGGCAAACTGTATAACTTCGCCTTCCGAATCTAGGAAGAGGAGGGACTTGGTCGAGCTTATGGGAAGGCTGGGGTATGCGCGCTCGCTGCTGCTCGCAATCTCGGAGCGAATCTGGTTTTTTAGAATCTAGAATCGGGGTCAGCGTGCGCACACGAGTCCTGTAGATCAATAGGCGGGAGATGAGAAATCGAAACGGCGGCGCTACATACCTCTGAAAAGACGCTGTATTCATCACATGGAACCTCGCTGCTCTTCATGGCCTTCCATACCCGATCGTAGCTGCCCTCCATCAGCCAGCGCTCCAGACGGATAGGGTAGCCCAAGTAGCGGTCGCCCTCGACGTCGCCGGCGGTGCCGCCGCCGTCCCGGTTGGCGAGGCTCTCGAGCTCCGAGTGGAACTCGGCGTAGCGGCCCTGGGTGAGGAGCAGCAGCAGGCCGAGGCCGGTGACCTTGTTGCGCTCAGGCAAGTTGGGGGCGAGGCGGGCCGAGGGCAGCTCATAAAAGGGCTGCAGCTGCTGGACGTAGCGGGTAAAGGCGTCGGGGTTGCGGGCACGAATGGCGAAGAGGGCACCCTGCTCGTACGTCTCGCGAGCTGCGGCGAGGAGCGCCGGCGAGGCGGCCGGCGACGGCGTAAGCGCGTGTAGACGGAGGAGGGCCAGCTTGGCCTTGGAGAGGAGTTTGTTTGCGTCATCGTAACTCATCGACGGCGAGTGCTTGAGCTGGCTCAGCAGCTGGGTGAGGGCTCGTTCCGCCATGGTCAGGTTGGTATGATGTCTTGTGTTTGTGGACGAGGAACGGCAGGTTAAATAGACGTCGTCGTGGGTTGAAAGGCTTCGCAGTGTGTTGCGCTGTGGCGGATCCAATGGCGCTTGCTGCGCGCAGGCAGGTAGGTTAGGTCGAGGCCGGAGGCCAGGCTGACAGTGGGTGACGCCACGCTTAGGCTGATGCATTATGTAAGCGATAGCGACCTACCCGCAACAAAGAGATCAGAGGGATCAGAGGCTTTATTGCACCCATTTCATGGTTTTGTTCTTTTTGCCTCAAATTTTGAAGTCATTACTGGAGCCTTAATATTTACCTCTCTTCGAATTACTCCATAGTGAATTTTCTGGGGTTTTAGTATGTAATGTTAGGGGTTTTGAAATCAATTGCAGCCCGCGGTGGCGCACAATTGGCTCCCTTTCCGGCTCTATTTCATGAAGATGGTATCAGGTACGTGGTTGTTTGGTGCAGATAATACGAAGTACAACATTGGCATACAAATAAGGCGGCTATGTCTTCTCGACGGGAACGAAGAATCGCCTGGTAGTTATCCTGTGGTAATATATTATAGCTAAAATAGCCTGCTTACAGAGTCTTGAGAGTAGTTATAGAATAATTCCGGTCGCAACTCGACCCGTATTGGAGACAGGTAGCAGGGCGCGCCGTACCCCACGCGCATGTTCCCGGCCTGATCGATATTTAAGATGGCCTCGCTGCCCTATCAGCTTTTCCAGAGATGGAATCGACACTGCCAAAAAAACAACAACAAAAAACAACAACAAAAAACAACAACAACATCCACTGGTCATTCCCCCGACTCTCGGGTCAAGAATGCTCCTCGATTGTGCCTAGTGAACTGGAGGGGAAATCCAGCTCAAGCGGGTGAATGCAAATTGGATTTTAGGAGCTCAGCTCCTGCTCTGGCTGCGATATTCAGTAGAAAGCTAAATTCTAACGGATATTTAAGCACAACAACGCTAAAAGTCACCGCATGCTTTAAGCCTGGCTGGCACTTGTTTGGTTTAACTGCACCGTTGTATATGGATGGGGCTATCATAAGTTGACCTCGCTAGGCGTCCCTAGCTGTAGCCCGAAGGCGGCAAAATATCGTTCAAAGCAAATGGTACGCAGGATTCAAATCCTGAAAGAACGCATAAGAAATCAGCGAGAACCGAAACTATCGCGCATCTGTAAGCCTCGCCTGACCATCCAGTCCGCCTAGAGCTGGGACGTGGCGCCGCCTAGACCAGGCGAGGCATTCTTGGTGGACTGGAGCCGCGCTAGGAGCCCGGCAACATTACCAAAAGGCAATCAGGAAATGAAGAGGATGAGTGAGAGGGCCACTGCAACGTCTCTTTAGCCTTTTGATTCAAGAAAGCGCCGCGACTGACAACGACTACATGAGTGCGGACTGGCGACACCACAGGGCTGAATTATGTGTGATGCAATCGACGGAGCTGAAGTGCGACTTGCTTGGACATGCTGGTGGCTGGTTACTTCTATGCACTTGATAAGAGGTACTAGAAGATGGACAATACACCTGCGTCGGTTGTATTTCATGACAACTCACGCGGGTAGCAGCGTGAGACGCAACCATGCGCCTTGGGCTTTTAATGATACCGTGTATATGACAAGCCCCGCTTGCGGCATAGGGTTGAACAAGGCGGCTTCCGGCAAGCAGGTAACCGGAAGTCCCAAAAATAGCGCGTGGCTGGCTGACTTGGTGAAAAGTGGCTGGCGCATGGGAAACTGGTGTACTTTTTCCAGGACGGCGGCGGAGCTGGTTGGTGGCGATAAATACTGGCATCGGTCGCCTCGCTGTCGACTATCGAGTCGAAGCTGAAGGTTGTGGAAATATTGCTCAACCACAACAATTACACACACCACTGACAGTGCCGCCATACTCAGTTACAGAGTGTCCCGCTGCTGCAGTGACCCGCTGGCAGCCTTGCGCAGCCTCGTGTTCTCGTGTTAGTTATCGCGGCATAGCTGCCTTACTTACAAAGGACGACGTGGGGTCGCGCCCAACATGAAGATGGCGGAAACGGTGCAGAATGTCGCCGGTTCAATCTATCAACCGAACAGGCTAAGGAGTGAGTACATGTCCTTTTTTTTCCAACTCTTTTTGCGGGATTGCACGGGGTTGATCCCCAACCCAAGCATTGGGATGAGGTTCTAGGCCTAGGTGTGAGAAACATCGAGCACTTTTGCTCGATGGAATATTGATGCATATACCAAAAGCACTGTTTGCTAGTAGCAGAGTGTATTTGGAGAATGCATTGGCACATCATTATGAATCCGGGTCGGCTGCAGCACCAGCAAAGCAGGCAAGCACTCAGCCAGTCGGCGCAGTCCGTCGACCCCTAAAAATAGATGGATGGCTATGCGCAAACTGGAGAGATGATATGACGGTACGTCAGTCAGTCTTTAGTGTGCTCCCATCAGCGCTCCCATCAGTTTCTATATCCCCAAGAAGCTCGCTGTCTACAAAAAAGATGGGTGCCCCTAAAAAAAGCCCCTCAAGATCAAAGGCAAAGAGCTAAAAGGGAAAAATTCACGGAGAAAAAGGGGAGAAAGAAAAAGAGACTCAACCCGTCATTTCTAATTCCGACCATTTGCCTGCACGTGGAGCTAATAATCCCGCCCCACGACGACGGCATCCTCCTCGATACGCTCACCCACCACCACTTTGGCCCTGAAGCCCTCGACATCTTTCGGCTTGGCTGCCCACATTTTGGCTGCACTGCGGTGCAATATTTAATAACCTGCTCCCTATCTATTCCCGCTTCTCATACAAGCTCGCGAAACGGGCCGCTTCAAGATCCTCCTTGCCTGCTCGCGGCTGCTCCTCTTGCGTCTTACGACTTCTCAAAGCTGATCCCGATGCAAACACGGCTGCCGCTGATCCTTTAACCCCGGCTCGACCTTCACTGGAAAAAGCGACTGAGACAACTTACTTGCATCGCTTCCTTTCTCGTCGTTTTCTAACTACCTTGCTTGCCTGCCCGCTGGCTTATTCTCTCGTTCACCCTTGCCAACGAATAGTCGATACCAACCCCTCCAAAGCCCAAATGCCACCCAAACTCGGCGCCACCTTTGTCCCCGGCGGCTTCGATGACTACTACATGCCCGAAGTCGTGGCACCCTCACCTCAAAGGTATGTTGCATATCGACCCCTCGACGCAACCGCCGGAGGACCCCTCCCGATAAAACGGCTTTGCGCTAATATCGCCGCCTCTCCCGAAGGGTCACCCCTCAGGTGCCACAGGCCATGCAAGATGACATCCAGCGAATGGAGCTAGAAGCTGTAGAAATCCCATCGCGACGAGAAAGCGACGATACATTGCACCAAACCGGCGAGCCCTCGACATCTTCACAGACAGCTCACGCCACCCCCGCCATAGTCCAGGACCAAAGCAAAAGAGCCAGCGTTTCTGCACAACAGTACGCTAGCGCCTACCACAAAGACGATTCGATTTCCGACCGTTTAGACTCTATATCACTGGACGGTGCGCCGTCCTTTTCTCCATTCCCCAAAGTTGTGGGCGACAATATTCCTCCCGGAGATGATACCAAAGAAGAGATTCTTTGGAACTCGCGCAAGCATGTTCTCCACTCGCAGAATGTCGCCATGCAAATAAGCTGGGCCAGAGATGTTCTCAACTGGGTCGAAATCTCTGTCGACGCGGCCGTCCGTGAAAATGCCGGAGTCCCTCGGCCTTCAACCCCTCGCACCGAGCACGAGCTCCGTGTCGACGCCATCAACGTTGTCACCTACTTGGCCGAACAAGAGCACCCCGACGCTTTATACATGCGCTCCAAGTGGCTGGAATTCGGAAAATTCGGAAACAGAACAGACAAGCGAGAAGCCTACAACGGCTACACCCGCGCCTCTGGCCTCGGACATGCGAGATCCGATTACCGCATCGGCATGCTCTATGAGCAATCCAACGACATATCTAAAGCCAAAGAGCACTATTACAAGGGCATGAGTCTCAAGGATTCTGCGGCTCTCTACAGAATGGGGATGATGAGTCTTCTAGGCCAACATGGAGAATCCAAGGACTACGCTGGAGGGCTCGAGCGCATCCGTCTGGCAGCTGAGAGTTCGGACGAAGATGCCCCCCAAGGCGCCTACGTTTATGGCATGATTACCGGCCGCGATCTACCAGATATTGCGCTTCCCGAAGGCTTACTTCCGTCCAACCTGGAAACCGCTAGGATGTACATTGAAAAGGCTGCATACCAAGGATTTGCGAAAGCACAGCTGAAAATGGGCCAGGCCTTTGAGCTCTGCCAGCTTGGCTGCGAATTTAAGCCTGCCTACTCGCTGCATTATTATGGCCTTGCTGCCAAACAAGGTATTCCAGAGGCGGCGCTTGGCGTTAGCCGTTGGTTCCTTTTTGGCTACGAGGGAGTCTTCAAAAAGAATGAGGAGCTCGCGTACAAATATGCTCGAGAGGCGGCTGCCGCCAAGCTACCAACTGGAGAGTTTGCCATGGGCTATTACTATGAGATTGGTATCCATGTCAACAAGAGCCTTTCCGAGGCCAAGAAATGGTATGAGCTTGCTGCCGAGCACGGAAACACCGATGCTCTCGGCAGACTGGAATCACTGGATCAGGATATCACCCTGTCAAAGAAGGACCACGAAACGACAACGCTCACTAGAATCAAGTCTCAGCACGGCTCCATGCGGGGAAAACGACCGGAGCGTTTTGCTCAAGCCCAGAAACAACACTTGCCCACCCTGAACGAAAGTGAAGGTAGCGGCAAGCCGTCCAACGGCGTTTCTCCCATGCCATCCCCTGGTGTCAAGCCTACCATTGTGTCCGAGCACGCCGACCTGCCTGACGCGTCACGAGCTTCTGTCGTGGGCGGCCTCAACACCATTCCTGCCTTTAACATACGCTTGGATTCGCAGCCCGACCGACCTCAGTCTGCGGCGCCATATCCCGTGGACGACCACCCGGCTCCTCTAAACCTAAACCGACCCAAATCCACCGCACCTTATCCTGACGACGAGCCCACCGGAAAGTATATCCAGCATTCCCAAGGGCTCGGCCCTCAAGCGGACCGACCAATGAGCGCATTCGGTATCCGTACCTCGAGCGGCGGCGCTGCACCAATCCACCAACAAGCTAGCAACCTGCACCCCAGCGGACCGGCCAATGCTGGGCGTGGACAGCCCGCACTAGGCCCTGGCGGCTATCGACCATCACCTGCTGGCACTCATCCTGGTGAGATGAACTACCAGCGACCTTCCACAACACAACCTTACCCCAGCGATACATCGCCCCCAAACAAGCCGCAACAGAGACCGCCTCGACAATCATACGGGGGCATTCCTCCCGCCGGCTCGCAGCACGGGTACGACTATAGCCCCCGGGTCAGCTCGCGGCCCCAGCACGACGCGCCACCTCCACCACCGCAACACATGAGCCAGCAGACATACCCACCACGCGTTCCCCTCGCTGCCGTTGGCAGTACCGGAAGACCAGACAGGTACGGTTCTCTGCCACCTCAAGATCCCAGACAATCGAGGACACCCACAGGGATGGGCACACCAGACCCATCGCGCCACGGTCTTCCGCCAAGTCCTGCACCCGGTGTCTCATTGCACGGTAGAGTAGCAACGGCGCCACCGGGAGGATCCCGGCCGCCGCCGCCGAAGGTTGAAACGCCTGCTTCCGGAACGCCGAAGCCGAACAAGGGCCCCGCCACTTTTGAAGACATGGGTATCCCTCAGGGTAAAAATGACGGTGATTGCGTGCGTTGATTCCAAATACCATGGATTCTGAACATTTGCTAATACGTAACTATAGGTTGTCATGTAAATTTTTGACAAGCACAAATGATAATCTCTGAGTCTATCTACGCACCATTGGCCTATTCACTACGGTGATTGGGCATGTGGGCGAGTGCGCTGCTATTGTTTCGGAGTTTGATGAGATGCAAAATTAGTTGTTTTCTCATATGGGATCTCTGGTTGGTACTACCTGCAATATAGCAGCATATGACTTGATCTACTTTTAAAGAGGTTGCGTTTTCAGCGCCGCTGACGAAGATATGACTTGTCGTCTTGAATAACGGTTATATTTGAACAGTTTGCACAGTTCATTTCCCATGGCGGCACCAAGCTGGATCAAGTGGTTGCGAAAGTCGCCGCGGATACGCGGCCCACGAGCCGGCTACTGCTATTGTCTTTTCCCAAATATCGTCCTCTGGCATAGATATGCCCCCGTTTTCCTTGTTGCTCGCCCACTGTGACCGCTCGTCAACCCATTCCTTCCTATCAGATGAAGCCCAAACACTTACCCCAAGCTCCAGATGGGCCACTAGCCGGTGGAACAACTTCCCGCCTCGGTCGACATGCCTACATTCCGGGCACAGTCTATCAAATGTTGCATAAAAGCGTTCTATAGACGCCGTTGGTCTTGAGCGGCACCGATATAGAATGAAGTTGTGCCACCGCCTGGATCGTGTCCAATCTGGTACGGTGGGCGCCACCCAAAAAGACGCTGTATCGCGGCTTCGAAATCTATCAATCTATTCACCGTCCCCATGTTTAGGTTCCTGGTGAGCGTAATGTCTGTAGTGATGAGGGAATCCGCTATCGTGCTTACTAGGATATTCACTAGACACAACTCTTCCATTCTGATGGTAAATGGCCCATCCTTGGCAGTCACTAGGTCAACAGGACAGGAAGCAGACTACAGCTGCCGCGTAACTACTGGCTGGACATAAAATCCTTTGTTCCTGGCGCGTCGTCGGCGTCGATTCACGGTGTATAACTTGCAAGTATGCAGGAGATGCAGAAAGTCACTGCTAATAACAGTTCGCCCCCGAAAGTCACGATCATCGTACCTATTCGTGCTAGGTGTCATGAGTTCAAACTCAATTGATTATAATTGCCAAGCACAACAAAGCCAAGCGTTTCCGTCCCTTTACCCGGCGCTAATTGCCGGACCCGCCAAGTTCTGGAGAAATTCAATCTTTGCTATTCCCAGATTCCCAGGGCGCGCCTTTCTTTTCTTCATCCTGTTGCTTCGCCTTGCCTCAACACCATAATGAGTCATTGTGAAGCAGACTGACAGGCGCGTGAGAAGCCGGCATCACTTACAGAGTCCCATAGGGCCCCTGTCCATACGGCGCACTCACAGCAGCGCAGGGCCTTGCGTGGCTCCCGCCGTCCAAAGTCCGCGGGCGAGCCACAAAACGGAGCGAAAGCCGGACCATCGCCGCCCGCGCATCGGAGGGCCACCGCCGTCGCCCCCCCCCCCCCCCCCCCAACGACTACCCCAGAGCCAAGGGTGCCCAAAATCCAGCCCGCAACACCCCAATTGACATTTATAAACGAGCAAAAGACTTGTATAAAAATCTCCCCAGCCGCCTCCCAGCGTAGCAAGGCAACACCTCCCCCGGACCACCCCGCGCAAAATGGCGTCCTCGTCAGCCAGCGACCAGCTCGATCTGGAAAAAGGCAGCACCTCCCCGGGACCGGCGTCCACCCACGCCGCCGCGCCGTGTCCCGGAACGGGCAGCAAAAAGGATTGCGAGGGATGGGCGGCGGGACAAGACGCCCTGGCGCCTGTGTGCTCCCGCATCGGCTCGCATGTGCAGGACGACCGGAGTGACAATGACGAGGACAGCCGGCACGACGACGACGACGATGGTGCACCGGCTGGGGGCGACAGCGTAGTTGGCAGAGTCCTGAGCCGCATCACGTCCAAGTCTAGCGTTGACTTGGGTCCGCCGCCGGACGGCGGCTGTGTCGCCTGGACGCAGTGTAAGTGGGCGGCGTTCCCAATCCCGCGATATAACCCCCATCAACTGACTTCTTTTTTCATTCCTTTTCTCCAGGTCTCATCACACACCTCATCATCTTCACCACATGGTACGTGACAGCTACCTCCTAACCACACGTCTAGTTACCCACTTACACGGAAACAAACAGGGGTTGGGCCAACTCCTTTGGCAGCTTCCAAGCCTACTACACCACGCTCCTCGACCGCTCCCCCAGCGAGGTGTCCTGGATCGGCTCCCTTAATGTCTTCCTTCTCTTCTTCGTCGGCACCTTGACCGGCCGGCTGACCGACGCCGGCCACTTCCGCGCCGTCTTCCTCGTCGGCAGCGTCCTCCTCGCCGTCGGCATCTTTACCACCGCCCAGTGCACCACCTACGTCCAGCTGCTCCTCGCCCAGGGCGTCTGCATCGGCATCGCCCACGGCTGCCTCTTTTGTCCCACCCTCGCCGTGCTGTCCACCTACTTCCACCGCCGCCGCGCCCTTGCCCTCGGCATCGCCGCCTGCGGCTCCGCCACCGGTGGCCTCGTCTTCCCCAGCATGGTCCGCCAGCTGTTGCCTCGCGTCGGCTTCCCCTGGACCGTCCGCGCCATTGGCTTCGTGCAAATCGCCGTCATTGCCGTCGCCAACCTGGGCATCCGCACCAGGATCCGCCCGCGCAAGACAGGCCCCATCGTGGAGTGGCCGGCCTTTCAGGAACTGGAATACACATTCTACGCCGCCGCGGCTTTTTTTGTACGTCGTGGTTCCTAATCCGCCGGAAATCAACCTGCTTACCAAAACTAGAACTTTTGGGGCGTCTACTTTGCCTTCTTTTACATCTCTGCATACTCACGCGACGCGCTCAACCCACCACTATCGTATCCAGACTCTCTGAATCTGCTACTCATTCTGAACGGCGTCGGAATCATTGGCCGCATTGTCCCCAACTTCATCGCTGATCGCATCGGTGCCGTCAACGTCTTCATCCCGACGTCCATCATCGCCTCCATTCTCGTGTTTTGTTTCATCACCATCGATCGGCCCGCTGGGCTCTACGCCTGGGTCGTAGTTTACGGAATCGTTGGAGCTGGAATTCAGAGTCTCTTCCCTGCAGCCCTTTCTTTCCTCACAACGGACCTACGTAAGCTAGGCGTTCGCATGGGCATGGTCTTTACTATTGTAAGCTTCGCCGTGCTCACGGGGCCACCAATCGCGGGCGCCATCATTGCAAGCCCTGCTGGATATACAGGCGCCAAGGCATTTGCTGGCAGTTCTATGGCTGTTGGATGCGGGTTTTTGATTGCCGCAAAGCTGGCCAGGATGCATAGCAAGGGCCTTGGATGGAATAGTAGAATTTAAAATGAGTCTTGTTGTATGTATTGCGCTAGAACAAGTTTTTTGCATACAAAGGCGCATTTCCAAGGATGTATGACTGATTCAATATTTTACAGTGGCACATTGTGACACTCGGGGAATGGGTGGGTTGTCCAGAAACCATATTACATTAGGACGGGAGACATTTGATAGAGGATATTGAGGCTTTGTATATTAAGTGAAGCTTGTCAGCTCAGAATTAGATGTCCCATAGGGTATAATAATGAGGTATGTGTTCTTCAGTCCATATTAGTTTGGTACAATACCACCCCTCCAAGAAATCAAGGCAAAATAACAGCAACATTACTCCTAGCAACTCGTCAACATGAATTGTAAATGTCCCGTGAAGGGCTTGTATTATTCGAACGAGGACCAAACGTAGTCATCATCAATCTTCTTGACGCCAGTTGGGGTCCATTGCCAAACACCTCGGCGCGAAGCTCGGCTGAACGCCTCTCGTTTAGCACGGCGGGAAACGGCACTAGTACGGCAGGATGCAGCTTCACAAGTGTTGTCCGTCCAGCCAATCTGAAAGTCATCACCCCACCAAGCTCGGAGTTCAAGCCCAACACGGACCGTGACCAGAATGGAGGTAACATTGTTGTACCCATCAAGCTGAACAGGGATCAGTGGGCATGGGCCTTGAGGAAAGTTGGGGCAAGCAGGTACTCGCTTTGTCTCTGACCAGGAAAGTGAAGTCTCAGAACCCAAAGTCTCATTATACGTGTATGCTGAGAACTCAAACTCGCACCATTGCTCTACCCCCTCGGCAGCACAGCCAAGGCTGGCCCCGTAGAAGTTGAAGCGGAAGCAGGGGGAGATCTCGTTTGGACCGATACCGATTTCAGCTGTATCGCCAGCTCCATCGAAAGGAGCATCTGGGACCAATGCCGGTGGCAAAAACTCCACGAGTTGATGACCCGATGAGGAAAAATAGGCAGTTGATGGAGGTGAAGAGGGAGGTGCCACAAGGAAGCCTTCTGAGAACCACAAGTCGCTGGCGGGATTCAAGAGAGGTCCAGGCAGCAAGTTATCGAACTGTAACAGTCAGTATTTCTCTTACAAACGGCCGAGCCTACTTACGGTCACAGTTGAATTGCCAACTCTATCGCCTCCAGAAGCGCAAACAGTTGAAGACGGCTCTGCTACCGGCGTGTTTGCAGGGGTAGTGGGGATTGTGCTGGTTGGAATAGTGCTTGTTGGGATGGTGTTTGTTGGCGGTGGCGGAGTTGAACTCGGGGTCACCAATTGTGACGAAAGACTTGAAATCAACGACGTATTTTCGGTAAAGGGAGATGGAGTGCTGCTCGAGTTCGAGAAAGGAAACAAAGTTTCGACAGAGCTAAGGCATGTCAGAAAACAATCATGTGAATAGGATAAAAAACGGGGTTTTCGTTCCATACCTTTGTCTCCTCAGGAGTCTTTTGCGAAGGGGTGGCCCACGCGGAACTGTGATAGTGGCTAGTGTAGTCAACGGAAACTTGATAACGTAAGTTGTGGTCTGCTCAGGGATCACGTTGGTCCATGTGCTGGTCACAAGTGTCGTCACTGCCTCTGGAGTGGCTGGCGTGACGGGCGTTGGCATCGGCTCGGGCGTGGGCTCGGGTGTGGGAAAGGGAGTAGGCTCAGCTGTAGGCACAGGAATAGGCTCGAGTGAAGATTCGGGTGTAGGCACGGGAATAGGCCCAACTGTAGATGCAGGAATAGGCTCAGGTGTTCCTGGAAACGGAGTGCCGGGTACTGGGGTTTCAGGCAAGGGGGTGCTTGGAGGCGTGGGTGCGGGTAGAGAGCCATAAAGAATAGAGGAAATCCAATCACTGTCTAAAGAGCTTGTACCGTGCTGAGCGGAAGATGTGCCAATAGTGTTCATAGGAGGAGGCAAACCGCTGTCGACACTGTATGCTGGAGGCTCTTCGGAGATGACAGAAGACACTCCCAACCCAGTTGGAGCAGGGACAATAGTAGGCATTGATCCCAAACCAGAAACAATAGAACCAACGCTTGATGAGATTTCGCCGGTGGCTCTGACAGTACCGTAGGGTGTGAGAAGCGGCACGCTTCCTGAATATCCCGTTGCGGCAGGCTGCGGGAGGTTGGCAGTAACAGGTGCAGGGAGCGTGGCAGGAATTCCAGAAATAACCGAGCCTGAAGGAGCGGTGATGGTTTGAATGATTGGGGAAACAGTACCATCGGCACCAATGACCTTCCATGTAATGGTAGTCACCACGCTGTTGCTTGTAATAGGTGGCTGGCTGGCAAGATTTGTTATAGAAGCTGGGGCCACGAACGGGGGACGCGTCAGAGTGGAAGCTGTGACAGCTGAGGCACCCGTCGGAGCGATAATTGTTAGCTCCGTGACGGTTGGACGCATGTCAGGCCCTACTACTGTGACGGTGGTGCAGGTTGGAGTGCCCATGACAGAAGTCACTGGGCTCTCTGCAGTTGTTTGAGAGGCAGCGTTTGAAGAAAGACCGGAGACTATTCTCCCCGAAGAGATGACTCCTGATGGAAGCGGGTTGAGGCCAGACATGACTGAAGTAGGGGGAACGGGAATGATCCATGTCGTGTCAATGATAGTTGAGGAGCCATCGGGACCAATAGCAGTGAAGCTGGTATGAACGGGCAAGCCGGAGGTAATGCTACCGCTATACGAGGGGACCGGAATACCAGGAGCAGTGGCCGAGGCTGAATTGGCTGGGATTGCGGTTCCCAGAACCGCCGACACAGAAGTTTTGGCTGGCTCTGTGATGATTATCGATTCAACGACGGTAGGATGTCCATCAGGGCCAATAACAGTATGTGTGATACAGGTTGCGATATTTGAAGGGGTCTCGGTCACAGCCGATGCAACTCCAGTGCCTTTGACATCTGATGGAACACCACTTTCGGTGGAAGTAGGGCCCTTGCCGGATGCAACGGTGAGAGTAATAGTGTGAGTAGCCAGGATTGTACGTGAAATTGTGGAAGTATCCTCTACTGAAGAAAGTCCAGATGCAGGATCACCAGCCTTCGAGTGGCTCGAGGTTTTCGTGGCGGGTTCATAGGCCGGAGCAGAGTCAGTTGTCACGGCATCGACAGTTGAATCAGACTTGGCGTGGGATTGAACAGGAGACACAATGATGGTGGTTGTTTCGACGTTTTCTCCATTGATGCTTGAAGCGGTTGATGATTGCTTGCCAGCGGAGCTCAGAGTGACGAAGACAGTTTTGGTAGACTCGGCCTTGCAGGCATCTGCCACAGAGCTGGAAAGTGTACCAGGCTGGGCGCCGCCGAGCGAACTCGAATGATTATCACTATTATTATGGTCAGATTTGGACTTCTTGTACAAGCGGACAGACTTACGAATAGTCAGGCGAGCCCAAGGCTAAGCTGGCTAGCAACCAACAGCCCAGGAACGGGCCTTTGACTGCGAGAGAAATCATTGATAACCAAATTGGTGTTGACGAGACCAAGAAGGGTAAGATGAGGGGTGATACTGCTGCGAGGTAAGTCAGCGCCTATATTTCATTGGGAGGAGAGGTGCACACGCGTACAGGAGATTGAGGGAGTAGTTCCCAAGATTGGTGGGTAAGGAGTGAAGGAGCGAAAGAACGGCGACGTTGATGGTGATGAAAGAAGGACAAAAGTTGGAATCACAGATAACGAGGGATATTGAAAAGGAGAAGTCTCGTTTGTAGGCCCGGTCGAAACGGAAAGAAGAGGGCAATCGCTGGCGAGACGTTTTGCCTACCAGCTGGCAGCAGCTGGCAGCAGCCGGCAGCATGGCGAACCGAAAGGACGGCCGTTTGAAGGCGTTCTGAGATGGTTCGAATTTTACATATGAGCGACACGATGAAATATTCCGAATTGTCCAAAAAGCTAAATAGAGGAAGAAAAAGGAAGAACGCCAAAGAAAAATACCACCAAGAAGTTTCCATAGCAAGTTGTCGAGGTTGGAGCGGCGTCATCTCCGGGGACCGACAGGCAGCTAACTAGCGCCCACAGCTCTCCATTCTCAGCCATATGCAGGCCGGTTTTAGACGAGGGTGACTTCGTTTGCTCGCTTACTGTAGCAGAGATGGGATGTGCCGCTTTGCCGTGCTGAGTACTAGGTACCTTGCCACCCTACTCGAAGTAGTACAAACACTTGCATCCAGCCCCGAACCGTTCCCATTTTCATGAGGCCTAGTCCTAAATCCGCCTGAGAATTTATGCAACATAATCCGTGTATGGAGGAGGCGCAGCTGGTTCTGTCGCCGCTTCAAGATCGCGTCGTCGCGCCTCGTGTTCCATCCGCGCAGTCCACAGCGCAGCTCCGGTTGAAGATGTCAAGAGGAAGAAGAATGACAAAATGGGAATGAGCTCCAGAATCATGGCCACTGAGCCAAACCATACATTTTCCCAGCTGAGACGCTTCAGCTCCTTCCTCTGCTCGGCCTTGGACAGACCGCGGAGCTGGAACCAGCGGTAGTGCGCCAGCTTTCCCAGTCGAGAACCGGTAATCATGATGAATGCCGGGGTCCCCACAAAAGGAATAAGATTCAAGGGGAGAAATACTATCAGTTCGACAATCTGAATGATGCTCCATGGCGTGTATATGGCAGGGCTGGTAGGCTTGCCAAGCATTCTGACGGCATTCGGCGCATCGGGGTACAGAACGCGGTGGGGAGCCACCAGATCTTCAAGCGAGTTCTGAATCAAAGTGGCCTGTCGATGTGAGTAAATACGTTTTATCTTTATAGAAATCACCTACATCATAGACATCGACGCGACATTCATCGACAAAGAAGCCCTCGAAGAGACCTTGGATGATAACCAAACCCTCGCCTAAGACTAGCACGACGGCATTTACCCATGCTCCCCAACCGTGGAAAATCGCCAAGAAGGCAAATTGCGGCAAGAAAGCAAAAGCGAACAAGATGAAATAAACGACGAGTGAGATGAGAGAAAGAGGCAGCAGGCGTGCGAGGAAAAGCGGCCAGAATTCCCTTGTCCGGCTAAAATACCAGATGCCACGCAGCGGGTACGAGGCGGCTCTGCCAGCTCTGCGCACGTACATGACTGGCCTGGAGGATATTACCGGCTCCATACCTAGGTAGGTAGCAGCTCTTTAATATATACTGTCGGACTTGCGGCGGTATCAAGAGCTGAGAAGCGGCGGAGGGAGTGGTGATGCTAGTGACAAAATGCGCGAAAGCATGTGCCGTAGTTACGTCAGGTCATTCAGTTCCGCAGAGCGGCATGCCGGCGGGTTATTAGCACCACTTCCGGCGGGAGGCCTGTCTGGCTTCGGAACGACGAACATGCTGCCTCAAGCAGCCAGAAGCCAGCTATTAAACGTAGAAAACCAAACCACCATTGTACTCCGGGTTATTTTTACGAACAACAAATTTACAAATCCAAAAGTCAACCAAGTAGATAATGTAACTCGCTCTGTCGGCTTGGCGGGCACACACTGTAATAATAGGGCTGTTAGAAGTGGGCGTTCACGGTGCTCAGTGCGGTAACTACTGCCTTTTGTGCTTCTCCAGCTAGCGATTCACCCCGCGAACTCACCACCACCCTACCCTCTTCAACAAACCACCAATTGTCCGAAATGAACACAGCGCCAACGGAAAATATGCGAATTCTTTGCCAATGCGGCGCAATAGACTTCCGGGCCTCGCAGCCCGCGCCTCTCGACGTGTACTTCTGCCACTGCCTGGAGTGTCGCAAGCAGTCCTCCTCTGCGTTTGGGATATCAGCAATCTTTCCGACTAAGGGGACCTGGCCACCGCCGACGGACACGCTGACCCGCCTCAAAATGTGGCCACGCCCGTCCAAGACTGGAGGCACGATGCAGTGCTATTTTTGTGATACTTGCGGAGCCCGAATTGCGCATGTTGTAGCTCTGCCGGATGGATCCCTGAAGCCCACGGTGTCAATCAAAGGTGGTGCAGTGGAAGGGCTCAGTGTTACAGGGGCAAAGCATATATGGACGAGAACAGCCATAGTCGATGTGCCAGAGGGCAGCTATAGGGCTTCTCCAGAACCCTGAAGCTTTCTTGATAGCTAGAGAATTGTGAAAAGAAGATATTTTGAGGCTGGTACTCGTATATTCAACGCGAATTCTATGAGGGTTGACTTCTATTTCCTCCGCCAGCTAGTAATGCCTTGCAATCCCTGATTTACGCAGCAATAGCTTGCTGAAAAGCCTTGGTCTCGTTGCCTTGGCTGACCTTGGCCAAAGGAATGAGATGGCTATCTGTAAACGACTGGCTCAGTTGACGGATATACGCCTGGGCAACTCGCAACCATTGAGCTTTCTCAGCGCGACTGGCACCTTGGCCCTCCCATACCCATATGGACTTTCCGCTATCCAGGAGGAAGACGTCATTGCCATCCAGATCATTGGCGGTGACATTGCCGTCCTTGACCAGACTGAATGAAAGCTGCCCAGAGCCATCACTAAGTTTGAACAGCTTTTTCGAGCGACCGGAAGCAACGGAAGCCTTGTTGCCAGAGGCAATTGGGCGACCCTTCTTGAAGCCATCCGACTGCGTGGACGTATCGCCGCCAAGTAGAGTAATCACACGACGTGAACGCGACTCGGTCTGGGCGACAACCTCGACCTCGACGTGCTTTGCTAGGGTCATGTCGTGCACGACCTGGGCAGCCTTCGCCTTTTCCATGGGGCTACAGCTCTTGCCCTGCCAAACCCAGATCTTGTCGCCCTTGTCGAAGATGAAGACGTCGCTGTCGTCGAGGCTGCGGTAAGTGGGCTCAACTTCATGAACAACGACTCCGTTAGACGTCTTGGACCCGGGATTGGTGAAAACACGGAGCAGTGTGTTGACTTCTTCTTGGGGTGTCTCCTCAACATGTCTAAAGCCGGAACGGACACCGCCAGAGCGAATGGAAATTTTGGGGAACAAGGCTAGAAATTCATCCGACGGAGCAGTTTGCACCTCGCGGTGCTGAGATGCGGCGCCATGAAGGAACTCGTCTAGCTCAACGGTCTTGTAGGCGGCAGTGCCAGCCTCGTCCTGTGATGCATGGCTGCCGAGCCAGAAGTAAATTTCGTGGCCAAGCTTCTCGGAGCCATCCTTGCCAACCTTGAAAGAGTAGAGGACGATGAAGCTGTCGCCGTCGAAAAATTGGCCATATTTCTGTTCAGGCCATGGGACGACCTGGAAGTTTTCGATGCGCCATATCAACAGGCCCGGCCCCTTTCCGACAGCTTGCCAGGCGGGTTCCTCCGCTGCCGACTTGTACTTGACCTGGTGGTCAATGTCGGTTCCAATCAGCTCGACATTGCTGTCTTTGATGTCGTACTCCTTGAGGTGTACTAGACCTTCGTGCGGAGGCATGATTATTATGATGAGGATGAATGCTAAAATAAATGTACTGCAACGATGATGCAAATAGGTACTTGACCGTACTGAAATGAAGAATACTCGGTTTATTATTAGGGGTTGGAGGGGTGCATCAGGGCGGTGCGGGGTGGTTGGCGCGTTGGTTTGTATCTTGGTGAACGCCCCACTATGGAGGCCGATCAGCGTGGCCGAGCAGGTACCAACTGCAGGTGGCTGCACGGTGTATGCTGAAGCATTTACGTACCTACATAGGTTGATAGGTAGGTACCTACTAGCCAGCGCGTTGAACCTTCTGGATTGAATTGGTGCCATCATCTACCAAGGTTGTTGACTACACTACCAACCATGACAGCGATTTCCCTATCCCAGTTCGCGTCGGGTTTGGCCTTGGTTTTAGGTCCAACGAACGATCCGGGAAGTTGAGAGCCCCTACCCACGGCTTGTCTAATCGCATCGCCAACGAGGTTCCTATTTGCCTTGAGTGACCTTGCAACAACACCTCCACGGTTGATAATATCTTGCACACGCGTAGATACGCTACCCGCCATGGTTCGCCAAAAGTATGATGCTAACGAGCCGGTCTCAAGTTGGCTTAGCAGAGGTTGGAGTAAATTCGGCAAATGGGAATGGGGCGAAAGGGCGAGCAATGGATGCTCTGGTGGCTTAATTCCATCTAGGATAAGCTCCAAGGCCACAATTGTTTGGCACTTGGTCGTGACTTCGGCAAGAGCTTTGTCGAGGCTAGGAAGCTGCCCAAGGGAGCGAGCCAACGTAGGAATGCTTGTCTGTAAGGACGATCTTATATACGTATCGAGGACTTGTACTAGCAGCCGAGGAGTCCATTTCTCTGCCTTCACTCCCATCGTGGGTGATAGCAGATATAGGGCCGTGAAAGAGGATGTGAGCCTTGCTCTGGCTTGCTCGCTTTGAGAAAAGGTCATGTTTCCAGGCACATGAAACTCGCGGACATAGCGCTCAGCTGTTTCCCGAACGGATCTCTCGACGGGCGTTATCACAAAATCCTGGAGGCTGCGAATCGCGTCAACTTTGTGAAGGTCGTGGCCTTCCTCTCCGGGCGCCTTACTATCCAGAATCTCGCGAAGGGATAATAAGGTATAAGAACAGCGTGTCAGCGCGGTGTGATCCTCATCGAAGCCAGAGCTTCCAAGCTCTGCGGTTTGGAATTCCAGCGTTTTGCCTAGCTGGAGACATCTGGCAACAGATTGGCCAAGGGCAAGTGTCTCCAACAACCGCGACGCAACTTCTCGGACCTCCTCTGCCTCCGCATGCTTCTCGATGACTTCCTTTTCGAGCTGTTTGTAGCTGCCATTGAGGCTGCTTATCTGGGTATCAAGCTCGTTGACTATTCTTTTGCTGGATTTGGTTTGCGAGGCTGTGTGTTGAAAGAGGGGGATGGCCGATCGAGTGGTAAGGACGTCAATGTGCGAATCAATCTCTTGCGCATCAAAAAGAACACGAGACAGGGGCGTGGACAGATCTAGGGGCGAGTCCTGGGGATTATTCGTGGCGAGAACAAGGGAGTTTGCAAAAGCAGTGGCGGAGAAATCAGGAGACAGGAATGTCTCGTAGTCGATGTAGGAGGGTTCATTGTCGTCTTGCGGGCTTGCTGGCCGGGGGGCCGTTGAAGCAGCCATTTTCGCCGCGATCGAGTATCCCGTGGAGGAGGGGCAATTCGGAGGCTGCGACGTCGGAGCGGTACGGTGGAAAGGCCGGATGGCGATGATGCGAGGGGCCAGCGGACGAATAACGTGGCTCTAGAAACGCACCGAATACTATGCCACACCCTGGTGGATGGATCAAGTCCAAGTTCTGACGGCTGTCGTCTGCCCCACCCCAAGTGTTTCTGTCTCGAGTGGCTAGTTAGCCCGTTATTACCTAGCAGCGGCTCGACAGACGCCCGAAAGTGCTGCAGAAGCAATGGCTGCGAGGTCATTCGAGCGCCGTCAGCGCCCACCACTGGGCCGGGCGAGCCATTTTTATTACCACCTGCGGAATCCACTTCTTTGCTGTCTCGGTACTGCCGGTCCCCGATCCACCCAGCCTCTCCGCGAGTTCCGCGTCAGCAATGAAATTTCTCGCTCGCCTTTTGCTTCCTCTTTTTGCTTTTCGCCTTTCATGTACGTAGCACAATCCAAGATACTACATGGTTGACTTTGCGATTCATGCGCGCTTATAGCAACTGCTATCACCGCGAACTGAGGAAAGCACCAACCTCACAAAATCTCTGAGCGACAACACTGCGACATTCCTCCAACCACGCACATCAAAACAGGATGCCCGGCATACAGAAACTCATTGCTAGGGACCGGCTGGACTGGCCCGATGCTGGAAACGGCAAAAATGAAACCGTCCTCGGCGGTGTCCTTTTTCCATTGTCGACGTTGGACCACTTCAACTATACATATTACAGCAATGGCACAATGTCCAATGGGTCGAATTGCGTCCTAACGTTCAAGCCATACCAGCCTGCTGAGTTGTTTCCCAATGGCACATTTCTCAATGCGACATCTTGCTACCATGCTGTTGATCCCATCGCTGCGCGTGGCTATGCTGGCATTGCTGTCGCCGTGGCCTATGGGATCGCCCTTGTGCTGACCATTACACTCTTGACGAAACATGGAAAACAATATCTCCCGAAAACGAAGCGATTCTTTCCGATCGGACGGCGATGGCAGTGGTACTGGGCCTGCTTTGTGAGCGCCTGCGCTCTCATCAGTCTGTTTATAAACGTCGATGTCGACCGCTATCGCGTCCAGGAACTCCCCATTGTCATCGTGTGCTTCTTCTGGTTCTTGCTCTGCCAGGGCACGACGGCACTGGTGTGGGAATCTGTCAGGCATTGGGGTAGCTGGCAAGAACGCCAGTTCGTGGACCCGAATCCCTTTGTGTTGCGCGACGATGACAGGCGGTCGAAAATCGAGTTCTGGCTTCCTATCTGGTTCTATTTCTGGACCTGGCTCAACTTCTTCCTTGTGGTGCCTAGAAGCTGGACTTTCGTTGAAATGCAACGGTCTCCAGAACAAACTGCTGCTATTGCTATTCCATCGGCACTCAGTGCGCGCTTCAAGGTCGGCGCGTTCTGCCTCGTAATCTCTTGGCTCACGATTCTGTTCTCCCTCCGCCACTCCATTCTTCACTACAGACCGCGAAACCGCGGCTTGCTTAACAAATCTGTCGGACTCCTACAGTCTGTGCCAATCCGATTTATGTGTACCATTCCTCTCCTCGGAGCCCTGATCGCCTATCAGATTTTCATGTCGTTCAATTGGGAGTTTTCCATTCTAAGATTCCACGGCGTTGTCCCCGTTCAATTTGGCTGGGGATATGGACCGTCGCTTGCCATAATGCTTGTCCAGATCATCTATGGATACATCAACCCCAACGAAGACAAGGAACTTATTCGCCAGCGTCGCGAGCGAGGTGAGGTCATTGATCGCGATTTGGGACTTGTCCAGAAGCCTGCATGGTGGCGTCGTGCGAGAGGCGAACACGCAGAAGTGTCGTTTCGCGATCGCATTATGCGCAATGTCAAGGAAGTCGGAGGCGAGCGCGGTATTGGCCGAAGAGAAGAGAATGAGATGGAAAGGCACATACGACAAGAAGCGCTTCGCATGGCCATCGATGACGGCATCGAGCTCCCCAACTTGCCGCGACGACCATCGCAGAATCCCCGCGAAGACAGAGCCGGAGTACGAGACATGATGAGCAATCCCTCCAATTCAGACACAGCACCTCTGCCCCGATACGACGGCAAGTCGCAGCGCAGACACACCGAGCGAGTCATGCAATCTGCTGCTGGCGTCCTGTTCCCCAGCAGCGAGGCCGACGCCGCACGAGCTCGCCGCGAGGCTGAACTGTTTGAAGAGGGTCCGCCGCCTGCCTACACGGACTCGGCCAGAGGGCGGCACGAGTCGGAGAGACCAGAGTCTGCGCACAGGCAAAACAGCACGTCGACAATGAATTCTGTGTCGGCCCCGCCGCAGCAAGTGCGCAGCATGTTGGATGTTTAGAAGAACATTCGTAGTGTGCCCCTGCGTTGCAAAGTTCAATAGGACACTCGGAGGCTCGTTTTGTGCACATTATGGTGGCCCTATTCTTTGATTTGTTCGGTAATAGCTAGGCGTTGGTGTTTGAGATTGATATACGAATTACATATTGCCTGTTCGAGACATGATGATTCTGTGAACCCCGGGGTGCGTTTGGTCTTACCCATCTGCCATCGGTATCTGTCTTAAAACGAGCAAAATTGCACAGCATAAAGTGAGGAGTCTCAACAGATACGCGAGGTCTTACAAGTGCAACCCGAGCAGTCAGCAGAAGGGTGTCCTAGTCGAGTAACCCGACCAAGAAGAATTATCCTTGTGATGTCTTGTACACAGTCTTGTACACAGTCTTGTACACAGGTGAGTTGATCATGCCGAAGCTGACATGACTGTTGTGCGCTTCTTCCTCAGCTTGCTACGGACAACGGTCTGGTTTGCGTCAGAGAACTGGCATTTTGCTCTGCTGCAGCCAAGAACATTATGCAACGGTAGGAAAACGAAACACCGAAAAGGGCGCGATGCCTTTATGCACATAGAACAAATCTGCCGCAAAGCCATTATTTCCTCATGCTGTCCCGCTCTCTACTCGAACCTAGAGCTGGGTCGGGAGCTCGCCCTGGCGCGCCGCATATGTACTTCAGGCCAAGAACCCTGCACGAACAAGGCACAAGGATGCACAGAGCCTCCTCGCGGTGCCATCTGTACATGCTTTGGGGGCGGCGAAACTCGTAATTGGCGGTCAAGACGATGGGCCCTGACGTAGCTCGAGGCAGCTATATCAACAAGTGCCTGGCCGTAGTTGAAAGAAGGCTGGTGCTTGCTTCGTGCTCTGACCTCCTTGGAGGCGGGGCGGAAGGCTGGGCGAATACCTAGTGATGCATCACCAGGGCTATTGTTCCCTGCCACTGCGACTGGTCGTCGCATGAATACGAAGTACGGATATTCAAAGGGTATATTATCATTACAAAGATTCAGCTTCCAGGGAGAAAAAACCCACCCCCAAAAAGCAAGTGGCGGCCTGCTCGTGGTGCAATTTTCCATCTTACTCGAACAACACGATGTCACGGTCACCGGCTTCCAGATGCAGGCTCCGCCCTGTAAACGAACAGGCGTATGGGCTCAGCCCAAGACACCAACCATGTTTTGCAGGACCGTTTCTCCTCAGCACGCGCACACTTCGGGAGGCACTTGTGAGGAAACACATCTTCTCCAGTTTTAACCTGCAGAAAAGGCTGATCCGGTCGCTAGGATCAGCTCTGGTGTTGCACAAGAGGATCCGCCAAGCTGGGCAATGGCATTTACGCCGGGGAGCCAGCCACCAGACCAACTTGCAAGGCAAAGGAAAAAGGCATGAAACAACAGTGGCAGCGTGGCACGGCATGGTTGGCCTGATCATGGTGGAGGATTCATGCCCTGCCGATGGTGCTTAGCTGCAGAGCGAAGCGTGACCTACATGCATACATGCATGCGCCACGGACAGCAATGCGCATTATGGTGTTGCCGTCCATGCTGTGTACAGTAGAAGAATGCCAGAAATCGAAAAAGAAAATCCCAAGACAAAGTCGGCCCATCTGTAAAAACAGAGAAAACAATTTCGATGCGAATTACTGATGAAGGAAGAGTTAAGGGCTCTCTGTAGGTCATATGAGCATGGTTGCTCGATCCAGTCAATGAGAGAGATGCTTCTGGCGATGATACAATACGGCTGCCCTATTAATAAAGGAAAAATAAAATCAAAACCGTCAGCGACTAGAAAAGAAACTCGAGTGGTCGAGAGCAAACTTCAACAACGTTAGAAAAAGCCGTGCGTGTGCGACACCCTAGCCGGAAAGCTACTTGTACACCTGCTGTAGCGCATCGATGACAGTAAACTTTGTCAACTTGAGTCCAGAGCCTGCGTGCACGCGACATGGTGCAAGCACATGGCCAGTGTTTTTGCTGCAGCTTGATGAAACTCATGCTGCAGGCCGCTTCCGCAGCGGGCAGATGTGCCCTAAAACGGGATTCGGTTTGCGGCGAGGCATTTTGTCTTGGGCCGTCGGCCACCGCGATTGGACGATGCACGGCAAGCTTCCCCGGACTGGAATGCAGGCGCTGTTTACGGATGAAGGGTGAGCGATGGCGATCGATCTGGTCTTGCTAGGGAGGTCCTGGACTCCGTCACAGCAAAGAAGGGCATCGGGGTAGCCCCTGGCGATTTGCACTATAATTGCAACGGGTAAATTATACAAATTACCTCGAGGGGGGGAGAGCCCAGAAACGGAATAGATCTGGCCATGGCGCACGGCATTGACTTTGGAAAAACCACCGTCTTTCTCTTTCACCAATCCAATGCCCGGCATGCAAGGAACCTTCTATTTTTGACGTTGGGAGCTATCCACTCACTCACTCTACGCCACGTTTGATGTTCACCCGTTGCTTATCGCCGCGAACAGACTGAAGCTGTTGCTAGTAACAGCACTGTATCAGATTATCAGATAAACAATGGAAATAGCCTTGAAGCCGTTCTTGTGCCAGAATATATGCGGAATTCTGAAACTGAAATGGCAGCTCCAGGAGTTCAGAAAACAGCTAATGTCGCTGGTCATGCAAGGTGTATGCTGAACCTCGAGGTGTAAGATGCTGTTGATGTCTGTAGTGTTTCGCTTTTGCCCTCTATATTTTGGAATGAAACGACAATACAGCGGCTATCCAATGAAGAGTATAATTCGTACCCGTCATCGGGCTAGCCATACGTAAATGGGCAATCGCAAACTGTAACTTGGCAGGTCTCTTAATTCAGCTAGATTCATCACGTCCGCATTCAGGCGCGATACTTGCCATTCCGCAAACGGAGAGGGAGGGTATGCTAACCACACCGCGCATCACACTAACCAGCAAGGGAGGGGTTGTGTTAGTTTTGAATAGGGCTAGTTACGATAAACTTGGGCTCTCCAGAGTAATAAGTACATTGTACGGAGTTTTGCGTAGATGAGGCTGAGAGGGAGTTTGTTGCGGGTTGGTGTGACAGTGACGACAGTCGTGTGTAGGATGGTGCAGTGGTGGTGCAATGCGTTTGTATGTCTAGAAAATGGGGGATTGCCAGAGGTTGCAGGAAATAGAAGGAAAATTCATTGTGCTGTTTATACAAGCAGAGGCTGTGATGGATGTTGTTCTGCAGGCAGGAGAAGACTGTGTGGGAATATAGCTACTAGATTTGGCGGGCGGATATCTCCAGGAGCACGGAGTATGGATGGCAGCAGCGGGCAGGAGAAAGCAAGGGAGCCATGTAAGATGCGGTTAAGGCCGAAGTGGTGATACCATTGGTGGTTTGCGTTGAAAAACGCCCCGACGTTGTGTATCGGGGGTACGGGCAGTGATAGGGCAGGGCGAAATGCTGCCGCGCGGAGAATTAATTGACGGCGATGCTTGGGCTCGGGGATGTCAAGACGAGAAGGTGGTGGGCGAGTGGGGAGAAATGGCGGCAGTGGCGAGGGCAGGCGGGGCACCTGAAGTCGTCGACGAAGCCACCAAAGTCTGTGCCTGCAACCAGAATTTCGTACCTGGCGGCGAGCTGGGCCTCTTGCGGCGGCGACAGGTACCTTGCGACGCTCTGCAGTGCAAGAGCGGAGGCAAGATGGAATTCAGCGAGGCGCTGACTGGCCCCAGTCAACGCCACAGCGAGGTGCTGGGGCCCAAGATTTTCCCTCGACCCCTCCCCCACTTGACGGGCGTTATGTACCTGGCCAGTCTGCGCTAGGTTGGTGCAGATGACCTGTACCTTGCTTGCTTGCTTCTTACCTCCGGACCTATCTGCCCCTCTTCTTTACTTTTCCTTCTTGCTAAGCAACAGGTACTAAGGTAAGCAGTTCTCTTGGTCGGCTTGGTCGGTCACTGTGAAGTCACCCAACAAACTAACCCGAGGCCGCCCTCTCTGCTCTCTGGATTGTGCTGCCTTTGTGTTCGGCAGCGACGGAAACGTTGGTGCATTGGATACCGTGGCTGTTGGGATGTGGGCTACCTTGACAAGGTGGTAAAATCTACGACTCAGTACCGTTTCGCCCTCGCTGACTGAGTCGGGCTCTGAAAACAGGCGTGGAACAGACACTTTCTCACCGCAGATATCGTCGTCACTCCCGAGGAGAAAACACAACACACGGCTCTTGGCAGCAACGATGTGATGTGGCCCGGATAGGCCCTTTTTATCCAAACCTTGCTGCCTACCTACCTACCTATGTGAATGCGCACTGCCCACAAACTAGCCCCAGGCACCACCAGTATCTGCTGACGACGTGCCTCATCACTCGGACTGGACGACGAGTAACAGACACAGCATAGTCGTCTGAAGGCGCTGACTAGTGGCTGGGTCGGGCTTTTGCGATCACCATTGCGCCAGTGGCATGAGGAGGAGGCGGTGGTGGCAGTGGTAAAAAAAGTAGGTGGCGGCTCTTGGACCACCATCCATTACCTCGACCACCCACACAACCACTCACCACTCACCACTCACTTATGCCACTCGACCCCTCCTTGGCTCGTCGTCCCCCTCGCTGTCGTCGTCCCCTTGCTCCCTTGCTAGCAACAGGGCTCGGGCTCCGCCAATATCAATGGCGCCAACCTCCTTGTGCATCAGTACGTTGGTTTTACAGAAGAAGAGGGAGAGCTGGGCTCTGGCGCACAAGCCTCTCGTTTTTCTCAAGGTACACAAGGTCACCGAGTGCACCAGAGAAGATTTACAGCGGGAATTCACTTTGCCTTCTTTATTAGAGAGGACAAGTCATGATCATGGCAGCTGTGGTTGGGCTCTATGCGGCCGAAATAGAGTTACACTGCGAAACGCAAGCTGGCACACAGCCATGCGAGGGCAGTGGTAGACGCCACCACGTCGACGGACAGCCGGGTTGCTGGGATGTGTGCTGTTACTTGAGACGCATGCCGCTGAAGCATTGTGTGTATTCGCCGGTTACACTGCAAGCAGGTAGGCAGGCAGGCAGAGGCAGGTGGCCCTCCTCCAGCCAACAGCCAACGAATAAAAGCCGAGTCCAAAGACATCAGCCAAAAGCAGAAGAGCAAGCAAGCACCGTGGCTTCATCGATCAGCCATGTACAGATTAGTTAGTAGTTAGAGCCCAGCCCCAAGCTCCAAGCTGAAAGGCTTGCACTTGCTGATGGGCGATGGCGGTGGTTGGGGTCTCTCGCTTGCCTGTCGCAGTGTCCCACCCCGGATCCGGACTCCACCAAGACGTGCGTTCGAGGGGAAAAGCAACCACAAAGACATCACCTGTCTCCGCCCACCCACTTGTCGCCACACTGGCACACCTGTAAGAGTAAGAGTCTTGAGCCCCTGCCTCTCGCTGCGCTCGTCTTGCCCGTCTCCCCAAGCACGGTGCACCCGTCCTTTTTTCTACCAGTACATCTTGCATCCTGTTCCTGTCCGTATCCTGTACCTCCTGTACCTCCTGTACCTCTCCCACTCATTCTAAAATCTCTGTGCCTGGCCTGCAACCTGGCCCTTTTATATTCATTCTCATCCTAACTGCACATCCGTCGTGACTCGTACATATTCCACTCGTCGTGCAACCCACCCGCTGCCTTTTCTCTGATTCTCTTAATTGCTCCTCTACTCCTCTGCTGCTGCTTATCCTGCCCGCCTCCCCTGGTCCGCCGTCGCTACCCTGACTCAATCTCGGGTCAAGGATCCATCTGTCCCTCGTTGGCCCTCGGCCCCAGCCAACCTCGTCGACACCTGGCAGCATTTTTCTCTCCGTCTTCCTTCTTATCCCTCCTCCACGACAGGCAGGCTTTATTCCAAAGACGAATATCTTCCAACATTTTCCCTTTCTTGCATCGGGCACCCTCCACTTCGCATGCTGCCTTTGTCTTCCAGCACCCCAGACTCCGACATACGCCATACTACCCACCGACAGCCTTCCTTCACCATTTGTCTCGGGCGCTTCTGCTGCAACAAGTTGATCTAAATACATCTACCACTCGTCCAAACTTGCACCATCTTCTCGTCGCTGCATTATCACGTTGCTACCGTGGTTGCCCTCACCCCGCGCCGACTGCGCCCGCTTCTCAGCCTCACCGCAGCTGTGCTTGCTACAAACACCAACACTTGGGAAACATCACCAGTCTTGCGCCCTTGGCCCGACTCCTCACACTGTGACGCCGACTTCACCTAGCCATCGCCTCTGTCTGCGATGGCCGCTACCTTCCGGCCAGTGAATCCTCTGAATCTCACCGACTACCACAGACACCCAAGCGCCATCATGACTTCGTCCCCAGCCACGCCCCGCCCTAACACGGCGCCTCAATCACAACTCGACATGCCGAAAGACGTTGGAAAGACACCAACAAGAGTCACCTTTGGTGTCTCTAACGATGCTCATAACCCTCAACACGAACACCCCGAAAATGCAAACTCCTCCTCAACGACATCGCCGAACAGAGACTCGATGGATGTTGATATGGAAGACTCGGATAACGAAGCGGGTGGCGATGACGGCGGATCTGACGGTGAAAGTCTAAATGGGGATGGAACTAAGTCCAAGAAGAAGAAGTCGCAACGCTTCTACTGCACCGACTATCCTCCCTGCAATTTAAGTTTCACCAGAAGTGAGCATCTTGCCCGTCACATAAGGTATGCGGCGTTGGCCTCGATAGATCGGCCCCCCAAATATATTTCCCATGCTAACGCTCTATAAGAAAACATACTGGAGAACGTCCGTTTCAGTGCCACTGTTCACGTCGCTTTTCTAGACTCGACAATCTTCGCCAGCACGCGCAGACTGTACATGTCAACGAAGACATTCCCAACGACTCCCTCGCCGCCACCGGTTCTAGATTCCAGCGTCAAATGCGCACCGATAGAGTTCGGCAGGCTGGCAACAGAGCCCGAGCATCAACCAGCGGCAGCGCTGGTGGACCCTCTCGCGGCCACTCCAAGTCACTATCGACATCCAGCATCAACTCGATAGGCTCGATAGGCTCGTCGTATGGAATTCCGATGCACGCAGATCGCCGCCGGCCGCCACCTCTTGTCATGTCGGATCCACGATCCCGGATGTCAGTTGAGTCATACCGCAGTGGTGTTGAAAGCAACTACTCCTACAGGCCTCATTCTCCCAGCGACTTCAGCACTCCGACGTCAGCCGGCTTTTCTACCGCCCAAAGTAGTCCACGCTGGCCCTCTGGCGTGGGATCTCCGACAACCTCAGCACATTCACACTCTCGGTCCCAAAGCATGTACATGCCTGACCACAGAAGTTCAGCACGCCGCCTAAGCGTGCCCTCTGGTGTTGCTCCTTTCCAGTCCCACGGACCCCCTCCTCCTGGTCGCCTCTCGTTTGGCCCAGCGCTCGTAAACAGCTCGAATGCCGGCGCCTTCTCACCGCCAAATCACAACTCTGTCCCTTCCGTTGCGGGACACCCCACAGGGTGGTCTGGCCGCCGCGACAGCACTTCCAGCAATGGTCCAGATGATGGCTGGCGCAGACGCACCTGGCATCCAGATAGCCGCATGTTAAACGGTCAGCAGCCGCCGCTCAATGCACAGTCCGCTGTTCATCCGAACCCTCCACCACCCATGGCCACGCCGGCCAATACACAGTCCAACTTGCGACTACCTGGAATCGAATCTTTCGACCCTCTTCCGCAACGCCCGCCGACGCCGCCCCGGCGCACTCATTCCCCAATGGCTGTTGATCCCGAGACCTACCAGCGTCGTATGCCCAACGCACAGCTGGACGCTATCCCCGTGGATGATCGCCGCAACCTGAACATGTACGATGCTAGTCTTCAGCGTGGTATCAACCGGCTTGATATTGGGCACCGCACTCCTCCAACTGACAGCGCAGGCAGCTGGGCTGCTGAGGCGAATAAGGCAGTTCAAGCCCAAGGCGAGCGTGTACATAGCCATGTTCGCTTCGAGGAGCCACCGCGTGAGCGTTACGGCCCACCCCCATCGCGTTCTCTTCACCAGCATACTATGTCAGCTCCATCGTTTGCGACAAGTCGGGATACTAAGCGCCATGGCTGGTACAATGGTCCTACCGCACAACAGAGGGAAGGTCCGCCCACGCAGGACAACAGAGCCGCGCAAGTTGACAAGATGGAGCATCCCAACTTTACTGCATTCTCTGGCTTCCCTGCGCGAGAACAGCAGCCGCCGGCTCCACAGCAGCAGGAGCGTCCTGCCAACAGCCGTTTTGACGCTCTTGTTGCTGTTGCCACTAACGAGAGCACCACAGCCACAGCTTACTAAAATGACATTGGGCCTGTCCTTGACTGTCAAGTGCTGTGGAATCCTCTTCTAATGACCTTATGATTTTTTTGGACATGCTACGGTGGGAGTTTTTGTTTTTTTTTTTGATTTTGCCTTTATGCGTTACGAGCGGTTGATGGACATGAAGGTTTTGCTGTATGAGTAACGTGAGCTACTTACGATGCTGCGTGACGTTTTGACGAGTTTCCGATTTTGCATTTGTCCACGATTTTCGAAGTATAAAGACCTGTCTCCAAGACTCACGTCATGATAGTGGCTCCCATCATGATTACCAGGAGCAGGACAAAGAATGAACCCGGAGTCCAGCTTGCGAACTGGTAATACTGTTTATATTGATACCCAAAGAATTTTTCTTCTGATTTTTTTTATTTCATCCTCCTCTGTGCAACTGCCTCTCTTGATACCGTGGTCATCTGACGAAACCTTGAGCTCTGTGCGAGTGATCCCCTTTGAGTAGATTATGCTCTTCTTGAATAGTCTCAGTTTTGCCAGACGATTTACAGTGTGGCACTTGCGTGATTCATTTCTACCGTAGCTATCAAATGGCGCAACAATGCGTTCAACGCGTCTGCAGGTATTACAAATAAATAGTACATTCTTCCCTGCTCATATCGCCGGTATCTCTTCACCTGCCCCGCGAGTAGTGTACAAAGCCCATGTTTAAAAAAAAAGAACTTTCCTGCCTCGTGTGTTTTACAATCCGCCGTTGAAGCCGCCCGCCGCCGCGAAGCGCAGCTGGTACTCTCTCAGATCCGCCCAGTGGCCGAGCTCCGCGTCCTCATCCTCGGCCGTCATGTGGTGCGCGTCAACCCCGGCGTTGCTCGTCTCGCCCGTGGGGCCCGTCTTCTCCAGCTTCATGAGCACATCGATGAGCTGCTCGAGGGCCTCCTCCGACTTGACGGCCAGCGGGCCCTTGCGGTGCGGCGCGTCGTTGAGCAGCGTCGACGCGACCTGCCGAATCTTTTCGACGAGCGAGCGCCCGTTGGGCTCGAGGTTGCGCTGCGAGATGCAGCCCAGCACCATCAACAGGTTCTGGACAATGAGCTCGCGCTCCGTCGACATGAGCTCGTAGATTTCCTTGTCGTCGCCGCCATCGTCGTGCACCAGTAGTTCTTTGCTGTCCTCGGACTGGTTGGCCCCCTCGTGCTCCGTTAAATGAACGTCGCGCAGGTCAAAGTAAAGCTCAACAAAGTAGGACCGTGTGGCGAGCTGGGACACAAAAATGTTGGCCTTTTGGATTTCGTATTGCAGCTGGCGACGACGGACAGGGTGGGCTTTGATGGCATGACGCAAATCGTGCGAAGGTTGCGTATTGGGCCACACAGGCGGGACGTATTGCATGCCGGACTCGTCCAGGCTCGCCAGTGGATTCGCTTCGGCACTGGAGCTGCCCAACTGAAGTTCCGGTGGCAGGTTATCAATGATGCTCTTGGCAGCCATCAGGCCGTCCCGTAGCAGAATGCGCTGATCAGCCCATGGCAGCGTGCTCATACCGTATGCGAGCTCGAGGCTGACGATGCCGTTCATCGTGGTATATATATCAATGGCGAAGCGGAATCCAGTGAGCAAAGTAACCGTGCCGTCAGCTTGGTGATTTACTTCATTTGCTTGAATGCCCATGTCGTCGACATTCTCAGGGTATGCAGGGTATGGGAGATTCGGGGTGGATGGTGCAATGACCATGTCATTATGCGATGTGAGCTGGAATAATGATCTAATTTTCGTCAGTAGTTGCCTTGCATAGCCAAGTTTCGGGAGGATTTACCTATTACCAAGGAGCAAGCACCAGAATATTCTCTTTCCAATCTGATCCTTGATGTGATTAAAAGGGAGAGGTTCGTTCCCGTAGGACTCGTGTCCGAAATTTGGTTGTTCGCCCTGGTGCTTGGGTCGCGTGAAGCCAAGCTCGCGAATAAGAGTAAGAGTTTCGGAAAGAAAGACACGAGCGACATTGAACTGAATGGTGTATGCCGCGCCAAGACCCAGAAAGTAGCTAGCCATGGCGTCATCCAGAGTTTTGGGTTGCTTGATGGGCCACCTGGCGCCTCGGGTATGAAGTGCAATGTCACGACACTTGTCCACCATCACCACTGCCTTTGGAAAAAGGTGGATGCTGTGTTGTGACTTGAGGTGCTCTCTGACACAGCGAGGAAAAGACGCGACAAGTGCGCCAATCATACTGGACAGCAGACCAAGAAATTCGGGACGGGTACGATCTTCTCGGTTGGCAAAGGACTGACGGAACGTAGGTTCGTGAGGAAACGGCGCAAGGGGATGAACATAGGTGAAGAAGTCGTCGATAAGCAGTTCGAGAACTGGCATCGGCGCTATAGACTCGGCGTCAAGAACAGCGTCAGACGAAATGGTCAGTAGCGTCTTGGCCGCAATATGAGGCGATGGCGAGGCGGAGAAGCCATCAATTTCGCCCTCATGCCGTGCCTTTTTTGCGGCCTTGGCAGCTTCTGCGTGCTTGTTCGGCGGCCCACGACGTTTCGTCTCACGGTGGTAGGTGCAGTCGACATTGAGCTCGCGACAAGGCCGGCAGGGGATGTTGGAGTCGTCGCATTTGACTTTTCGCATGCTGCACATGTCGCACGCGCGTCGCAAACGAGTCAGCTTGGGATTGATGGTCGGATCGCGCATCAGGGCACCCTGCCCGGGCACCATGTGCGGCGAGGTCATCTCGGCGCCGGGGCCGAGATGATGCGCGACGACGGCCTGCTGCTGGCCGACGGCCTGGGCAGCGGCATGCTGCAGGGCCTCGGAGTTTTGGATGGCCTGGGCGGCATCGCTGGCCGCCTGCAAAATCTCCAAACCATTGCTGGCGTATGCGTGCGCCGTCGTGTGGGGAGACGGAGGCGGTGGTGGAGATGCAGACATGATGCACGAGTGATCGCGGGCGCGATTCTCCAACCGGGTGTGTCTGGCGATGGCTGATTGTCGGCGGATGTCCGGGAATTGAGGTTGAAGCGAGGTGAAGCCGATGGTTTTCCAGGAGCAGCAAAGTGAGCTGGATGGCGCGGGCAGGCGTGCGGCCGCTGATTGGTCAGTGCCAACGCGTGGAAGGCACAGTCACGTGCGCCGATGGTTTGCCAGGAGATCTCGTGTGAACTAATTTAGCGGACGGACTTGGCGTGGCTACTGATCCTGGTTCCTGGTCTGCAAATGAGATGTGTCTATGACATTGGAACATTACAGGGGTCTTATAGACTGATAATCTCGACCAAACGTTACCTTGATCCAGTGGTAGTTTGTTCATACTTGAGATGCGGACGCTGCATACTGCCATGCATGTATATGTGCCGTAGGTATGCAGAAATAGTATTTTGGTGCAGAGATCTTCTATGTACATAGTTGAATTTATCCCGCAGTGTAACTATAAAATGAACGGTAACACCACTATGCTGCAGGGGTCAAGTTCCGGACAGTGTTGATGCGCAGACAGGTAACTAGGAGCTGTCCCACCGGTCATTATTAAAGGCGCAGGCGATGCTGGCAACTTTTGTTGCGCCTTTGGAGTGTAAATCAGAGTCATTCGTCCATGGTACGGAAATAAAATTACCATGATCCTCGAGGGAAGGACTTTTATGCCGCTCACCGCAATTCTAAAGCCGACAACAGGCGTTCGGGCACGTCGTCCTGTTACGCCCGTCAATGTACAGCACGTCACCATCCGCTTCCTCGGCGCGCCAACGTGTGAAGATTCAAGTCTGCACAAAAGCTTTTACTCCAATATCACGAACCTATCAGAGCGACAGCTTATGCATTAGCGGCGTCGTGGTGGCTTTCCGGCCAGGCCCGTGCAAAGTGCAAAGCCAGACAGGGCGGGCTAGATCAGGCCAGGCCCTCCCTAGCCCTCGCCCAGGCTGCAAGGCCCACAGGCAATGAAAATGCTCACTGAAGAACCCCCGTCACAAGGCTTCACGCCACTGTAATTATCATGGAAGGTGTAATGTTCAATGTTCCTGCTGTCCTTTGACGTTACAGCGCTGCCGGGTCGACTCTCCAGCGTTCTCCAAGCCACCGCTCGCTCGCCGGGGCCAGAACCCATTGTTAGCTTCAACCTGGGAGGGGCGCCAACACACACGCCGCCTGCTGTTATCTCTCATTGTCCCTGGTCCATGTGAACTTAGTTTATAATAATCGCTTCCATCCCATTTCTCCTGCTGCCTTGTCCCAGACTTGCCTCCCTCCTCTGCACATGCTCCCGTCTTGTCAACTTCGGAGACCTTCCCGCACGATCTGGGACATCAGCACTCTGCCCCTCAACGCCAACTTCTCGCTATCGATACAGGCGGCCAGCAGTGGCTCGCTTCCCCTCCCCCGCATCGCAGAACGCCCATATCCATTGTCCAACCTCGCAAGCGACTCACGGTCATAACTCCTTCGTCATGGCTCGCCGCGAGTCGCTCTCGGAGATCTTGGCTGCCAACCCAGAGCTTTCTCTCAGCGGCACCATCATCTCCGCGGCCTTTAACATCCCGCATGCGCTAACCTACCGCAAGGGTGGTGACTGGGTATGTCACTTCTAAATGCCTCTATTGCCATTACCCCTGCTTGCTTGCGCCATAGTCAAATTCATGTCAATCCAAGAGATGATCTCTTCTTCCTCGCACCATCTAACGCTTACATTACACAGGGACTCAAACCCCGCGGCGGCCAGTCTGCTCTTTTCGACTCCTTCGCCTACCTCTCCTCCTCCGCGAATCCCTTCAAACACACCGTTGTCTCCTGGACAGGCGAAATCGACTCTCCCCTCGAACCTTTCGAACCTGTGCCCCTATCACCGAGAAACACAACAGTCGGCGTCTCCTCTCTCAACCCTCTCTCGGCCCCGGTTCCCGTCGACGGGGTCGCGCAACTTCCCACTCCACCAACAGTTGACGGACTTTGGCTCCCTAAGGCAGACCAGGAGCGCCTAGAGCACCAACTTGCCAATGATACAATTATCAAAACTGTTCCTGTGTGGCTTGCGGACCAGGATGAAATTACTCCAGAGGGAATAATGCTGCGCGATCAGGGTCGGTGGCGCGGCTATGCCCACCACGACCTCTACAGCCTCTTTCACTACAAGCAGCATGAGCCAAGCGATGGCCGGAAAGAAAAGATACAGTGGGCTGATTATTACCGAATGAACCAAAAGTTTGCCGCCAAGATCGTCGAGATATACAAGCCAGGCGACATTGTCATCATCCACGACTACTTCCTCATGCTCCTCCCTAGCATGCTTCGACAAGCAGTCCCCAGCATGTACATTTCATTTTACTTGCACTGCCCCTTTCCCAGTAGCGAGTTCTTGCGCTGCCTTCCTCGTCGCAGGGAGGTTCTAGAAGGCATCCTCGGCTCCAACCTGGTCGGATTCCAGTCCTACAGTTACTCGCGCCATTTCCTTAGCTGTTGCACCCGCATTTTGGGCTTTCCTTCCGACACTCTTGGAGTTGATGCTTACGGAAGTAGAGTCCAGGTTGGCGTTTTTCCAATCGGCATCGATGCTGCAAAAGTGGAAAAGCTGGCGTGGGCATCCTCTGTTGACACAAAGTATGACGCCTTGAAGAAAATGTATGGCGGGAAAAAGATCATAGTTGGTCGAGACCGTCTTGACAGTGTTCGAGGAGTCGTGCAAAAATTCCAAGCATTCGATCGTTTCCTCGAAATGTACCCGGAGTGGAGGGAGAGGGTTGTCCTTATACAAGTCACATCACCAACCAACAAGGTAGTAGACAAGGATGATGGGGAGTACAAGACCTCGACACGCGTGAACGAGCTTGTCATGCAAATAAACGGCCAGTATGGAAGTTTGGGATTTTCCCCCGTACAGCATTACCCTCAGTACATCAACCAGGACGAATACTTTGCCCTACTTCGAGCTGCCGATATTGGCCTCATTACGTCAGTGAGGGATGGCATGAATACAACCAGCCTGGAATATGTAGTCTGTCAAAAGGACGGACATGGCCCGCTGATACTGTCTGAATTCAGCGGTACAGCTGCCAGTCTAAGCGACGCTATCCATATCAACCCTTGGGATCTTACTGACGTGGCCGAGAAGATCAACGGGGCGTTGACCATGCCTGATGAGACCCGGGCTAAGATGCAGAGCCGACTATACGAGCATGTCACAACGCAGACTGTCCAGTCGTGGATTACTAAGTTTATCCGGAGAATCCACAGCGTGCTTGGTGACAACTCTATCCAGTATGCCACGCCACTTCTCGACCGTACCCTACTACTATCACAATACCGCGCAGCCTCGAAGCGTATTTTCATGTTCGACTATGACGGAACACTTACGCCTATTGTGCGAGAGCCAAGCGCGGCTGTCCCTTCGAGGAGACTGCTCGAATCTCTCAAAATTTTGGCTTCCAACCCCCGCAACTCGGTTTGGATCATTTCAGGCAGAGATCAGGAGTTCCTGACCCAGCATTTGGGTCACATTCCCGAGCTCGGCTTCTCCGCAGAGCACGGTAGTTTTATGAGAGATCCTGGCTCGCAAGAATGGATCAATTTGGCAGACAAGTTTGACATGGGCTGGCAAAGCGAGGTGATCGATGTATTCCAGAAATATACAGACAAGGTCACGGGTACGTTGATAACCTTTCACTGTGACTCGAAACTGCAATACTGACGCCGTTCATTAGGCTCCTTCATTGAGAGAAAAAGATGCGCTATCACGTGGCATTATCGCCTTGCTGACCCTGAGCAAGGCTTACACATGTCACGAGTGGCTCACAAGGAAGTGGAAGACACAGTGGCTAAGAAGTGGGATGTGGAGGTAATGGCTGGCAAAGCAAATATTGAGGTGCGGCCAACCTTCATTAACAAGGGGGAGATCGTCAAGCGCCTCATCGATCGTTACCACAACCCCGGTCTAGTTGCCAGCGAAGGAAACGAGAATGCTGGCAGAATCGAATTCGCCCTTTGCTCGGGTGATGACTTTACGGACGAAGATATGTTTCGCAGCCTCAATGGAGTTTCTGGCTCTGTGCTGGATGCTAACCATGTCTTCACTGTTACTGTCGGCCCAAGCACCAAGGTTACACTGGCCAGATGGCACTTGCTGGAGCCAGAGGATGTGATTGAGTGTGTCACGCTACTCTCCGACCAAAAGGGTCACTTGGCGCTGGAACGACTGGGTGAGGTAAATCTGGCCGCGTTGAGCTCAGTGGAGGGGCACATTCCTGCGATTTAGACGAATGCAATCGCCATCTTAGAAGGCGAAAGTCGACGAAGAGGAGGGCAGAACAAGAAGCATACACGATCTCAGCCGAAGAAGCATTGCAGCATATATATATGATATTGAGCAAAGCATAGACGGGCACGGCGCACTGGGAAAGCTGCCAAGACAGATAGATTATTTTCGTCTGGCGTTGATAGAAGCGTATTTAGTTTAGCACCACATGGCAGATACAGATCACGCAGCATTTGCACCAACCTCGAAGTCTATGTAGGTGATGGGGATCTGCAACGGGAATTGACCACAAGCACAACGCTCAACATTTGCATCTCGTCACGTCTTGCCGGGACAAGCGGCGTGCATCCTGGTCAGGCGCAACGGCGCTCGTAGGTCCTCTGGTGCCATGCGCTGTAACGGCCCGACTGATTCCAGTAATTTTTTTTTTGCAGCTCCGTCAGCGCACGGGAGAAAGACTCGGGTAGAAAAGACGGGGTGGCGCCGTTTGTAAGCTGGTGACGACATTGGCCGGCGCGGCATCGCCGGCTCCATGGCGATCCTGCCGGCCCGTAAATAATTCTGGACCCCCGACAGCGGCGCAGCCCACCAACCCACCAAACGGCTTCGGAAAGACTGTCAATTGCGCAAAATTGGGTAGAAGAAAACAGGTACGTATGCAAAAAAAAGCCCTACACATGAGCGCCCTGAGTGAAAGCCGGGATAAAAATGAATATTATCTGACTAGTTGGGCCCAGATGGCTCGGTTAGCCGCGATGGGCTCTTGATGTTAGGGCCGAGACAAGGTTAGCAGCTGTAATTGCCGCCAACGTCACGATGTGATCAATGAAGGCGGTGTCGGATGTCACTGCTGAATGATCAAGGTACCGAAAAGACCGCAGATGAGACATGCTTACCTACGCCTAACTAGCCCAAACTGCCAACCTCCCAAACCATCGTTTCCGGCAGGCCGGGATGGTGGTGGATCCCATGTCTTTCGACCGCGACGTCATTCGCACAGCAGAAAAAGGAAAAGGACCGAATAATGTCAATTTGCCGCAGACTTGGGAGTTGCTCGCACAATTATCGAGTAATGGCTTACAGAAATAATAATAACGAGTTAGACGGGGATAAAGGTTTTGTAATTGGTGCATCGCCGGACATACGGTTTTGATCCACCACATCATGGCCATTGGGCATGATATCAATCATGACGTCTTGACACAGGCGGACTGGATTGAGTCTGTCAGCGGTCTCGTGGTCTGCGAAATTTATCTAGTCTTCTTAGATTCTGACTTTCCGGGCTCTCGGAGTTTCTTATGCGACACTTCAGTTGATCCCACTTGCAACCGCAACAGTTGCACCCTCCTAGTGGGCTGTTGGCTTCCACTCCATGCAATGCTCCCCCATCCTATTTAATACTCCCTTATCCCCGGTTTCCCATTATCCTTCCCCAGCTTCCGTGCACCCTTAGTTCCCCAGATTATTCTTGGATCGCTTTGTCACTCCTGACCAACTCTCCATCAACCAGCGAACCAAAGGAAGCCCACAACCGTCACAATGATGGGACTCGGTTCCGTCACATTCGACGAGCACAATCCCAATTCCGAAAAAGGCCGGGAAAATGATGCTCGAACCTCCAAGTCTGGCCTCGACTACTCGCCGCTGCCGCGTCTGACTGGCAAGTCGCTCTCCATGGGCATTCTCGTGTCCATGGGCGGTCTGATGTAAGTCATCCATGCCACCCCCCCCAAACCACCAAATTCTCTCCTGCTGCCGTCCCGCTGACCACAATGCCTACAGTTTTGGTTACGACACCGGCCAAATCTCCGGATTCCTCGAGATGCCCGACTTTCTGGCGCGCTTCGGCCAGCTCGATTCCAACGGCAACGCTTACTTCAGCCGCGTCCGGTCCGGCCTCATCGTCTCGCTGCTCTCCATCGGCACGCTCATCGGCGCCCTCGTGGCCGCCCCCATTGCCGACCGGTTCGGCCGCCGGCCCTCCATCTCCTTTTGGGCCCTCATGACCGCCGTCGGCTTCGTCATCCAGATCTCGGCCGACACGGCGTGGACCCAGATCATGATGGGCCGCTTCGTCGCCGGCCTCGGCGTCGGCGCCCTGAGTCTGCTGGTGCCCATGTACCAGGCCGAGACGGCGCCGGCGTGGATCCGCGGCGCCATGGTCTGCGCGTACCAGCTCTTCATCACCATGGGCATCTTTCTCGCCGCGTGCTTCAACTTCGGCACCTACCACCACCAGATGCACAACTCCAGCAGCTGGCGCATCGTCATCGGCCTCGGTTGGATCTGGACCGTCGTCCTCGGCGTCGGCATCCTCTTCTTCCCCGAGACGCCCCGGTTCGACTACCGACGAGGAAAAACAGAAGAAGCGATCAAAACATTGTGCGACGTCCACGGGGCCCCCAGAAATCACTACATTGTCCACACCCAAGTCGCCGAGATTGAGAGCAAGCTGCACGCAGAGTCCAAGATCAAGAAGGGCCACATCGCCGAGTTCACGTCAATGCTTAAAGCACCGCGCATGTTGTATCGTTTATCTCTTGGAGTTGCCCTTCAATCTCTCCAGCAGCTCACCGGCGCGAATTTCTTCTTCTACTATGGCGTGAGCATCTTTAAATCCGTCAACATCGACTCCTTTATCACGCAAATCATCCTCAACACCATCAACTTCCTTGTCACTTTTATCGGCCTCTATATCGTGGAGCACTTTGGTCGCAGAAAGTCTCTCATTGCAGGCTCAGTTTGGATGTTTATCTGCTTCCTCATCTTTGCCTCCGTTGGCCACTTCTCGTTGGACTACAACAACCCAGAGAACACCCCCACGCCTGGTATTGTCCTCATCGTCTTTGCCGCGCTCTTCATCCTTGGCTTTGCCACAACATGGGGTCCTATGATCTGGACCATCCAGGCCGAACTCTTTCCTTCCCGGTACCGTGCCAAGGGTATGGCCATTTCCACTGCTGCCAACTGGATCTGGAACTTTTGCATCGGCTTCTTCACGCCCTTCATCACCGGGGCCATCGACTACCGGTACGGATACGTCTTTGCCGCTTGCAACTTTGTCGCTGGCTTTGTCATTTACTTCTTCGTCATTGAAGGCCAGGGCCGTACGATTGAGGAAATTGATACCATGTACCTTGAGCGTGTCACGCCCTGGAAGAGCGCCGAATGGGTCGCACCCGACGCTGATCAGATGGAACAGATCCGTCGCAAAGCCGGTATCGATGTTGAGGCGCTTGCTGCGCAAAACGATGAGCACTCCAAGATTGCTGGCGATCCCCAGGGCGGTGTTCGGGTTGACGGCACCAACATGGATCACGTCGAGTGACAGTCCTAGCATGTCACTGCACTATACTTGTACCAGTTTCTTGTCATTTATTTAGAATTTTACGAGAATTTTGTATTATATATGGAAACATTTTAATTAAAATCAAGGCAGCATCGTGATAGAAGTGACGGTATACATTCTTCGACTTTCTTCAATCGCGTTTCTTGATACGCGGGAAACTAAGCCACACCAGAGTTATGACTGCAATGAGGGCCAAAATGATTGGTTGCAAGACAGCAGCCCCCTTCTTGGACGCAACAGCACCGATAATAAATGGAAACACGGCACTGCCCGTGCCGCCCATACTCATCGCAAACCCGATCGCACTTACATGGATTCGCTTTGGCAGCAGTTTCGTTGTGACCATGACGGCCCCAGGGAACATGGGCCCCAGGAAAAAGCCCAAGAACGCTACCGCGACGGCCGAAACGATGAACTCGGGGACAAGCCAGAACAGAAGCTCCAGAGCGAGGCACGTGGCCAAATAGATGGTCAGACAGAGGCGTTCGCCGAACCGCTCCGTCACAAAGCCAAGAGTGGCACGACCGAGGGCCATGCCAGTCCAGAACCCGGTTGCGGAAATACCGGAAGCGTAAGCTGAAGCGTGGCGGACATTCAACATGAATGTGACTACCCAGCCTCCCAGCCCAACTGTAGTGGTTGTTAGCATGATACTGTCTTGGCTTCCCAGTGTCGAGTAGATACCTTCCACGCCCATGTAGGCGAAAAAGAACAGCGCACATAGCCATGTAACGGGTGATCTGATAGCTTCTCTAGTGCCAGCGCCTGTTGCGTCGGGATTTTCTCGCTTGTGTTCTGCTTCATACACACTTCCCGTTTTATCCCAGAAGAAGTATGAAAGGCCGCAGAGTTCAATCGCCGACATGCCCACCTGCCGAGAACATTTGGTCAGCCGAAACAGCTGCTAGATGTGATGATTTGATACTTGCCAAGATGTAGTAGAAATTGAACCACGGAAGCTGGGCTTGGACAACCATGCTGGTGGCGATGAGAGGCGAGAAGAGCGCTCCGAGCGAATAGCAGGCATGCAGGAAACCCTGGATCGTATTGGCCTTGTCCATGGCGCCAACCCATGCGCAGAAACAAGCATCCGTCAAGCCGTTTCCGAACCCGCTAATGGCGTTGGCCACAACCAAGGCCGGATAGGGTGGGTGAGACGCAAGGACGGCGAATGTGATGAGATGGCACAGCGGCGCCATGATGGCGATTCCGCGCTGCCCAAATCTGACGTGAATGCGTGCATTCGTAAACGCAGCCACAGAGTATCCGATAAAGGGCGTCAAGAAGATGAGCGAGATGACTGTTTTACCGAGACCGTAGTAGTCTTCGAGCTGCACGCCTAGATTAGCCCCGTTGCCACCAAGAAATGGTTCCCGTCGACTTACATAGGGCAGTAATGGCTAGAAAAATCAACTACAGGTAAGCTGATGATGACGGCAAGGGACTCGATCCATCGGAGATATTGCAGATACATACGCCAATAGCGCCATCGTTCATGCCAGCGACAATGAACGACACGAAAGCAAAGGCCATTTTGCCAATATTGTCACGGGGGTAGTTCCATCGTTCAACTACACTCTGCGCATCCGGGGGCGGCGCGCTTCCGCCAACGTCCTGGCTGGCAGACGATACGAGTCCTTGTTCTTGTAGACTGGTAGAGACGACGTTGTGATCCGGGGGCGAGGGGTCTGCGCCGCCGAGAGTGCGCAGCTCAAGGACGCTCGGTGCCGTGGACGTGTGCGTCGGGTTGCTCGTGGCAGTCATCGTCTGCGACATTTTTTGCTCTTGTTTGTGCAACCCGATTATGAGGATGCAAAGATGAAAATGCGGACATGGATGAGACTGCCTGAGCAGCACTGGTCTCTGGTGTCAAGCATGTCAGATACCTCAGGTATTCAGCACGGAAAGGAGGGCCGAAATCCCGGCCGACTTCGCGCTACCCCGCCATGTAAACGGCGAAGACCTGCAGGAAGCTGCAAACTAGCACAAGGCGAGAGAAAAATGGAAACGATAGAAATTAATATTCTAAGGAAATTAAAGATGAAAATCTACCTAGATGATGACCGGTTTATCTGATCACGCGGGTGCCGCGTACACAAAAGCCGGGCCAGCAAGTAAGCCTTGCTTACCCTCGGACTCTCAACCTCGGACTCTGCGATAACTGGACGGCGGGAGGATTTCCCATCTATTTCTATGTTAACGCAGGGGACCACAGCCTAATATTGACAAAACCTTGGATTATTACTCCGCGCAATCGTTATTCTCGACTGTCACTAGTAGCCGCCGCTCGCATTTGTAGAGTCCGAAGGCAGAAATATGGCCAAGTCCCGATGTGTATATATACCAAAAGCCGCCCCATGAAAATCGCTTTCAGATCAATCACTAATACCAATTCTCTTTCAATGATTCCTCTTATTCATAACCTCGCTATTGCTCTTGTGGCATCAATTGTCGGCCACGCCCAAGCCAAAGCCTGTCCACCCCTTGGCCGCGTCCTTCCCGCACCCCGAAATCCAAGCCAGAATGGTGCTGTTCGAGAAGCCATCATCAAGCTCACATCCCACCTAGATGAGACGCTGTCTTCGAAGATGACAACGAGTGGCATCTCCATCGCGGTCAAGTCGGCGCACGAAGGCAAGCTGCTCTTCAACTACCACCACACCCCGCCTGTCCTCTCCGGCATAGGCACTTCTGCTATTGATGAATACACAATTTACCGTGTCGGAAGTGTGTCCAAGATGATACCTGCATTGTCTGCGCTGCAGAGCAGTGAGGTTGACATGCACGCGTCTGTCCTAAAACACCTTCCCGCGCTGGACAAGACATCAGAGGCTCGGGACTCGATTCACAGAATCCCTTGGGAGGATATCAGCGTTTCCGATCTCGCAGCACATCTATCTGGCTTACCTCGCGACAGTATGTTATGTTCATTCTATTAATTATATATATTCCGTGCTAACACCCTTGTCGTGGCATTTGACCTGGCTCTGATTCCAGACGGCCCGTGGACGGAGATGGGCCTCCCAGCTGTTCGTAACGGCACCGGACCGACCTGCTCTGGCCTTCCAGGAACCAAAAAATGCACCGCCAGCGATATTATTGACACTATTCACCGAAAGGCGCCGGTAGAGCTTCCCGGTGCCACGCCCCTCTACTCCAACATTGGCTACGCGCTGCTCGCCATGGTGGTGGAAGCAGCGACAGGAAAGACATTTGACCAAGTAGCGGAAAAGGAAATATTCAAGGTGGCCAACATGACAAGCACGTCTTTCAATGGCCCAGTAGAATCATTTTCCAAACTTGGCTTTGTACCGAAAGGCGAGTCCACCTGGAACGTCACTTTGGGGGCTTTTGAAGCGTAAGACCTTGACGCAGTACATCTTTTTCATTGGCGGCGCTGACGCAACGTAGTGCTGGAGGTTTATTTTCCAATAGTGTTGATATGATTTCATTCATCGAGTCCATAATCACTAACAAGTTCCTCTCACCGAAAAGAACGCGAGAATGGATGAAGCCCGCCACACACACGTCGTCCATGGGAATGTCAGTCGGCGCACCTTGGGAGATTCTCCGCAGCAACACCTTGACGCAAGACAAGCGCCTCATCGACGTATACACCAAGAGCGGCGATTTCGGTATGTACCACGCCCTCATTGGCGCCATCACCGACTACGACATTGTCATGACGGTCCTCTCTGGTGGCCAGGAAGTCAGCGTCGACCCTGACACGCGCACCAAGATCTTCAGCACCGTGGCCAGAACTCTGGTGTCAGCCATTGACCAGGCCTCCAGAGACGAGGCGTCTTCTCCAAAAGGCTACGCGGGGACCTATCTTGACAAGTCGACAAACTCCACTCTGGAGCTCGCCTTGGATGAGGGCGCAGGAGTCGCCATCAAGGAGTTTATCGTTCGTGGGTTCGATGCGCTGTCCAACATGCCTAGCTACAGCCTGAGCGCCGCAGCAACTGGTCCCAGGACAGTCAACGGGCGCATGTATCCAGTCGACATCAACGGCGACGCAGATTTTGCGAGGACTCATGCGAGAAGCAGACCCCATGGCCGATGTAGCACGTATACCATGTGGCGTGCCTATTTTGATACTACGACTGCAGCACAAGACGTCGCCAAGGATGATGCATTGTTTTATGCAGACGGAAGCTGTGAGACGTGGTTCAATTTTGACCAGTCGTCCTACGATTACCTCAGCCTAGGCGAGTTTGTCTTTGTACATGATAAGAGCGGCAGGGTGGAGGCTGTCCGGAGCCCATCTTTTGGAGTGACCTTTGGAAAGAGCAAGTAAAACATGGCGGTCGCAAAGGATGAGAAGAATTCCGTCCGTTGATATGAGAAGTATTCAGTCCGTTGATACTTTGCGCTCAGCTTTCTCTATAGACTATAGACTTTTGCAGATTGAATAATCACCTCATTTCAGCCAGGGCTTAGCAGGCTTAGTATAGACTCTGTGGATTTAATAATCCCCTCGTTTCAACCAGGGCTCCGCCGCCTTGAGAAGGTTCTCATGCACCGTGCGATCACCCGAGGCATTCAGCGCTCCCTCGTACACATCATCGCCGATGCGCTTAAAAAAGTACAGCGCCGCGATCCAGACAAAGTCCGCGTACACGACCTGCTTGCCGCTGAAGAACGGGCCCTCGGGGTTTTCCTTGAGCATGGCCGTGATCTGCTGCAGGCCCGGGGCCGCAGCCGCAAAGGCCGTGTCGCCGCCGTTCTTGGCCTCGTGCTCGCCCAGGTCGGCGCCGATGTAGGCCGTGCGGTCTTTGAGCCAGTACTCGACGCTCGGCGGGTTGAGCAGGCGCTTGGGGATCTGGTTCAGGCCAATGGCCATGAGCGGCAGAAACGCCTTGGGCACGGCCTCCTCGATCCGGCGCTGGTACGGCGAGTCGAGGTGCACCGACGGCTCCGGGTGCCGCTGCTCGATGAGGTCGGCAATGACGCGCGAGTCCTGCGACCAGGTCCCGTCGGGGAACTTGATGGCGGGAATGGTAAATGGCCAGCGGGCATTGCCGGGCTTGACACTGTTTCAGGATTAGATGGGACGGTGTGAGAGGCGGCCGGGTGAGTATGTACTTACTGAGGCTCCAAAGTTGTCTTGATATCGGGGTACTCAACCTGGGGTTTTTTTTTGTCAATAAATTAAAATTATATATTTCTGGCATCAACCGTACCCATTTCGTCTCATAGTCCAAACCCTTGTAATTGAGCAACAGGCGAGCTATGCCATGTTAGTGGCGGCCGTCCTATCTCCGGATCCCCGCACTTACTCTTCCATGGGTTCAGGGACCAAGCTACACACGGCTCCTTGCTGGGAAGGTCAAATAAGACAATCTTTTCGGAGGACATGTTGTAACGTATATACGCTCAAAGTAAAGGATTGGCAACGGATATCTCCCAGGTAGTAGCTCCCAGATAGTAGAGTCCATCGCCAGCAAGACTGAGAAAGCGGAAAGCTCCATTTATTTATACGGCTTCTCCCGGCTATGCACCCCACCCTCGTATGTGCTGATTACCAATACATACTATCAAGACAATGTAACACTGTCATGGAGTTGTCTTGTTCGGGGCATTGCCGTCTCCTTGTTGTGGGCCGAAGGGCGTGGACGTCGTTGGTGGGCCATGAGAAGCCGATTCGGACGAACGCAAGCTGGGTGAAGTCTTGACACACTTGAGTCAAGATGAGTAATTAGATCCTGTCTGGAGCATAGCGATAGCCTAGATGGGAATTCCCCGTGTTGTCAGCCTCAATCTGCGCTTGCCTGTCCTCCGCTGACTGCGTTTTCTTTACCCATTTTTCCAAAGCAGACCAAGTTATATAGTCCACGATGTAACCCAAGATGGAATAGCGGAAGACTTGATATTTCGCCGGCAGATATTGCTTCGCATCTCTCGAAAGTGGGTTTATGCTCTCGACTGCAGGATGCCATGTTACCGAAAGGCACGCGCCATCACAACTCATGCGGGGGATCACCGTAGTCGGCATCCACCAAGGTAGCCTGGCCGCGGGCTGTGACCTCAAGGTTCGACATGATATTTTTGATCAATTCTTTCATCGCCAATGAACACCCGGCACGCAAAATCGCGGCCAAGGTCTTCTGGGGAAAGACGGAGCTGTCACACTTTAGCGTTTGAATAATAAACAAAATAAATTAGGTTTAAAGAACGCAATATACATGACAAGTAGCCCTTTGCGAATAATTCATCAAATGGTATATAAACACGCTACTTCCAAAATCGTTTCGCCGCGCCGACCTCCAAGCTGTGATCCTCTATGCCTGCTTGGGCGGCGGGACGCTCATGGCAGGCGGCGCCGCATATTGCTGGTCAGCGACGTTGCTCTGGCGAAGAAGACGTTCGCGATGCTGCGCCTCCTTGTCATGCTGCACAATGGAGCAGCAGCCGCAGCAGTACGTCCGGGCAATGTCTTCGAGGCAGCCGCCCTCGAGGTTGTACTTTTCGCGCATCATCTGGCGCTGCATCGCAATCGGGACACAGACGCAGCCAACGCAGGCCGCACCGCACAGGAGCAGACACTGTTTTTCGTCTTGTCAGCATATCAAAAGAACACGACGCGCGCGGGGAAAGATTGTCGGTGATGACGCACGCTGGTGTTGACGGGCTGGTAGCCCTCCAGATCAACCGATCGCTGCATCCGGTGCTGCACCTGGCCAAACGTGACGCAGGGCAGGCACCAGGTGATCAAGCAGGTATCGATCGGGTTGAAGCAGTCAAAGAAGCCGGCGTACCAGGCCTGCGCGCCCGCGGGGGAGTGCGAGTTGATGTGCTCCGAGGGGCGGGCGAGAAAGTCGTTGGCCCGGTCCGTCCAGAACTTGACTTCTTGGTCGTCGACGGGGCCTTTGTGAGCGGCGGGCTGCACGACCGGCGCGCTTGCCGTAGCCGGCTTCTGCTCTTGAATAGGAGCGTCCATGGTTTGGTAGGGATTGTAGTATGAAAGCAAAAGCTGCAGACAGACGTTGGAGAATGGGGATCCTGGTGTAAGTCGAGTGGTGCGGGAGGAGTGATACAAGGCGTGGAACCAAGAGATCTTGCGTACGACACCGCACAGAAAACGGGCTCGTTTTCTCCTTTTAAAGTAAATCCTATCCCTTTTGCAATAGCTTTCATTCAGCCTCTGCCTAGACCGGGGGCTGATTTTCACGAGCCGGGGGGCCGAGAATCCGTCCAACGCTGGTGGCTGTTCGCTATCCGTGCTGTATTAGTACAAGGCAGTTTTTGTCTGTTGCTTGGAATGAAGACAGAGCTCTAGCAGCTATGTACATGTACTTGATGATTGTACCTAGGAGCTAGGCGACCGGTAACGAATGAGGGAGCTTGGCTGCAAGCCCGGTTCAGCTTCGTGTGGAGCGGCTGCCTCAAGGGGTCCTGATCTTGACAGCCGATGAGTCGAGAACCCGGCAGTGAGGCCCAACGTTATTTCAATCGCTTCTAAATTTGCATCATCTAATTTCCTGTGACGATCTTGGCCAAGGTATCCGTACTTGACAAGGATAACGCGAGTCGTCGCTCAATCACCCGAAGCGATAGCGTTGTCTTGAAAATATGTATGCCAATGTCTTGTAGTTACATCATACTATGTGGTTGGGCTTTCTTTGATAACCATTTCAGCCACTTATAGCCAAGAGATGGAATCAACCGAGGCAGCCCTCGACTTGCTTCAAGACCAAAAGGGCAACACTATTGTAACCATGATATGCTAGCTACGGAATGAAGAAAAGGGTTCATTGAGGGCGCATTCAGACAAGGTCACACGTCCCAGCCCTTCATTACGCGTTGCGGTCCAACGAGGTCTAGCCGGTGTGAGTGGAATTGCAGCTGAACTGGGCTGAACGCCTTGCTGCCACGTTGGCTTCGACTCGGTACCTTTTAGCGCGCTGTTCGACCAATGGATGCGTCAGCCCTGCACACCAACCAGGCATTCTTCGCAAGGCTGGAAGGAGAAAAATGAAGCTTTGGATTGTGGTGGACTTGCTGGCGGTGGCCTCCACTAATAGCTAGGTCACAACTGCCAAGTCGACGGGTTCGGAAAAGTTCCTGGCCGAGTCACCTCAGCCAATCTTCGCCGGAAACGGATCGCAGCTTGGTTCTTGGGGTCATGAGCCCATTTTGGAGGCCTGATGGGCCAGACAAGCGGGGGCGTGGTCCGTATCCGAGTCTGCAGCTGGCGATAGTCAACTCGTTAGGTATCCAACTCGATACGCCTCGCCGCGCCATCGTGATCTCGGTGGAGCCTTTGTTGCCGTTTGAGATGCACTTGATCTCAATGACGACAAATTTATCATGTCTGCTCTCTTCTTTTCGCAGTATACTATTGCGGCCAGATCGTGCAGGACAGCTTCGGCGCGTCGGGGAGATGCTGGGAGGGCGGCTTCTCGCCACAATAATCCTCATCATCGACAAGATTGGTGCATGGCGCGGCGGTCAGCCATATTTCTGTAGTTACCGGAACACGAGCTTGAGCCTCATGTCGGAACATGCGAAGCTAGTGCAGGCGTCTCGGTGATGGAATCCAGTAGCACATGTTGCAAGTTTGCAGTAGTGAGGGAAGGCCGCCGATCGGCCGCCGATGATCCGCAATGCAACCAGTAAGCTTTTTGTAGAATGTAATTAATCGGACGTGTAATAATGTATACATGACTATCTTACAATGTTATGCAGCTAGAATACAAGATGGGAGTTATACATGCAGCCAGCTGCTATTATGGTACAGGTAATGCATCGCATCTCATACGCCATCTTGCCTTTCTTGTGCAATAGACGTTCGGATGTAGCGCTGCATATTTTCAAGCCTCTGCGACAGGCTCGCATCATATGGAGACGATTCCATCATGGCCATGACAAATGGGCCCTGCGCACCCCATGTGCAACCATGGAGATGGTCACGGATACTGGCCACGACCTCCATCGACTCTTCATTCGCATAGAGTCCAGACGAAAGCATCTCTTGGAGCACGCGCAGCGCCGCGTTGGAGTCGCCGAATCTGGTCCAGTAGAGCGATGCCAGTCGAGAGTAGAACGAGGTGGACACGCCGAGAACATAGGATGGCAGACCCAATTCCTTGACGCGCGGGAGGATTTTGAATGCGTATGGCGACGAGCGTTTGAACTTGTTGTCCAAGAGCGTCAGGCCATGGTAGATGAAGTGGGGGTACAAGCGCCCGTGGATATCCATCAGACGTCGATCAGGTTTGGATTCGGAAACAGCAGCAGGATCCTCCATCGGCTTGTCTTCCGCTGCCTTCGCCTTTCCCTTGGCGCCTGTCTTCTTTCCCTTCTTTTGCGTGGATACCGCGGTCTCTTGTACAATGCCAAGCCGTGCCGGTAGTGAAAAGACTTCGCGCTCCATCAAGTTCCAGAGCTCGGCGTCCGTGGTGCAGCTCTCCATGAGACGATCGACGCGCAGTCTCTCCTCCGACCGCGCTTGATCGTACATGGCTCTCTCGGCCCAGTTGGCCGCATCTGCTTCCTTGAGCTCCATGTAGGTGCTGGTCCCCTCTTCAGTCGCCGGCAGCTCAAACAGACCCAATGCTACTTGCGCTGCATTGCGCAGGGACGACGGGTAGCGGCTCAGAAACTTGTCGCGAAAGTCGGTCAGTCGTGCTTGGTCGACAATCGACCTGGCTTTTGTGTCAAATGGGCTGGCTCCGGTAGCTGCTGTGGATGCGGTTTGCTCCCATGTCGTGCTGAATGCCGTCTTCTTGCTGGCAACGGGCATTCTCCCCTGCGAAATCTCATCGAAGATGCCCTTGAAGATGTCGGCTTCTGAGGGAGTAATGGTTGACGGTTGGGAAGAAGGTTTCCCTGAGAAATCATCATGCTGCGGATCATCTTCCCATTCAAAGGGGATTGAATAGGTTGTCTTGCTCTGAGACGACGAGTGAGCTAATCGAGACACCCGCGCGAATGTTGCTCGGCGGAGGCCATGTTGAATTGTCCTCGTTTGGTAGAGGAATGGCAGCATACTGGGAGGCATGGCGCAATTATTCCGACGAAGCCTACTGTCCCCTTGTCATTCATTGCCTTCTTGCCTTCAACACCAAGGGGTAATTAGGTATGCGAGGCAGATTCGGCAAGTGGGCCACCAAAGAATTTTTGCCAACAGTGAGAACCTGCCCGTGACTTCGCGCCGAAAAGCACTTAACCAAGAGTGGGTCCTCCTGACACGCTACGCGACGCGCGACGCCATCTCGAATTCACTTTCAACTCACGTTTCCATCTCGCCAACCAAGAAAACGTTGCTTGGGTGTGAACTTTTGGGCCAATCGGCAACCCCTCACTCTTCTAAACTGTACATTATTTCTTTTGTTTTTCCTTGCAATTTCTAAAATGCCGATCAAAAAGGAGCCTACAGAGATGAGCGCCTTCGAGCGGAGGCGACTCGAGAACATCGCGGCAAACAAGGCCTTGCTCACTGATATATCAACCACCGCGCAAAAGGTCACTCCCCTGAAACCAGCACCAAAGGCGGCTCCTAAGAAGAGATCGCGCGCGGAAGCGGTCAAACGGGAGGCGGCACGGCCGACACGCATGAGTTCTCGCCTGGCGGGTATCGATGCTGATAATGACACGCTCAAGCGTAAGATGGAGGTGGAGGCAGAATATGAGGCGAGCAAGTCGCAGGCCAAGAAAATGAGGGTTGGTGATGATTTGAACCTCGGTGACATTGTCGTCGACGGCAAAAAGTACGGCGGCAGCGTTGCTGGGATCACAGGCATCTTTCGCGGCGCCGAACCGGGGGTGCGGACTTTTTCAGAGGACGACATTAAAGAGACTACAAATGCCGGGTTAAAGGATTTGCGTCTGCGCATGAGCTCGCTCAAGTTGTACGAGCATTGGCTTCCGAACGGTAGGCTTCGCACGCAGCAGAAGCGAGTTTTGTACTTACTGGTGTCGCAGATATCAAGATTACACCACAGCGTGTCTACGCCATGGGCTTTCACCCAATCGAGGATAAGCCAATCATCTTCGCTGGCGACAAAGAAGGGGCCATGGGAGTTTTCGACGGGTCTCAAATTGCGCCAGAAGTGGACGACGATGAGGATGCCGACGTGGGCGATCCAGTCATTTCCGCATTCAAAACACATGCGAGGACCATTACATCATTTGTATTTTCTCATACCGACGCCAATGCCGTCTTCTCTTCGTCCTATGACTCGTCAATACGCAAAATGGATCTGGAAAAGGGTATCTCAACACAAATCTTTGCTCCTCAGGACCCCGACGAGGACATGCCTCTCTCCGCACTCGATGTGGCCGCGTCCGAGCCCAACATGCTCTACTTTTCCACCCTAGACGGCAGCGTTGGCCGCTACGACATCAGGGCCCCCAGATCCGAAGAGATATGGACCTTATCGGAACAAAAAATTGGTGGTTTTTCGCTTCACCCCTTGCAGCCGCATTTGCTCGCCACCGCCTCGCTGGATCGAACGGTTAAGATTTGGGATCTCCGCAAGGTCACTGGCAAGGGCGATTTGCGGCATCCTGCTCTACTAGGAGAGCACGCTTCCAGGCTTTCCGTCTCGCATGCGTCCTGGAGTGCAGGAGGACAGCTTGCCACATCCTCATACGACGACACGATTAAAATATACAACTTTGCCGACGCTGGCAAATGGTCTCCTGGTCAAGATATTGACGGGTCGAAGCTGGAACCAGCTCAGATCATAAAACATAACAATCAGACGGGACGGTGGGTAACGATTCTCAAGCCGCAATGGCAGCTCCGACCCAAGGACGGCCACCAGAAGTTTGCCATCGGAAACATGAATCGCTTTGTCGACATCTTCGCGGCTGACGGCAGCCAACTGGCACAGCTGGGGGGAGATGGGATCACAGCGGTCCCAGCGGTGGCGCATTGTCACCCAAGCATGGACTGGGTGGCAGGAGGCAATGGTAGTGGAAAGCTGTGTCTGTGGACGTGATGAACAGTTGTCGGCAGCATTCATGTCATGTACCTTTATGTTTTAACGGTGGGACCAAGTCATTTTGATAACAAAGGGGCACCTGGCTATACGTATATACACTTTGTTTTCCCGCGCTCCTGAATAGACGAGAGCTGTTGCACGAAATATAACGTCATGTTCATTGCGGCGCCGTTTTCCCTCTGACGTGGTTGACCATTTCCAAGCCAGAGCCTTCGTAGCCGCATTTCTTGTAAAAGTCTTGGTTCTTCTCGCTGCAGTTGAGTATTGTCTTGCAGCAGCCGGCGTTGTCAGCGACAGAGTTGAGCGCATTCATGAGCAGCCGGCCCAAGCCTTTGCTCTGGTGGTCCTTGGCGATGCAGATTTCTTCAATGTGGCCGACGGTACAGCGATTGTGAATACTGCCAGACTTGTTAGTATTGTTTCAGTTCGTTTTGAGTATATAATGTGTGTAGCTCTCTCACAATTTCTTTTCGGCGAGAACCAAGCCAGTGCCGACGATATGACCAGCGTGCTCAACAACGAGGTAGTAGTACGGTCCTTTGCCGCCGGTGTCCAGTTCGTCGTAGCGCTCGTGGAACTGGGGCTCGGTCATGTCTCCCATCCATGTCAGGTCCCGCAGACACTCGATGAAGCCCTTGGCATAATCGCCCTTTTGGAGGGGACGGATCTCATAGCCTGCCGGAAAGGCCGATGCCGCGTCAGGGCCGATGAGAGAGGCGGGGAAGAGCGGAGTGTTGGTGCTGGTGGTGGCAGCCATCGTGATGGTGCGGTGTATGAATCTCGTGTAAATCAAAATGTGATGCCAAGGTGTGATTTATGCAGCCATGTACATGAAGAAAGCAGGTTGGGCTGACTGGATGGGTGTCGTGGCAGGGAAGGGCTGCATCATGTTGTGGTTAGCCTGCCGCGTGTAGGGCGTGGGTTGGTCGGGGGAGTTCGGCGGGTTTGCCGCGAATGGAGGAAGAGCTGCAGCTGTGTAGTTAGTTATATCCACATTTTCCATAGGATTATTAGGATCAATTTGGTACTGAATTTCTTTTTTACAGAAACGGCATATGGTTATTTAACGAATGCAGTCTCTCGCTTAAAGCCCGCTGTACTAGGTGGGACATGGAAGGGAGGTTTTACATTATGTTACGTCACAAAAGAACTTTCAAAGAAAACATCATCCAGGCATCAAAAGCATAATCATGGCTTGTTGTGCCACCCCTTTGTGTAGTGACTGACTGCTGGTCAGTCAAGATGTCACATGGAAGAGATGACAGAGTCACCAGGGCGATATATAGGCCTACCACTGTCAAATTTTAGTGGGAGGCTGCAGCCAGCAGATCTGCCCTGTCCCTGTCGCCTGTTTTAGTGGGCCATGGATGCCTACTAGGCATGACAGCGGGCCTAGTTAGAAGCCTAGAACCGAAATCGCACCACAAAAAAGAGGTCACTGTGCATTTCTCAACAACTTCACGTACTGGTACAGCAACGAATGATTGGCAATTTTGTGCGACTAGAAAATACAAAAATAACACCCATGCATCCTTACTCGGAACAGCCTTGCACGTCAGGCACAGCAGCAGCGGGCGCTGCCTAAAGAGCCACCAGCCAGCCAATCAGCGCTGCACCTATTCGGCCAGCACTATCCACATGCCCGATGCCGCCAGACCCAAATTCGTCACAAGAGCTCTCCATCGTATCGTGGACCGCCAGGTCGTCATCCCATGAGCCCTCCGCCCCCGCCGCGTTTTCTGATATATCTTTGTCCTTCATCTTCATACACGCATCTCGCTGCACGCGTCAACCTTGACTACCCACTGGCGTGACACTCGCCCTGCCTCTTCTCCCCTTGGTGGTGCCCCCCATGTACCCAGGCAGCACCTTGCTTCAACCGACCGCCCCAACATCGCCTACGGATAAGCTCGCCGCCACGAAACCCACTCAACATAGACCCGGACGCCCAATTTTCGATCGCCGCCTACTCTCTCCTCCCTCGATATCATATTCAATAATAGTAATGGCCTCGTCACCTCCCGCGTCGGTCTCGGGTGGCCTGGACCACGGCACAAGGCACCGCAGTACGATGCGTAGAAAAGCACCTCCTAGCCTGTCGTCGTCCACGCCCGATCTTCCAGAGCCGTTGCAGGATAGCGATGATTCAGCGGACGAGGCACACCCCCAAGTCATGGCGACACCAATGTCCGTTAATATGAACCAAAGCATAATTGGTCTCATTGCTGCGGCAGGCTCCCGTGTCGACTTCCACACACGCTTCGACGGCAACAGCAGCGACGAGGACGACACCAAGGATTCTGTTTCCAGTCCTCCCAACATCTCGCAAACAACAGTACTGCGCCCGATAAAGAAGCACCAAAAGTCGCCTTCCAAACACAGACTGCTCAAGTCATTCGCCACCCTACCGAGGCTCAGGCCCAAATCCAAGCACGAACCCAGCAGCCTATCCCATGCAGGGCCCTCAACCGACGACCCCAGCCAGTCCAGTGACACCAGCGACACACAAGCGTTGACTCCTACCGAAACGACAGCTCCCACCGCTCGCCGACCCTCTGTCATGAGTCGCATGCTCCAGGCCAGAGCAGAAATGTCAAGTCGACCCAGCTTCGATATGGAACGTAAATCCGCCGATTTGCGCCCATCGGAAGAGGATGACGAGGCAACTCCGCTGGCTCGTCGTCTAATGGAGATCTTCGATTTCAGTGAGCCTGAGCAAGTAATAGAGGGTACTGCAGTCGCTTAATCATCCGTGCCGGCAACGTACTAACACGAAACAGAATATCCCTGCTGGCTGTTACAAAGCGTCCTGTTACAAGGCTTCTTGTACATTACCTCGAAACATATTTGTTTTTATGCTTATCTACCGAAGAAAGAGGTATACCAACACTCGCATGGCCATCTCCACATCCGAATACTAACATCTCTAACAGCACATTGTGGCCAAGTCCGGCTACCTGTCTAAAAGCGGCAAACGCAACCCCAAATATAATCGATACTGGTTCCGTCTAAAAGGCGATGTCCTGTCATACTATCGCGATGCGACCAATCTTTACTTTCCTCATGGCCAGGTTGATCTCAGGTTCGGTATCTCGGCCAGTGTCACTGACACGGACAAGGATGGGCTGCACTTCGAAGTCGTCACCAATCAGCGCACTTACAACTTCAGAGCCGATAGCGCCCCCAGTGCCAAAGAATGGGTCAAAAGTCTTCAGAGAGTCATATTCAGGAGTCATAATGACGGCGACAGCGTCAAGATCTCACTACCCATTGAGAACATCATCGACGTTGAAGACATCCAAATGGTCGAATTTTCCGATACCTGCAAGATTCGCGTCATTGACAATGACGAAACTTATGCAATTGATGAGGTAAGTTTTCCCTTTCCCACATGATCAAGCCTGTATGCTCATCTTTCAGTACTTCTTTTCGTTCTTTTCGTTTGGTCAAGAAGCCATCAATGTCCTGAAAGTTCTTGTCGAGGATTCTGCCGCCAAAAAGCAGCGAGGAAGAGATAAACAAATTGCTGGCACCTCTTCTCAAACGCAAGCAGGCTTGGATAAGATCTATACTGGCAAAGTGCGGGATACTGTCAAGGCGACTCTCTCCCCGCTTTCACCGGGTCGCTCGAGAGCCGCAAGCCCGCGTGGAAGTGTCGAAATTTCATCCAGAACTAGCAGGGATGGGTTTGGAGGCATTGAAAGATCTAGCCTTGACCACCAAAGACCGCTCACGAGCCCTCTCAACGACCGCAGCCCACGCAGAAGCTTCAGTAGCTCAAGGCCGCGCAGCCGACACTCCGACGGAGGCAAGACTCCGAGGACGAGATTCTTCACCTCGGATTCCAATTTGCAATCTGAAAAGTCGTCAATTTATGATCCAAGCTTCTCCAGTATGACTGCATCTGGAGCTGAAGATCCTTCCGCCAGTCAGATTCTGCATGGCAGCGATGCATTTCAACGACCTACCATTATGCGCTCGCAGCCGACCGATCAGGAACAGCCGAGCAGCCTGAGCCAGACCCAGATTTTGCATCCCGGGAGTGACGCTACCTTCCACCCCGCCCGCCACGCCGCAACAACCGGGCATTTGGATCAGCTGCGTCAAGAGCATGAGCAAGAGAGCCGTGATGAGGAGCGACCCCTCACACCCAGCCTTCAAAGCATCACGAAAATGGGCACCTACCCCCTGCAGAGGGCTGGTGCCTTTGCGGACTACTTGAACAAGACGAGCAAACGCATGAGTTCACTGTTAGCCACTGAATCTATGGGCTATGTGGAGAAGGTGTCAGGCATGTGGAAAGGCGGCGGAAAGCACTATGATGAGCCCGCCGGCCTCCGCGCCGATGACGACGACCTTGAAGAAGATTCGGATGGGAAAGTCCAAACCTCCATGGACCGGTTCCGGGCACACTTTGCCTTGCCTGATACGGAAAGGCTTCAGGCCACATACTTTGGTTACATCCTGCGCGTTTTGCCTCTGTACGGCAAGATCTACATCAGCGATAAGTCCTTTTGCTTTCGAAGCCTACTTCCTGGGACCCGCACCAAGTTGATTCTCCCACTTAAGGATATCGAGACTGTTCACAAAGAAAAGGGCTTCCGTTTCGGCTATTCCGGCCTTGTCCTCGTTATTCGAGGGCACGAGGAGCTGTTCTTTGAGTTCAGGCAGAGTGACGTCCGTGATGATTGTGCTGTCACCATGCTGCAAGACTTGGAGGCACATCGTTTCTTGGAAGGCTCCGACTCACACGCTGACGATGCTCCGGAGGACGATGAATACATTGCTGAAAGAGATGCCTTGAAGAGGGCTCGACAGGAAGAGTATCCCGAGCATGAGCTAGAACTACCCCATGACGTATCAAGCATACCCAACGCACCGACAATCCTGCTTGAGGATACAGATGCGTCATTCCTGAGCTTCAAACCGTCTACTCCTCTGAAGATTACATGCTTGACAATTGGATCAAGAGGCGACGTCCAGCCATACATTGCCCTCTGTAAGGGCCTGCTGGCAGAGGGACACAAGCCGCGCATTGCGACTCATGCTGAGTTCCAGGGCTGGGTTGAGTCACATGGCATTGAGTTTGCCAAGGTCGAAGGAGACCCCGCCGAGCTCATGCGGCTATGTATCGAAAATGGTACTTTTACCCTCGCATTCTTGCGAGAGGCCAACTCGACCTTCCGAGGCTGGTTGGATGAGCTTCTCGACTCTGCTTACACGGCCTGCGAAGGCTCTGATCTTCTAATCGAGTCACCTTCGGCCATGGCAGGAATACACATTGCGGAGAAGCTTGGGATCCCATACTTTCGAGCATTTACAATGCCGTGGACTCGTACGCGTGCCTATCCTCATGCCTTCATTATGCCTGAGCATAAGATGGGTGGTGCGTACAATTACATGACCTACGTCATGTTTGACAACATCTTCTGGAAGGCCACCGCTCAGCAAGTCAACCGGTGGAGAAATAAGACACTTGGTCTCCCGAATACCAGCTTGGAAAAAATGCAGCCGAACAAGGTTCCCTTCCTGTACAACTTCAGTCCTTGCGTTGTCGCACCGCCGCTGGATTTCTCAGACTGGATCAGAATCACGGGATACTGGTTCTTGGATGAGGGAGACAATTATACACCTCCAAAAGAGCTTGCCGATTTTATTCAAAAAGCGCGAGATGATGGCAAGAAGCTGGTGTATGTCGGCTTCGGGTCCATTATTGTCAACGACCCCGCCAAGATGACTCGGGAAGTCATTGACGCAGTTTTGAAAGCGGACGTGAGATGCATTTTATCCAAGGGATGGTCGGACCGTATTTCGTCCAAGGAAGACCCCAACAAGAAACGGCCTGACGAACCTGAAATGCCACCCGAGATTCACGTCATCAAATCCGCCCCTCACGACTGGCTGTTCAAGCAGATTGATGCTGCAGCACACCATGGCGGCTCTGGTACCACTGGTGCAAGCTTGAGAGCAGGTCTTCCGACCATTATCCGGCCATTCTTCGGCGACCAGTACTTTTTCGGCAGCCGCGTTGAGGATCTTGGGGTTGGTGTGTGGGTGAAGAAATGGGGTACCAACAGCTTTGGTAGGGCACTTTGGGAGGTGACCCGGAACGAGCGAATGATTATCAAGGCCAGGGTGCTTGGCGAGCAAATCCGAAAGGTAAGCACCATGAGATCCGGTATATGGAATGAGGAACTAACAGGCACTTAGGACCATGGCGTTGATATGGCGATTCAATCGATTTACCGTGACATGGAGTATGCCACAAGTTTGATCAAACGTAAGGCAGGCAAGAATGGGCAGCCAGAGCCTGACGAGGACGATGAGGAGACGGAAGAGAGTTGGACGTTTGTAGGGGGGGACGAGCCCGATCCCGACATGGTGACCAAGAAGCTCAGCGAGGGGCTCGAGAACTTGGCCTTTGAAAGGGACAGGGCTCTCAGAGACGTCGCCGTATCCAGCGGCGCATGAGGTGATTTCTTTACGACTAATATGATTTCCTGACGTCTTGTTCGATCATCTGTTTTGGTTTAGCATGTGGGTACGAGTATGGATTATAATGGCGACGACGAAAGAGACGGATCATTTCCTTTGGCCTAGACTATCACACTGCGTATAAGATAGACATACATGATAGAATTAACAGTATTGTTTCTTCAGGCGAAGGGGATGGGGCTTTCAATTGATGGATGTCTACGTAGAAGGCCGTGACTCTGAATCCGCTCGCTAACTATGCTGAATACCAACCAAGACAGAGAAAATGAAGTACAGGGAAAAAATCAAGCGCCTGATGTGCAGAAAACCAAACATGAGGGATGACCGGTGGGAATTACGCCGACAAACCAGACTGGATGCCCGTGTCAAAACGAGCACAAGGCTCAACCTGTGTCGCCGCCCCTATCGCCAGGCGTCGCTGCATCTGCATCTGCTTCCACTCAAAACTCGACGGCAGCATATGTGGAAGCACAAACAATCCCGCCCTCGTCTTCTTCAGGGGCCTCTTATTCGCCACGGCCTCCCACAGATCCACAAACGCATCCTCCATGCCGTCCCCTCTGGGGTCCCCGATCCTGATACAAGACGCGTCCCTCGCCATCTGTAATCACCTGGCCGCTCGCATCCCTCACCTCTTCCTTGAGCAGGGGGAAAAACTCGGCCCAGTGAAACCAGGGACTGGTGGCGAGCACGTCGCGCCACACGCCGTCGGCGTGGGCCACGACGGCGTCGTCCCAGCGCGGCGTCAGGCCCAGGCAGTCGCGGTACCAGTCGAGCATGCCCATCATGTCGGCGCGCCACCAGCCGCCGACGAGGGTGCCGCCGGGCAGCACCTCCTGGCGGGCCTCGACCCAGCGCGCGAGCGCCGGCCAGAACTGCGTCTGCAGCAGCACGAGCTTGTGCGCGCGCGTGACGCCGCGCTCGTTGACGCCAAAGGAGAAGACGCGGTCGGACTGGGCGGCGTACGCCCAGTCGAGGTCGCGGTGAGCGGTGTCGCCGTCGAGGGGCGACTTGTGCGACGGGTAGGGGATCTGGTAGTGTCGCGAGTACATGGCCCTTGTTGCTTTGAGTGTGTGTTAATGGGATTTGGAGGACGAGTTGCGGAAGCGTTGGCCGGTTGCGAGAGGATCCATATGCGCACTTCTGTTTTGTTGCCCCCCCGTGTCTAGAACCACTTCGGATACCCGTCGTGTTGGTGTATAATCATGCATATATGTCTGTCTCAGAGCGGGTTGGTGGTACAGGACAAAAAAGGCCAGCTGCTGCCTGATATAAGTCGGTGTGAGAAGGCGCCGACGCCGCCCGTGTAAGTGAAAGGGGTCGGTGCGAGGCTGATTGACCCAGCAAACGACAGCAGAGAAAAGGGGTGGCCTTTGCGTATTCAGTCCAGGTATGACGGCGTTATACAAATACTCTTGGGCCAAACGTTCAAGGTTAGGACGGAGGGCGGAGCTGCGTTGGGCGGCAATCCGTCGTCTTATAAGGTTCTGGGGTGAAGGGGGGGGGGCAGATTGTGCGAGTCAACAAAGCAGCCAGCACACGAGCCATGTCCTCTGAATAAGAGTCACCGGCCCGAGAAAACGGAGGAAGAACAAGCGGGTGCAGCTTATCAAACATATTACCACAATGCAAAGGCGTCGTCTTTCGGAGCGGGCGGGCTTTTAGAGTGCAAACTATTATCACAGACGACATATCGGGGGGGCCACTAGCCGGAAAGCTACTCGAGGGCAAACATGTGAGAAGAAGCCCAAAAACTTTTTTTCAAGCTATCAATTTGGACAAGAGGAGACAAGAGAGATTTGACAGGGGTTTTGGGCTCCCCCCATCTCGTCTTTTCTTTCAGCCACAAAACAATCCTAGTCACAGCGGGCGTGCCGCCAGCTCGGGCATTCACGCACAAAAAGATGCAGCTTTCACACACACACACACACTCACAGCACCTAGCTAACTAGCGGGCTTGCCCAACTAACTAGTTGGGTGGTGGGATTGACGCGCGCGGTCGGGGATCACCAACCTGCCATGAGTCGGGTCTAAGCCGAAACGAGCCCCCCTTCCCCCCCGTCGCGCGCGGCCGGCCTGTCAGCGGCTTGCGCCGCCGGTTTCCGGTCACGTCACCGGTTGTCGGCGATAAAGGGCACCTTGGCTCGCGATGGATCGGTATATGCCATGCCGCCCGCGGTGCGAGCCCTTGAAGACGGCTCGTCTTGCCAAATGATCTAGTATACGAAAAGACGGCATCAACAGGCCAAGGAGCAAGGAGGCATGCAAGAAAGCTTCACTGGGTGGTGGGGGTGGCCTTTTGATGCCCCCCGTCGTTGCAGCGGGCGTTGGCTGTAGCGGCTTTTCAAGGCAAAAGCGACAAAAACGGCGAGTTCGTTGCAGGTCGAAGCCCTTTCCCGATGACATGTCACGCCAGCTCAATATGAGAGGCGAAACGTATAGCATTCAGCTCGCCAAAGTACACAAACCTCGGGCCTTTCTTGCAGCTGGTCAGCCAGGGGCCAATGATTTTTTCTGACTCGTTTCTTTGACAACTCACCGCCCGTCGGATTCTCAATAATACCAGTTGTATTCGACCCGGTTCCGTCAGTGTCAGGACACACACTGGCATGCTTTTCTTGCTCCCATCGGCATATCAACCAGAGCATACCACTTTCGCCCCTCCCTCATGAATTGGAGACAGGACGCCTTTTTTGGAGGTGAATGGGGGCAAGGTATCCGTGGTGTTATTACAGTCTACATATATACACAGAGTACACGGTCGGCTCATGATGTTACCATCTTCTCCAAGCCGGACACGTACATGACCTCTATTAACACCTCTCTCTACTTGCCTCTCGCTCTGCAATTACTCCTCTTTCAGGGTTTCTACGCCAAATTCAACTTTACAAAACGTATAATACTAGCCATGCCTGCCGTATCTAGGTCCTCTATCTGGCGTCGCATCTGCACATGCTCGACCACCAATGTAGCCATGCCACCCTTGGACGTTCGAATGTGGCCGCACAGGCCTTGCCTTTCTCCAAAACCTGGGCGTTCCTTTGGCGGGGGTCGATAAAAAGGTTCGAGTCGGCTTAACAATGTTGAGGCTCAGGTATATAGTATTAGTGGCTTAATAGTAGTGTCGTGTGCTAACTAGTTAGCGGGCTGGCGCTGTGTGTTTTCTTGTAGCGAATCGCAGCCGCCCTCCCGACAGAATCAACCGTCTTTGGGCTGGAATCGCACCCAACCTGAGCTTCCGATAGATTGAGCCGCTGAATAATCACAGGATACAAAATTACGGACGATAAAACAGTACATGAAGGGAAATAAGAATGGAAAGGTCATAGCTATCCGTTACATTCATTCGCAGTTCTATTTCCAATTGACTCATTTCAGCGCGCCTTCTTTTTCACGTATTCGTACCCAAATACAATGTCTGATGTGCTGCAGCTATCGCACTGCTAGAAGGAGTAGTCGTACCCACGTAATTAAATTCGTCTTTCAAATAAACACGTCCAAATCGATTCAACTTCCAATGAATATAATTGAATAAACTAAATTCGCCCGTAAAGAAAGCCTCGTTATATCCATTGCCTTGATCCCAGTCAACCGGCTTCCCGATCTTGCTTATGTAATATTCCACTTGGCCAATCGCCAGGCACGCAAAACAATCGCCTCAGCAGAGCTCCTCCACCGGCCATTCAACCACACGAAGCCGACGACATCGATTGACCGTCCGGCGCGCCCGTCGCTCGATCCGAACCGGTTTCTTCACTACCCCCGCGAACCACGACGACCATCTCCCGTCCCGATTGCCCCCGTGCGTCGCCCAATTACCGACTTGACCTCCCGTCGAACGATCAGAAAACCGCCCACCATGGCCCAAGATATGCCCCCCAAGGGCGGCTACCAGCCCGTCCAGTACAAGGTGTGTGCTCACAGCAGGATTGGACGCGCGTGTTTCTGCCATTGGGGTCCTCGCGGCGCCCAAATGCCCGCAGCGGACGACCATTGGCTCATGCAGCGCATCCCGACGCTCGCCTTTCTTGACATGATGTCGACGGCGGCTGACACCATCTCTCACAGCGCAACCTGCCTGCCCGCGGCTTCCGCCCCGGAACTCTGCTTATCGGCATGGGCATCGTCATGAGCTACGGCTGGTATAAGCTCTTCCACGGCATCCGCGAAGCCAAGTACGTTGCGCCCCCTCACCGAACCACCCCCGACTCGTGAACCGCATAAGAATCAATGGCTAACATGTCCCTCCTGCAGCGAGCTGGCCCGTGAAAAGATGTGGGCTCGCATCAACCTGATTCCCCTGCTCCAGGCCGAGGAGGACCGCGACCAGGTCCGCAGATACTGGGCCGACCAGAAGCGCGAAAAGGAGCTGCTCGGTGACAACACAAAGGTCTACCACAACGACCGGTGCGTGTATAATCAACTGAGTTGTGGCTTTAAAGGCCACATCATGCTACGTCTGGGCCGTCTACTGACATTTTGCAGCTTCGTGAGACCAACTCTCGCCGTCGCGCCTGTCCCCTCCAAATAAAGAGAGTCATCTTGAACAGGGTGATGTCCACCAAAAGACTCCTTTGTGTAAATATATCACGTCGTGCGTCTATGCTCAGAAAGAGCATACGCAGCGGGAACGAGACGAGATCTCTTGGTCTGTAGGGAAGCCGGAGCGAGGGAAGTGTACAATGACGAGAATTCAACCACCAATTACCACGTCTCTATCAAATTCGTAATTTTCCGCAAAGCCGCAAGACTATGGAATGTGCAATGCTGTGCTGAAATGAAACCAACCAACAAAACATCTAGCAGACTAACCGACAGAACCCCAGCAAAAGCTACTATCCACCAGCAGCACCACATCACCTCACCCACCCTCGCGCAAACTCACGCCTTGACACCAACCTCCCTCTCCGTCCACTCCCACAGCTCCCTCGCCAGCTCGTCATCCCAGCACCGCGCATCCCCCGCATTCGGGACCCTCACCGGCTCAAAAAACGCCACGCCGTCCATCGCCGCAGCCTCGGCCACATCCGTCCCCGTCGCCGCCCAGACGGTATTATAGCATCCCTGGCGGGCCGTCATCAGCCCGCCCGGGTTCGTCACGTACACGAGCATGCGCTCCCAGAAGCCCAAGCCCGTGACCAGCCCCGTCTTGACGACGCCCGGGTGCACGCAGACGCTCGTGACGGCGGGACAGCGGCGCGCCAGCTCGCGCGCCGTCAGGATGCCCGCGAGCTTGGACTGGCCGTAGCGCGCCCACGTGCCGGCGGCGAAGCGGCCGGCCTGGGTGGTGCGCACCGTGGCCAGGTCCACGCCGGCCGGCGGGTGCGCGGCGTACGCCAGCGACGTGACGGCCACGAAGCGCGCGCCGCGCGTCGCCCGCAGCGACGGCAGCAGCCGCAGCAGCAGCGC